CTGGTCTTGGACTGGAACATTATATTTTGTACTCCGTGTCCGTATGTTGTTAGTTTAGTGTTCTCTTCTCGGGTATCATTCGTGTTTCAAATGGCAACTAACAAGGAAGAATTTAATAGAAAGCTGCACGAATTGTTGGTGCAAAAACAAAAACAAGACAGGTTTTATTGAAGGACACCCGATATACCGAGGTCATTAGAGAAACAAAGGAGGCGTTTGAAAATAAAATGAAGTGCATTACCATTACCAGCTAAACAATATCCTCGTCTAAAACGATTCGACCTACTGTTGATTGCTGATAAAGTCAAATTAAACTAAATAATTACAGGTCATTAAAAACTTAGCACACAATAAGTTGTGCATGGAAAACCTCGTCAGTATCAGAGTCAGTGGTTGGTTGAGGGGGCTAATCAAGATGATAATTATAGTCACAACTGGGCATAAAGTCTAAAAACTGTATAAAAAATCGAAATTTGCATACTGGAATAAAAAGCACACCTTACGAAGCTCTCTTCGGCGCTCCACAGAAAAATTTACTTTTTGATACGTGTTTGGATCGCTTTGTTGAGGGAGAAACTCAAACAAAGAACAGTTTGAAGAGGAATTGCGAATAATACATGAAGGTGGAGACAGAGAAGTGATACAAGAGTAAAACTCAGACTGTGAAGAAACTGAAGAACTGAAGAATGTACATTTCCTCCAGCTAAGAATGGGGACAAGGTTTTAATAACTATTCCGGACGTTGATCTTTTAATATTAACATAAGTCACGCCCGACCAGCTATGCTCTCCTCGGAATCAAAACAAGGATTTCTTTACTGCCAATGTCTCAAAGTATGCAAAACAAAAGCATCATCCTTAAAAAAATAAGTAAAACACGGAGAAAAAGCTGTTGTAGGTTTATTAAGTTTTTTTGGGAATTACAACTCTATTTTATTATTTTATATTATTATTCGCCTCAAGAACTTAATTTAATAATTCGTATAGTGACTACAGAAAACTCTTTGTGTGTCCGTTCAATACCGAATATTTCTCAACCAAGATAGCTTCTTGTGTAATATCAGCTTTCTAGCTTCGACTTGAATATGAATTTAATTGAATTGAATATTATATTATGTTTATTTAGGTATAATAAAATAACATTAGTACACATTTGATTTTACTTGATGCCACAAATGTTCTATGGAGTTGAATATACAATCATGTTGAGGATGACGTAAAACACTGTTAACAATATCGACAATATTGGCGTTTTTGTAAATAGGCAACTTTCTTTTAAAGCTTCTTTCTTGCCTAATAAATCCTCTAGTCATTAAACATTCATACACATTTTTCACAATTTGTTTTGCATCTAATTACAAGTGATTTCGACGCAATATAACGGAAAAATTGGTGATATACTCGTGACAAGTGACAAAACGTGTTATTCAACAGTACCATACGTGTACGAATAAATTATTGGTTCTTGGGTTTACGCAGTTGTAATTAATTCTTGGGGGAGGGTCCGTCAAAACCAAAACGATATACTTTGAGAGACACCATAATCCGAATGGCAAGAATGCGGTATCTGAAAAAGTAACATTAACTTTTCCAAAACACGATTATATCTTTCGTGTACTAACTATATGGACCATCGTTTCAACAGATCATTCCCTTCGAGAATCGGTCGACCTTGGTTCTCAGCTGGATGATATTCAACTTGATCGTCGCGATCATGCTCAACGTCCAAGTATTAGAAGACTTCATCACTCCACGGACAGATGGCAAGATAACCACTCTCGCGGAACTCGAATCGAGGCACATGAACATCTACTCCATATGCGTTTACGACAACATAAGCGTAACCCACACCAACATTGATTCACCGGGAATATTCGTCGACCTCCTGATCAAGAACGGGAATAACAATTCGTACATCTTGCCATACAATATGGCGATGACTATTATCCGCTACCATTCATATATAGGGAAATGGTTAGGTTTGGAAATCATGTCGGATCCCGTCGTTCCCAGCATGGGAGCTTACATGGTGAAGAGGAATTCCCCTTATATCGGGGTGCTCAATAGAGCCATAATGTCGCTGAGGGAGTTGGGAGAGAAACCTCTCTCTTTCCCTCCTGAAACGAAAAAAATCGTCAGCAGTGTCGTGACGTTCGAGAATTTTTGGCCCACTTTTATGGGGTTGTTGAAAATGTACGCGGTGTGCGCCGCTGTGTTTGTCATCGAGCTGGCCGTCCATTGCGTCAAGCGTCGCTCGAAATTATTGAAAACTCCTAATCTAAAAGTATCGGTTAATTAATTATGTATGTTGCGAAAAACTTAATCTATCCCTGAACCCACATAGTTACATTGGGATAAATAATCGAATATATACAGGGTGTTACTGAAATGACATCACATAATTTAATAAATGAATTTCATGGTCAGTCTGAGGCTGGAACACTGACAGCGAAAACTGTTTCAGTGAACTTATTATTTTGTCTACCAGCGCAACAAAACATTTTCGATTAATTAATATTAAGAAAATTGACAATCAGATAAATTCAATTATCTCATTATTAACAGTGGCGTTTCATTGGTTTTGAAACTACGGGATACCATGGATATGCCACCAATAATGCACGAAACATTTTTGATGTTAGATAGTTAGATGTTGATGGTATTTGTTATTAAACGATTTATTTTATTTATTTATGTCAAAATTTAAAAATATTTTTTATTAGGTAACTACTAACTAATCCTAACTAACATATTTTTACAAGCAGTTGATACTAATGCATTACCTAATGAATTTATCTTCTAATTTATCCAAATAAAAATATAAATTAGAGACATAAACCTGGCAATCAATTTTTTTCTTTGTTCTATTTTTCCTTATCTATCAAAAATAGGCTCCACCTTTATGCAGTGTATCTCTGTACCATAAAAATACCGAACGGGTATCAGAGTATTTCCTACAGGAATAATGTGGATAATTCAAATTTAAGATTTAGAGATATTATATGGATATGTATAAACATTAAAAAAAGTAAAGCATTTTGTTTATCTGTTGCTTTTTCGTAGCTTAAGCCGGGACGTTCGCTTTGAAACAGTGTATCTGCAACCAAAAAGGAGATAATTTCGTAATTAAAAAGTCAAAATATTTTAAAAGAAACACTCTTCAAGGCGATTCCAGTTGACGACCACTAGCATCGCTGTTGTCTTCTACTTAAAAAAAAAAGAAAAAAATCAAAACAGCGGTTCACCACGATGTCAACTTCGAAATCGGGTCTCAAAAAGTATATTATAATTTCGTATCTAGTATTTCAAAACGTATTCAAACTTTCAAAAGCAAGTACAGGTGCGTATTGCTACTCATTTTATAAACTTGTCGACTTAATGTTTTGTCGAATTTAATAATACGTGCACCTATGGTTATTGAGCATTGTGTAAATACAATAATGTAGATAAAGTCTGTTCATAGATATAAGAAGGTGACTAACTGATACGAATTAAGAAAATTCCCGGGCAAGCTATAAGAATGAAATATGGCCGAACAGGTCAGTACTTTGCTTAGAATTTAATTATTTGGGGTTTTTTTTAGGAAAGATACTAAACACTTAATTTATTAATGTATGTATTTATGTTTAAATCTAAAATAAAATTACAAATTATTTTTATTACCTACTTAAATTAATTAAAATTATTCACATAATATATCAATATAACTATCGCTATCATCGCCTGTTCTAATTATTATTTGTTCTATATTATTTGCAATATGGATATACGATTGTTCTGCTTTTTCTATATGTTTAACAGAATTTGCCCAACTTTGTGGAGGGATGTTAAAAACTTCGGTTTCTATAAGTTTGAGGACATTGGAGCTAACACAGGAAAAAACATTGTTACGACGAATGGCGGATTTCAGTTGGTGCCAAACATGTTCAATGAGATTAAATATACAGTGGTAAAGTGTAATTGTAAAACTGTATGCCCTAGATTTTTTACATAATTATCACAGACATATTCGTTTTGTAGGTTCAAGCTTTGTAGAACCTTAATTAATTGCTTTTTGGTATAATCTTCGTGCAAATAAATGTCGGTATTATACATGTAGTTTTGGATTGTTGCTTTTGTGTCACATGAGGAAGGGGTTTTATTCAACTGTCTACTGTGATAACTTACATTTTCCAATACAATTACGCTTTTAGGAGGAATGTTTGGAACTAGTTTGTTTTTAAACCAACTTTCAAATAAATCAGCGCCATTTCCGAATTCTAAAAGATTCCATTAATTGTTTGTTTATTTTTTTAAATCTAAAACCCATGTGTTGAATACACTGCCATAAGGTAGTTCTGCCACATTTAACACCGGTTTCATCTTTTTCAAACGTCAAATTAATATATCTAATGTAGGCACGCTTTGTTCCTCGTATAACTGGTCAATTTTACGCCGTATTATATCTTGATCACTTTCATCTACACTCGAGAAAATGTCAGCATCTTTCTTTTTTTTCCTCGCTGAAATGGGATTATTCACAATTTTAAATACAGTTGATGTTGGAATTTTCGTCAATGTGACCGTTTCTTCTAAAGAAGCTTGCTTGCTGGCACTACGTTCACCACGTTCAATGAGAGTCAAATAAACAATGTTTATAACTTCCTTAGTCTCAATAGAATAGCGTTTTCTACATTTGAGTGAGAGCATCTCCTGAGATACACTAGACTAGCACATATTTTGCATAATTCGCACACGCTGTATTACACACGAAATAAGAATGATTACTAATAAACTTAAACTAAGTAGTATTACCAAACCAAAGAATATTAAACACAGGTAGGTATAAAATTATTTTCTATTACGGACCACATTTTTACCTGAATTTAAATTCCGAACATATAGGTAATAACCTTGTTGCATTGTATGTTAATGACCACCCTTGGACAATCCCATTCAAAAGCAATTGATGACTTTCTTATATCTATGAACAGGCCATACCTCATTAAACAAGGCAGCGACAGGTGCGGGTGTTTTGTCATAGACTGTCAAAAAACTTACCTGACAGGCAACATGTCAACGCTGCCAAAATATACCGTAGTTTTATGATGAAGGTGAATGTACTCTATATAACAAATATATTAATTTTATTATTTATGTGTGTACTCACTTACACTGTTGCGGAGGAGGATGGGTAAGTCTGCATTTTGAATACTTCGCTTCGCTACTACTACGGCGTGTTCCAGAGAAATCGAGACGATTCACGAAAGCTATCGACCCCGTCACAAAGGAAGCCATCCGCGCAGATCCGGTCGCAGGAAACATGGCAAAAGGAGCGCGTTTAGTGATCAGTGCGCCATCATGTACAAAAACGAAGAACCCGTCGGCATCCTCGAGGTAAAACGCGAAAGTTGCCTAGGAATTGTCTAATTTCGTAACGGTTTGTTATTTGTTACTATATTCAAGGTACGAAACGACTGATATGTTAAGTCTATTTTTTTTTCTTTTTCAAAGTGCTCTTAAATCCTTTTCCTAAGCTATCTACCATCACTACCAACAAATCCAACCCAAATTAAAAACAATTATTTCGAAAAAGACGAGAGAAAAACAAAACCTTTTTTACTAAACAAAAGATAGCGCTTGTTGAACAGAAGCAGATAAAAACAAACTTGGCATTCAATATTATTTCAATGGAAAGGTTTATAACAAAATAGTAGGTATAAGGAAAGGCCGTGTATACTGTTACGAATGCCATCTATTATTTGTGTACTAAAGTACTTCCATGGCGGTTTAAAGTAATGCGTCAGACTGAAAATACTACAGTAACAGATAACCGCACTTTATTTATATTTTAATTAAAAAAAAATTAACATTGCCACTAATGGGAGCCTTCCCCTCTATCTTATACTCTTTGGTTATAACTTCCATCCCATTTTATACAGAGTGTGTCAGAAAGATGGCTCAAGTCCCTATTCTTCGTGTGAAAATATTGGAACTTAAGTATGTATACTTAATTGTTCGTTAGTTTACACTTTTCTTGTACATTTTTTAAACAAAAACGGCATACCATCAGGGAAAAGGACATTACCCCCCTCTCCCACATAATGTACGCTTATGGTCTTAAAACTTGTTTCATTTAGAAACACCCATATAAGATAATATAGTGGCCCTACTACGGTAAAAATTGATGCGCCGCAAGTGGCTATGATATTTTCGTAGAGAAGCTATGGATCTTTTGCGCATGCGACATGCCCCCAACTGAATGAGCTGCGACCTAGAGAACGCAACATCAATCTCAATAAATTAGAACATAATTGGTAATGCCCTAAGCTAAGTAGTTACTTTTGTCGCAGAACAGTCTGTGCCCTGTGCCATTATTGTTGTCATTTGTGGTGCCAATGTCTCCGTACCGTACGCACAAACTTATATAAGCAAATCAGGAATGTATAAGCAAATGTGGCCAATAAGAGGACGTAATAAGATCTTAGCAAATGGTGATGCCTATATATTTGACATTTAACAAACTGGTTGAGAAAGCTATAGAAGATAAACAACCAGAAGAACAAGCAGGCTTTAGAACAGGGCGCTCAACTGTGGACAATATCTTTACGATTAAAATAGCGTGCGAAAAAAGAGTACAAAGAAATAGGGAATTGCACATAGCCTTAATTGACCTTGAAAAGGCGTACGATAGCATCCCATTGTCGCAATTATGGATGACCCTAGAAAAAGCAGAGATACCCTATAACTTAAGGAGCTCCATAAAAAACCTATATAAAAATAATTCCACTAGAGTAAGAAATGGAAAAAACTATACTGAAGCATTCTTTACCACTAAAGGCTTACGACAGGGCTGTTGTCTCTCACCTACACTTTTCAAGATATACTTAGATAAGGCTTTCGAGAAATGGAGTAGGAAGATTAGTGAGATGGGACTGAGAGTGGGAGACTACCCATTGTACAGTTTATATTTTGCGGACGATCAGATAGTCATAGCAGAAGACCAGGACGATCTCAACTATATGATACGAAAACTGAAAGATGAATATCAAGCTGCTGGCCTTACAATAAATTGGGAAAAATCAGAATATATAACAGTAGGGAACGAACATCAAGAAGACCTAATATTAGAAAATCATAAACTCAAAGGTGTAAAAACTTGTAAATATCTAGGAGTTACACTTAACAAGCAGGGCAGCAGTGACGATGAAATAAAGGAAAGAACCAATAAAGGTAAAAAGGTTATAAGAGAGTTGAACTCGATCTTATGGGATAAAACAATTACAAAAGAAACGAAAAAACGGATATACACTAGCATCGTCCAGAGTATAATCACATACGGATCCGAAACGTGGGATATGACAAAAAAGAACAGAAACAAATTGATGAGGACGGAAATGGACTTCTTACGACGTAGCTGCAGAAAATCAAAAATGGAAAGAGTAAGAAATGACACCATAAGGGAAAGCATGAACATGAACACAAATATAATAGAACAAATAGAGAAAAAACAGCTGATATGGTTTGGACATACGAAGAGAATGGACGATACAAGATGGCCCAAACGCCTACTCGAGTGGGTACCAGTAGAGAAAAGAAAACGTGGAAGACCTCGAAGAAGCTGGAGGAATGAGGTAGATGAAGCTATGACATCCAGAGGGCTAGAGGAAGACATGTGTCTGGATAGAAAGAAATGGAAACTGGGGACGGAGAGGCGGCACGTACCGTAGAAATCCGTTATATATATATACAAACTGAAAAATAGACTTACACAAATATTTACATGTGAATTTACTAAGCAGAATTCTCTACACTTTTAGGTACACGTAAATAGCTAACACGGATAGCTGGAACATGTTTTAACATACAAGAATTACAGGAAATATAAGAAAGCAATTAAGCTACAAGTTGAGTTTTTACTAGAACAATCATAAGAAATATCGTTTGGTCAATTACTGTCTAGGTGCTTCTTGAACATTTTTTTACTTAGATGTTTCATGTGCGATATCTAGCATCTCAAAGTTATTTCAGTGGACGTTAAACCTATGAGTTTATGAAAACTAACGCTTTGCGCAGATTTACAAAAAAACTGCTTACATAATAAAATACATGCAGAAATTACATTGTATCTACAGGGCTTGAAGAATCAAAACGCCAAATTAATTACAGAATTATACTGACGCCTACGTGGGTGTTGCAATTCTGCACTGCTTTTCTAGACCTTACTCCTTTTTTGCCTGAAAATTTAATAAGATTTCGACATGTTTTGAGAAAATACTGCCGTAAAAATGCCGTTGTTTCTTGAAAGCCGTAAGGTCTTCGAACGAACTTTTTAAATCTCGCGCATGTGCACGTAGAATGAACTTCTTGAAATTACATAGTTGCTTCTTGAGTAGTAGTAGTAGTAGTAGTAGTAGTAGCTAGTAGCTATATGAATTTGAATAATTGGTTCCCTCTTGTGTATTTTTGATAATAGGCATCTTATACATATTTCCAGATTTACATGAAATAGTACATTGTGCAACAAGTGCGGTAAACGGCATTTGACCCGCGAGTTTATTTGACACGGGCGGGGCGAGTGGTTAATAAACGAATAAAAAGTAAAAAGTTTACCGAACGTATTGCATACTATACTTTTTCTACGACCGTTAGTTTTTGGGTACATTTTCGTAAAACAACACGAATAAATTCACTGACGACCGTCAGAATTGACAAATATCAAAATTACCTTCTAAAAGCGTGGGAAATATCTCCGAAAACATCCGATTGCTCCCAAATCGGAGCGGTAAAATCCCGGAAATGTCCGAAGTGGTACGGATTCGTGGGAAAGGAAACTGACGTGGTAAAGTGACGCTTCCCGCACGCTAGATCGGTGGGTAATTAGGTATTTTACAGACGGGAGTAGAAAAACTTCTTAATTACCTTCTAAAATACAATAACTTTTTTTTTTTGCTTGAAACAAAAATATATTTTATCTGTAATTAATCCTAGAAAGCTCGTCAGCCCTATTTAATTTTGACGTCATACAAAAACGCTCCTCCATTGGTGTAACATCACGAGTTACGTGGAGACAAGCAACGCATTGTCGCCGTACATTTTATATTGTTATCCGCATTTTTTTTTAAATATGTAACAATTCTTCCTGCGTGTGACATTCATGGGTGCGTAAAGTGGAGTTTGAAGTACCTACTGACTTTGCTAAAAATATCTTGAATGTCTGTTATTGGATTCGATTCGGGGACAAGTCCGCTTTCTATCTTCTTCGCATGCAAAGTTGTGTGAGAAATTTTTTTTCATTCTTTATGCTGCAACTGAGAAAAGACAATATAAACACAATAACAAACAAAAGTGAGGTTAGGCTACTATTTATTTTTCTTTTAAAGGGTTGAATGAAACAAAAAATAAATAAAATACTTACGTTAAAATCGTCATCACAAAGGAAACTTGACTTTTTATTGAAATGTAGCCATATTTTTCGTTGTTTTTCTTGAATAGGTAATTTAAAAAATGTTTTCCCGCAGCAAAAATGATTATAGTTTTGCAACCTGGCACGATTCAATAAGGATAAACCATTTTCAATAAAAAAATAATAGAAAGCTCACAAAAAAATGTTTAGCAGATAACAGTCAACATAAAAACGTTACATTTTATTATATTTATGAATAATTCACGTATGGTAAAGTATTCATTAAGTATTTCGATTCAATAAAAAAATATATCTACAAGGAACCTATTTTAGATTTTTTATGATATTTTTATTTATCATAAAAATGAAATATTAAGAAAACCTGCCTAAATGCATAATATTATTATTTCATTATTAATAACTTTGAACAATTGCAAAAAGCTTTGTAATTTTTAAACAATATCCTTTTTATAGATGAAACTTTCATACAAATTCAATATTAACAGCGTTCTTAGTATTCTAGATATATTGACGGAAAAGGAAAAAAGAAAATATTGTAGACATTTCAAATTGTCATTGCTGTAAACTTCAAATTAAGTAAATGATGTACAGTATCTCAAAAAGTAATTCTAAGTATGTAGGCGTATATCGAGAAAATTGTGGGGACAAGAGCGTACAGCTGCTAGCATGCCGTTTTCATAAGGTGACCAGATTTTTAGATGGGCAAAGGGGGACAACTCTGAACAAAAGAAAACAATAACAACAAAAATTTTCATACCGAATAAAAATAATATTGTAATATATTTTATTTTTAACATAAGTACAATTTATAAATATAAAAAAATGTTTTACTTTAGTTTGATTGACTTCAAATATTTGCAAAATTTTATTCGTATACTTCTTTCTAAAGTTTCTTTTAAGGTTAGTATTTTAGGCTAAGTTTAAGAAAATTTATGAAATATTTTAATAAATTACTTACCTTAATTATCTATGGTAAATAACAGATTTATAATATTTATTTGTTTAATTAGCTTGCTAGCACTCAGTACGAACACGACAATGATTTTCATAAATATAAAATTTAAGTTAATTCTAAAAGTTGCGACTTTTGAAAATCATCACGGGACGCCGGACAAATTTTGAAAAATCGAGACTGTCCCGCTAAAACCGTCTAATCACTTTACGTTTTCATTTACAAAATTTTCAAAAGTTTCAACAAAACACGCAAAAAACTGCGAGATTTATAATTAATAAGTTTATTTTGAAAATACAGTTGCACGCCTTGTATTATAGATATCTCACACGAAAATGAAAAATGGAATAATAGCAATACCAATATTTGCACAAGAAGAATCTGTAATTAACTGGTTGATCCATCTTTTCGACTCACCCTGTATTTTTCTAAAAACAATCACAGTAGTAGGTATAGGGTCGGCCGTTTAACTTGAGACACTACCTTATCTCAGAAACCATAGGGGACGGAGCCAAAAGTTAAATACAAAAGCTAATTGAGGTATTAAAAACCTTCAATTTATTTAGTATATACAGGGGGTCTAATTTTTCGTTAGAGGATATCAACTTTCTTATTTTAAATGGAACACCTAGTATATTACTTCATTTTTTAATTCAATACAAAATTCTAGACATATTTTGTGTATAATGTGTTCTACCTAAGTCTAACCGTTTTGAGATTTTTAATTCTTTATGCGAAAAATGACGTTTGCAAAACGTAAAATATCTGACAATTTCTTCATTCGGAAGCATTTATTGTTTCACTTGAGTAAGTTTTGTTGTAGACAAAGGACTGGAATAACGGATCTCATAAGAAATTTCGATACATATTAACACATTAAAAATTGCCAAAAAACTTTTTTAAATGGAAACTGCCTATTTTTTTTAATTTTGTCATATTTAGCATTAAAAATTAAGGCAATTTTATATAAGGTTTATATTTTACTTTTACTTTTTGAAATATTTATTTTTAAATCTTTGTTTATCACTATAATAGGTTGTTTGAACAAAACAAGTGTTGCCACTATAATTTACCATTTCATAGTTGACCATAATCTTGCCGATGCACTTATGACGATACAAATATTATATCTATGCATTATTTATACAGAATACGACCAAGGATACGCGATAACGTTGTTGAATATTTTATTAACGAATGATCAATTAAAAATTATTAGCTTACAAAAGATAATAATTAACAGTTGTTCAAAATGTCCTCCACTTTGCGCAATACAAGTACAGTTGAATGCTTGTGTTTGTAAACAAAATCTTTAAGTGTTCCCCATAGGAAAAAATCTAGGGGCTCCTTGGAGGCTAGGCGTAACTACCATTCTCCCCAATCAATTCTCTATAGTATGCATTTAAATAGGTGTCAATTTATTAACTTCTGTGATAAGGAGCGGCATCCTGCCGCCAAATTAAATTTCGTTCCCTTTCAGGCACTTTTCCAACAAAGGCATGAATAATATTTAAAAGCTGTAAGTAGCGTTGGGAATTTAAATTTTGATCAAAAAACACTGAACCTATTATTCTGAACCTGCAAATGGCGCACCATAATTTGACCGAAGTTCTACCTGATCTAGTAACTTCCAATGTTTTTTATTAATGGTTTTCCGATTAAAAATGTTAGTTCAGCTTGTATATATGGACTGATCTGTCCAAATAATACTAGCAAATGTATTTTCTGAAAAGTGTCTCTCCATAAGATTGTTGCAAAAATCTAACCTGATGTAATCCCGTTGCTCTTATTTCTGCACTGGACAGAATTTATAGGACTTCCAGTTGTTTATTTGAAGGCACGTTCGAAACGTTCTCTAAAGACGCATTTCGGGTTGAATCTTCAGGGGTCTCTGCGAAATGCAACAAAATATTAAGTTGCTCTTCATCATTCAAAATATGACCACGTCTCCTTAATGGAAATTTCGTTACATAATCTCGAAGAGCCAGGGTCCGGTTTGTATTGTTCGATATCTAACTTTCTAAAATAATATCAATCTTTTCCTCTGTAGTAAACATGATACGCAAGCAAGCGAATAAATTAAATTTATAAAAGATAAATAAAAAAATCAATAATGTGTCACAAAATATTTGAATTATGACAACAAACAACAAAACATGCATCCAAGGAGGCAGGGTTCTAGCACTTGTTTTGTTTAAACGCCTTCATAGCCATCTTACACTAACTGGACTTATATGGCAACGGCATATTATTTGTGATAGACAAATATTTAACCTTATATAAAATTGCGTTAATTTTTAATGCTAAATATGACAAAATTATAGAAAAAGGTAGTTTCCAAAAAGTTTTTTTACAGTTTTTTTCATTTCATTTTTAATCTTATTTTTCGCGTACCCTGTAGGTATCGAAATTAATTATGGAATCCGTTATTCGAGTCCTTTGTCTACAACAAAACTTACTCAAGTGAAACAATAAATGCTTCCGAATGAAGAAATTAGCAGATATTAAAAAAATTAAACATCTCAAAAACGGTTAGTTTAGACTTAGGTATAGCACATTATACACAAAATATGTCTTTTTATATAGAATTAAAAAAATGACGTAATATACTAGGTGTTCCACTTAAAATAAGAAAGTTGATATATTATACACCCTGTACATACTAAATTACAATATATTGAAGATTTGTTATACCGCAATTAACTTTTGTATTTAACTTTTGACGGCTCACCCTATACAATATTCTTCAGAAACATTTCAAATAGTTTAGCGTGTTTTTTAATTTAATAAGTGTCAATTTTCCAGTATAGTTTCATTTTCAGCCATTCGGCGAGAGTTACCGACTGTTGCCCGTCGATGGTCAAAAAATCGACGTTGAAATATCCCCCGTAACGAAACGGAAAAAGTCGACGTCTGCAGACGACGCCTACGGCGACGCCCGCGACACCAGGTACCCGTACATATTCGCCAAGTTCAAGATCGACAGCAGGATGGAGAAAAACGCGGCGGGCAGGAAACAGAGATCGGCGCGAGTCGACAACAGGAAATCCCTGTTTGACAGCGATCAACTCAATTCGTTGCAGAGGGCGCTGTCGAAGGTGAAATCGGGACAGGGCAAGGCCGACTCTGATATCAGGAGCGTGCTTTCCGACTTGGGATTGGTCGACGGCGCGGCGGAAGTGGAAAAACGGGACGCGGACAAAGGAAAGAAGAAGAAACAAGAAAAGTCGTCGGCAGTTAAACGAAGCGAGAGGGCGAAGAAGTCCGACGAGGCCAGGATCGATTTGTTAGATGAGCAATCGGATAGGGAGAAGCGGGAGCAAATGGAGGCGGAACTCGAGGGACAGATCAAGGCGAAGCTGGCGAAGATCAAAGACGAGGTGAAGAGGGAAATCGAAGAGATGAAATCGGGCGCCGTTGAGGAGCAAGACGCGAACAAGCAAAGGAAGAAGAGGTTCGCTTCGAGCACGTTGATCGACGAAGAAACCAGCGATATCGATCCGGTGTTAAACGTCGACGAAAAATTGAGGCCTTACAGGAGACGAAGACGAAACGTAGCGTTCGAAGGTAATTTAGAGCCGATTCCACACCCATTGACGATCGGTCAGCGGTCATGTTGATTGTTGAACGCCGCAAGGTAATTGGTTAAATACGAAATGTTATATCTCGCCCATGCGCACATTGAATGGAACTTCTAAATTTTTTTTGATAGTTGCATAAGTTCTTGTATTATTGGCATAAGCAACGCCCTCTATATCCCTAGTAGCTAATATGGAGCAGAATATTCGAATCCGAATTGAAGCGATTACATTTTGGTTATGCTTGAATAGCTTGAGACTTTGAGAGTTCTGTTTGCCGGCAAGTATTTGTATAGTTTCTGTTATTCTGTTGTTGAGTTAAGAGGAAAGAGCATTTACAGGGCAAATAAAGCATATAGAACCGCCATCATTGGATTATGGTAAAAAATTTAAGGCCTTCTTCTATTTTTCGTGACCGCACCTTAACTTGCCCATGTACGTCAATTCTGAGGTATTTTATGAATGTTTGTGCGCACTTTTAAAATAATAACCCCATGTTTCAGTCATTATGTTAAAGGGAACTCACACTTCATCGGAACAGAATACATAAAAAAATAAAATTGACCTGTTATAGCAAGTTTAAAAAAAATTACTTAGGTGCTACTGAATTAGGTGCTCCAAAACATTATTTAATGTTTTTTCCCATTTTTTCTATGTTTTAAGTTTTGATTTTTTTTATACATGTAATGTTAATAGTTAATTATCCAGTTTGATTGGAAATACGTCATGAGAAAAATTAATAATTAAAATTTATAGGTTAACTAAAAAACAATAACTTATTTAAGATACAAATAAAATATAGACTAACAAAAAACTTGACAACTGTGAACTTTTTAAATAGAAATATGAAAAACAACAAAAACAAACAGAAATGTCAAAGTTTATACCTTGATGCGTAAAAAAAAGATTGTTATGTTATAGCGAACTACATTTTTAAAATTCCATTTACCGAACGTGTTGCATACTGTACTTTTTCTACGACCGTTTGTTTTTGGTTACATTTTCGTAAAACAACACGAATACATTCACTCACATGACCGTCAGAATTGACAAACGTCAAAATTCAAAGCCTGGGTAATATCTCCGAAAACACCCGATTGCTCCCAAACCCGTGCGGTAATATCCCGGAAATGTCCGAAGTGGCTCGGATCCGTGGGAAACGAAACTGACGTGGTAAAGTGACGCTTCCCGCATGCTAGATCGGTGGGTAATTAGGTATTTCACAGACGGGAGTAGAAAAACAAGTTTTTAAACTAGGAGAAATTTCTTTTTCATATTATTAAAATAATAGCAGTGTGGATCGAAGTGAAGATAAAAAGTTTTATTTTTTCAAATACTTTATTGGTATTATCATCCATTTATCAATAACTATTTTCGCATTTGTATTTTAAATTTTGTTTAATTGTTATGCAAAATTGTACTTGACACCTGCGATAAGCATACGAAGTTTCCGTCTTAATGGAAACAATATAATATAGATATAAAAAATAAAATAAAAGATCAAAACCTAAAAACTAAGAAAGACTCTCTAATAATCATACTTGAACAAACTACTAGAACTCAGCGGGTCGGGGCTTTTTGGCGTTTTTACCTGGAATTTCTGACCATGCGCATAAAAAAACTGGGTTAGCCATTGTCGCCTCACACTCATATGGCTACTAGATATATAGAGACCCTGTCTATGCCGACACGAATTTATGAAACGATGATGAAAAAAAAATATCGAGAATGACATTTAATATGGACATGCACACTTCGTGCAAAATCTCATCTTGAAGCAAGACCTTGCGGTGTTGAAAAACCAACATGGCCGCTGACAGTTCGTCAATTCGACAGGTTTTAGTTTAGATTTAGCATTTTTACGGTGTTTTTTCAAATTACGCCCACATCTCTCATGGAAAAATGTCTTAAGTGTGTAGAAATCGATGTTTAGAAACAAAATGGCGTAAAGTGCAGGTTAGTTAAGTTATATTTGCAGTTATGCGCGGAAAATGATTCACACCTCTACGGAAATATCGTAGCCGAGGCGCATCAATTTTTGTCATAATATCTAATTGGCGATTTTACAATTCAATGAAACCTCTGGCGAAAAAAAAAGGCAAATTTAATTGGGAATGGTTGCATTGTTTTCACATGAGGTTCATGTTGGCGTTTTATTTTATAATTCGTTTGGTATAGTTCGCGATTCAGGACGTCTAACAACTAAGAAAAACATCTAATAGCTGTATGTGTTCAACCTTCGAATAGGCCACATAAAGAAGACCCCGTAATTAATAGGATCAAGAAGCCCTAAACACATCAACCAGACTCTCCCATTGATGTTCAATCCACTTCCGGTCCTAGTTTTAATTGAATCGATTTCATTTACCACTTCAAACAAACACTGATGGTTCTGTAACTATGCGTACCCCATTTTCCTCAGCAGCGTCATCATATTATGAAAGTTTGTCGACTGAAGAACAAATATAATTTTTATATATTCAGTTCAGTTCAGTTCGGTTATGTATAGTGGTTTTAGGCAAACAGAAGGCAAAATGGTACTGAAAGTTATGGACAGGATAAAAAAAGATGAACAACACTTTTGATAAACTGAACTTATATTTGCAAGACATGTATGTTTTTTGCAGTATCATATTAAACATAAATGCTTTAGGTAAATTAAGTCATAAAACTACATTTCATCCATTTTGCTTTCATAATGGACCTCAATACAAAACATTTATTCCTTGAATGTTTCGCAAGTAAAAACCGCTTCTTCGTCAGTGAGCCCAACATTTACATGTGAGACACTGGAGCTTGCCTTCTGTTGACATTGAAATAGTGACAAAGCAGACATTCTTCTTCTTCACTAGAAGAGGGATCGGTTTTCTAGGAAAACTTCTTAGCCTTCTTTTTTTTCTATTTTTATCTTATTTTACACCTGTATCGTGAAAACCGATTTTTCGTTTGAATTGTTGAACGTTTACTTGCGATATTTTCAATTCTTTTTAATGAGGCGATCATAGCGATCTTACCTCTTTTTCATGTCACCCTTTGTGCTCGTTTCGTTTATGGTACCCGCAGGATTCGTTCAGGCGAAACGATAAAGCTTTTATTTTCGTCCCGGTTCGGATTTGGAGCGACAGTGTCTGGAAAACCTAATGACTTTGAACTTAGGCTTGCAAATGACTCATCAGAATATCTGCTTCCATCATAGTCAGGTCTACGTTTTAAAGCGACGCCGACGCCTAAATTAATTAGGGGCTTTGAACAAGGTGGCTGAGATTCCTTCGTATTTTCTTCTGACTGACCGTGTGATGGAAATGAAAAGATATGGACACCATGATGTCCAGATTTCTTGTATGGCTGCCATGTCATAGAACAAAAGCAATACTGGATATTCCAAGGAAGCTCTGTAAAATGTAATGAACTTCGTAAACCATTTCGTAAAAATGCCCTCCTGGATCCAGCTGCCCTCGTGGCACTCCGCCCAAGATCCTCGAGGGGTATTATTCATAAGTTCCGACTTCACTCTTTTTCTCGGAAATGCAAGGGTGGCATGTATGAGCTATTTGCATTAAAGCAAAATATAGTGGCATAATATTGGTAAACCAACTTGCTTTTTACTTGTTTACCTTTTTTGTGCTGATTATTTTCGGCAATGTCTTCGGTACCGCGGTCATGCCCGTCTTGTCTACGTAATATATTCTATCTGGTGTTAGTTTATACTTATACAACTAAAAGTACAAAGAAACTGCTAGTAGAAACCCCCTTAAACCCTGCAGCTCTTGCAGCTGAGGTGGTCTACCGGCTATCCTTGTACTTTTTCAGCTATGCTGATTGTTATTTCCTTCTGCCAAGTCATATGCCAAAAATCTCAAATCTTTTTTTTGCAAAACCAAAGAACTTGGCCTCCATATTTTTAATATGCGCAGCAAGGACTTTCTCCGGATTTTTATTAAATACCTATCAAATCTCCACATTTTCTTCGATGTTGCTCTATCAACATCTTGATTGTTTGTTTTCGTTGTACAGATGCAGGCGACGTCTTAATGTTGTTTTAGGTACATTATAATTTTCAGGAGCCTTTCTAAGTCCCATAACCTTAGTTGCAACTTTAATTATTGCGTGTTTCATTGATTCTTCCGATCATTTTTGCCTCTCGGCCTTCCTTTTATAGTTACTAAATATCTGAAAATATTAAAAGGTTTGTTTAAAAAAAGTTGTTTAGGCAAGACGGTTCGGAAAATGCATTTTGCCCGATGCGTTTTGGCCTTTTTGCTGTATTCCAGAAAACGTGCCGATCTGGAGGTTAGGTCAACAAAGAACATCAAAGAAATATGATATAGTTTGAAGCTTATATCTTGTCCCTAGAGACCTTGCTAAAATTTCGTAGGTCACTCTTGCCAGCTTGTGGCTAACTGTCCAAAGCTTTTTCCGCGCAACAAACTTTGATGTTAATAACTTTGTACAGGTGCAGCAAATAGTAATTAAAGGATTTTAACGTGCCGTTTTACCTACAGGGTCTGTTATGCCTCCATTTCCCTTAAATGTTCAGGTGTGACATATTTTATTTTTAATGTTATTTTTTATATAAAAAATATAATCAAAATATAATAATATCTATTAATTTTTTACCAATAATTTTATTTATTAAAATATGTTACCTTAAACACACAATTTCACCAGTGATGTGATAGATTTTCGTAAGATGGTATTCCTTCATATCAAGTCCAATGAAATTTTATTTAAAATATGAAAAATTCTCCTTCAGTTTTGTCATGCCCCTCTTCGCCCAAACATATTGCAATAACAGCTGATTCACTATTGAAGACATGACAGCACAAAAAAGAAACACGTTTGACTATAGAGTGTAAATAGAAAAATTTACAGAATTAAAATATAAGTTGCTGCACTCTCTGTCGGACTTTTGATGTGTTGAGATATAAGCGAGCCGGAACCGCTTCCCCTCCACGTGCAGTCGTTCGTTAGGGTAAATGTAGGTAATCGGGATCACTTAAGCGAGAATGAAAAAAAATATATGAATCAATTATTTATGCCTCTGTTCTTTTTATAAACTTTCCTTACTTAGCTATCCATTGAGAGCAACCTTAATCACTTTGGTTTATTTATTAGGGTACCATAAATCCAAATTCACCACATACAAGACACAAGTTGTTTGCATCTTCTGCGTCGTCATTTTAGTCATCCTGGCATTACTGATCCGTATTCGCATCTGATGTCGATGTGTTCTCATTAGAGTCCTGGGGAATTTTGTTAACTTTCTCACGACTGACCTTCTGTGGCTTGCTTTTCGTTCCTGTTCCTTTTCCTTGCTTTTTCACAGCTTTGGCCTTCTGTTTTATTTTCCTTTTCAACTAGGGTGTCTTTGATCGGCGAAGATGTTAAAATCGTTGCGTGCTGTTTTTTTTCTTCCTTGTCTTGTCTTGGTAGCAGTTATATTCTTGGGCAAATGAATGAAATTTTGAACACTTAGCAGATCCTTAGATGTTCATAGTATGTCAAATCTAAACAACTATGCTGTCGCTGGTTCAGAAGTAGTGGGACGGAATGCATTTGGAATATTTTGTTCTAACTCGATAGGAGCTGTTATGGAGGGTACGGAGAGAACAGCACACGCAGATGTCGATTCTGATATAGAGTCATCATAATCTTGAACAACAATTGGCTCGGAATGCAGGATTTCTGCTGCTATAAAGTCTTCAAATATGCCCGTTGCTTTGGTCTTCGGCTTCGGTCTTACTAATGGAGGCAACATTAGAGAATGCTGTTTTCATCAGCGAAGCGATATCATAGGGTGCTATTCTTTGTGAAAATTGTCGTTTTATGAATAAATCGCATTGTTTTCTATATGCAGCTTCCAATAGACCAAAAAATGACACATCTAGTGACTGCATGCGATGAGATGCATGGGGTGGAAGAGATAGCATATGGACATGTTTTTCTTACAATACTCAAAGATTGCCAGAGAAATGTGGCTTGCATGATTATCCAAGACTAATAGGATTGGTCCTTCTGAAAAAGGTTTGGCGTAGTCGGTGAAGTGCTTGAGCCATTGAAGGAAAAGTTCTTCATCCGTTGTCCGAACATATTGCTCCTGTTGGCCCATATTTTTCGAGAGTCGGGGTCATCCTCTTTCTGAGGAAAATAAACATTGGTGGGACATATCCACCTGCAGCACTCATATCGCAAAGCAAATATTCTTACGAATTTTCCAACTGGTTATCGACCCTACTCTCCTTTGCTTCGTTGCAGCTAATATTTTTTCAGGATCTTGGACGGTGGAGATGCCGATTTCATCACGATTTTATATGTTTTTTGGTAAAAATTCTTATTTTCCCATTAGCTCTTTCAGCACCTCGTAAAAGCGTTGTACTTCAGTCTCGTTAAAGGCTGTAAACCCTATTGACGTTGGTAGCTTCCGCACAGAAATATTATTTCTAGTAATAAATCCCTCAAACCAAATTCGACCAACCAATCTTGAACTCGCATTAAAATGGCGTTTCAGATTTATGGCTTGAACGTATTCAAATGCTACCCTTTTTATTTCGTTTGGGGTGCACCCATAGAATATGTTGGCCATTTTCTTGATTATGCCCGCTTACTCTTTTGCCATCTCCATCTGAAGAAAGCATTACGGCCCAGACAAAGTGCCTCAAACATACTTTTTTTTGTATCTCTTGTGAAGACTGGCGATTCATGGTCTTCGCGGCTTTTCTTATACAATAATTCTGTTCATTAATAAGTTTTATAGCTTTTTCCAAGTCGTCTGTGGTCCAGTTATTAGTCGTTCTACCGCGAACTTTCGGCATCTACAATTAAAAAGTAAGACTGCTTTACTAAGATAAAGTAGTGGGTGCAATGGGGATCACTATGCAAAAGACTTTATAGATTATTATAATAAATTACACATTACACATTACAAGGACAGAACGAAATATTTGTTATTTTTGGACTTTCCTTCATATTTATCCACTCTAAAAATTAGATGAAAATGGCACAAAACCTTCAAACACCTGTCACCCTCCGGCATGTGGCGCGAAATGGGCCAGTCAATGGTAACCTTCAAGAATCGAGTAATGCTAGGGCGTAGTGAAGTTCGCGTCGGTTGGTCGCGTTCAGTTTGTTTCATTTTGGGGTGATCACCATTTCCAACTGACTCCCATTGCCGACATTTCCCCTATTCTACGAGTTTACGAGGGATCTGTATGTTTGTTCAGTATGTAGCATATCTATTAGGGAGTTTCATTTTTAGGCGATTTATTTTTTTTTCTCTGTGCTACCTGAAAATCTGATACTTTATAGAAAATAAAAAATTACGCCGCCGGGTAAAAGGCTTTAAGTGCAATAGCGGCTTAGCTCATTTAATAATTCATTTTTGTATTTAAATAACACATAAAAAATTTTTTTTCGGTTTTCACTTGATTTTTCGACGTAAAGATTTTTTTTTTTTGATAAACGCTTATATAGCTTTTGTAGAGCATAAAATTTGCTACAAAAAGTTCCTATGCGTACCTTCTCCCCGACCAACAGCTTTTAAATTATAGGGCTGTGAAAATAAATGGTCATTATAATTGATATCAAATCATTTCTAAATTAGGATTTATTATTTTTACATTAAATAGCAATTAATTATAAACAGAAGAACGCTTTATTTGAGTTATTATATGATTCAAGTTTCTAATTTCCAAAATTATTTTGGAATCAAATAGAGAAAATTAAAAGTCAATTATTAAAAAAATATTAATTATAATTAAATAATAATTAATTATAGACATTTAGAAACTATTCATTGTTGTAATCCAGTGAATACTCTAAAATTTAGTGAACGAATATAAATTTTAATTAATAAATAATGATATTTAGAAGTGTAATCTATAATCTAGTCCCTTTCTACCCGTAGGGTGTAAGGGTCGTTATTTTTTATGTTATTTTGGAGTTTCTGTTGAGTCTGAGTTGATAATAACTCAAATAAAGCGTTCTTCTGTTTATAATTATTTCCTATTTAATGTAAAAATAATAAATCCTAATTTAGAAATGATTTGATATCAATTATAATGAACATTTATTTTCGCAGCCCTATAATTTAAAAGCTGTTGGTCGGGGAGAAGGTACGCATAGGAACTTTTTGTACCAAATTTTATGCTCTACAAAAGCTATACACGCGTTTTTTCCAAAAATTTTCAAAGTTTAATAAGTCCTTTAAAAAAGAAGGTATCATGCTGAACGAAAAATTGAACCATTAAAAAGTAACAAGGCTTGAAGGGTTTGACAATAAAAAAAAATCTATTATCAGTAAATTCCACAGAATGGTTCAAATATGTACTTTATTAAATTGTTTTTTTTTTTCATGTTTAGTATAGGAACCCAATTGATTTGAAGATTAAATAGACCCTCTGGTATTTAGTGCAAAGAATAAAATATTTCTATTATCAAACCTTTCAAGCATTGTTTTTTTAATGGTTTAATTTTTCGTTCGGCTTGATAGCTTCTTTTTCAAAGGAGTTATTAAGCTTTGTAGTAAAGCATGATTACATTAAGTCTTATAAAAATAAATTTAAATATTCGATACTTTTTATTATAATAACTAGTTAATAAGTGAAAATACATAGGAAAAAAACATTTTTTTTTATAATTATATGTTTTATGTTATTTTTATATGAAATTATTGACAAACTTCCGTCATATCAAATAACTACCAGTTAAAATCGTAATTGACATAATAGATGTCCCTAAAAAAAACTCATTTCAATTCGCAAGTACGTTACGAAATGTTAGTTTTTTTTTGCCAACCTTTAACATATAATTTTAACATTGTCGATATTAATCTTGGAAGTGAATGAACTCTGCCATAACCAAATGAACAACTATAGCTATCTAAATGTAAATACCTATTTGATTTAACCATTCTTACTGGCATCCGATGCTTGCAGTGTTAATTTCAGGTTGAATGCAGACATCTTTTTTAATATAAGATTTATTTTTTCTTCTAAAACACATATATATTTAATACATAAATGTACCAGTCGATAAGTAGATTCGACCGTTTGTTAATTTCCTAGGAGAATTTGAAGGCGATTTCGGACTTCATTTGCGAAGCTGTCATCACTGAAATGTAAACTGCAAATTTTTATTCGACTGTGGCGCCTAAATGAGATTAAATATACTATGAAATATAGCGGTAAGCAATAAAATCAATTGAGAGAGTGGACTACTGGAGTTTCACACCTTCCGCTAAACAATAAGTCACAAGCATTTTGCTCACTTATTTCGGTCACCAAGTAGAAGACGCGCGATGTTCGTTGCAAGCGCACCGTGTACCTTGTCTACGGTGTCGACCAAAGATCGCCTGCTGCCAACCTACTGCGAGTTAGGCGGGAGGGGAGAAAGCTTCCAACAGTCGATCGGCGGCACGTTGCCGAGTGGGGCTACTTTTATTTTAATTTTGTAAACTTTGCAAATACCGTCCAAAAGTATCGGGCACCTGCGTTTACGTTTCCCTGCGCCACTATCAGAAAATAAATTCCCGGATCCCTATATCCTCTTATTAATCGCGTTTTAGGTCTAGAAAACGTGGCGCCCTCGCGCGTCCTACTCCGGAACATAAAACAAGCGGACGCCGACGACTACGTCGAAAACGCAGATTCCTGCGGCGAAGGCGGCAAATGCCCTCCCAAAGGCCAAAGGAAATCCCGCGAAAACGACGACTATGACGTCGACGTAGACGCACCTGCCCGTCTAGCGGACGAAGAAGAGAACTACGACGACGATGACGGCGACGGCGACATCGACGACGCGAACCCGATGCTCGAAGACGGCAAGTACCGTCTCGACATCCGTCCCGACGTCTACCGCGTCAAGTCCGAGACGTTCGAAGATGACGCTGGGTCGCCAGTTGAAAAACGTAACGCCCCCGACGCCATAGATATTGACGAGCCCCAGCTGAGGCACCTGATCGCCGTGAGGGGGAGGACCATGCTGCCGCGTGACGCGCACGCGCGTTCGAGGAGGATGACGGGGGAGGAACAGCAGCTTCGTCTCGAAGATATGCCCGGGGAAGATTTGTTTGGGCCGTTGCAGCACGGCTTCGACGCGGAAAGAGTCAGGTACAAGAGGGTCAAGAGGAACGACAAGCATCGCCGTTCGGGATAGTGATGAGAGGGGTTAACATATAGGAGTCAAGAGTGCTTACACTGTCGTCATGGTCGGATAATAAAGCTAGTCGAAAAAATACTAAAATAGCGTTTAATTTTTTTATGTATTTTCTCGTAACTCTGTAACTCGTGGGCCCAGTTATTCAGCCAATTTCGACAAGTTTGCGAGGAAATTTTCATTTAAAGGGAGGCGGTTATTAATGGAGATTGTTTTACTTTAAGATACACATTAATACTAATAGCAGACAAGTTTAACCCTTTCAAGACGGTTGACATATATATCTGACACTAGAAAAAATGCCTCACAGACGGCTATGTATAGCGATATATAGGTCAGGTTATTTTTTGGCTTTAAAGGCGTCTGTATGATAAATAAGCCAGGATTGAAAAATTGAATTGGCAGTGGACCGACTGACTGATATATCATGACTGGAAAATTTGACATATGGACTAGCGCCATATATATCGCCCACCGTCCGATATACGTGACGCGCGCCCATCTGTCAAACATCTCAAAAACCTGTCACCACCTAATTGTAAGTGTTTTAGTTGCACTCAAAATGTCGTGCGTAGATGAAGCTGGACCTTCCCGAACAAAAAAAACAAAAACAAATAACGCTACAAGCGATTATTGCGGACTAACAGTGGAAGTAAGGAATCTCAAAGAATTGTTTTGATCAGATAGTAAAAAGGATTCATTTATTGATAGTGGTAACGAATATTTGCCACGTGATGTCGGCGGTAGAAGAATCAGTTCTGCAGAAGACATTGATGAAGAATTGGAAGATGTATGTTTAGAGAGTAATCATGATACCTCAAACGAAAACATTCACAATGATGGTGGCACCAAGGACTATAGTGAGATATATATTAACTGGACAAAAAAGAACTTTGTGTCCAAGTTGCATAAATTTGATGACAGCCACAGTGGAGTAAAGCACATGACATTGAAAGAAGACTCACCTGAAATAGATTATTTTTTGAATCTTTTTACTGAAGATACAGCACCTTTCATAATTTTCGAGACCAACAGATAAGCTCTACAGAAAATGATAATAAAAGATAAAATGAAAAGATCTTGATGAGTTTTTCACATTTCTTGGGTTGACTATGATCATGAGTAAAAATAGAATGTTTGTAATACAAGAATATTGGTCAACAAATCCTCTTTTTACTTTTCTGTTTTTAGCCAAAAATGGCAAGAGACAGATCTTTAGAAATTCTAAAAAATTTGCATTTTTCAAGTAACGAGAATGCTAAAACTGGTTATAGATTGCATAAAGAGACGTGTTGAAACAAATAAAGCAAAGGTTTCAATCACAATTCTATCGTTTTGAAAACCTAGTGATTGATGAAAGTATGATACTCTTTAAAAGAAGACTTCTTTTTAAGCAATATATAGGAACTAAGCGCCACAGTGTTGATATAAAGCTTATGTGACTGTGAAACAGGATTCATTCAAGACTTCATTGAGTATATTGAGGACACATATAATCCAGAAGAAAACCTTGCAGGATTAGGAGTCACTGGTAATACTGTAGCTCAGCTTATGAAACCGTATCTAAACAAAGGTCACTCCCTATCTACAGACAATTTCTATAGTAGTCCGATCTTATCATGTTTTCTTCACGAAAAAAAAAACAAATTCTTGTGGGACTGTTGATGATAACAGTGCACAAAAACAAAATGGTTACACTTGATAAAATTGGCAATGCCACTGAAGAGCCCTTGATTAACTATAATAAACAGATGGGAGCAGTAGACCGTTCGAATATGATGAGCAACATTGATTGTATGAGGAAACCATAAAATGGTCCAAGAAATTATTCTTTCATACACTGGATATCTGTATGTTGAATACATATGCCATGTTTTTGATGAAACAGACTTGCCCAGTGCCGTTAAGTTTCGACAAAACCTACATAGGTTTGTATAAATTTTGACTATTATCCACATATATCCCTGATTTTCTTCAAGTTCTTCTGTTGGATGACGTCAATTGTTGTTGTTGCAGATACAAATCTAATGCGAACAAGCCGTTTTTGCAACTGCTGATATAGCTAGACTACAATACAGGATATTTCCCCACATTAGTTCCCTCAATTGAAAAGATAAAAACCGCCTCTAGAAGATGTATGCTCACACACAACAGCAAAGGAAAAACAAAGAAAGGTTTCCAGATACATATGTGTAAGGAATGTGACAAAGGCTTGTGTGTAATTCCATGTTTCCAGATCTACCACACAAAGAAAAAATTCTAACAAATACTTCAGGCAATGAGTTTTATATTTTGATTTAAGAATATTTTGTATAAGTTCATTTACATCTTTTAATACTTTTCAAAAGTTTGTTAGTTAAAAAAATATATTTTAAATTAAAATAAAGTTATTTGATTAGAAAAAAGTATTTTTTCGCGTTTATATGACATTCGTTCACAGGGCACGTAAAAAACAACCGCCTGTGTCGCAAAATGGTGCCGTCCTAACAGGGTTAATAAATTATTGTTCTAGATTGTTTCTCAATTTTTTGCTTGTTTGAATTTTTTAGGGTTAATTTATCCTATTTTAAACTAAGTTTTTTTTTTAATTTTTGCCTTGCATATGGTTACAGTTGTATTTATTAGTATTAAAACTTCGGATAAGACTTAAATACACTGTCGAGCAAAAAACTTAGGTCCCTCAAGAAATTTCAAATAATTTGGAAAAAAGGTTTATCGCCGAATCGTCAGTCTAGTACGCAGTGACCGTGCCTTCAGACAAATGCGGATGGAGATATTTGTTATGTCAGTTATTATCAGCCTAGTTTAGATTTTTTTGTGAAATAACTAAGCTCGGCCTAATTAAAAATTCGTGCGTTAGGTACTTTCAAGTTTATTGTTCATTTATTCCTATAAAAATTTAAGATTGTTTGGTATATGTCAGATCGAAGGTAAATTTAACTGGTCATAATGTTTTTGTATCCTATTGTTTCTGGCTAGAATTGTAGCACTAATAAAAAATGGTCGAGGAAAACAGGAAACTACAAGAGTTGTTGGTAGGAGCCTGTGCTTTACAAAACGTATGTATGTATACAAGAGTTTGCACAATAGGACAGCTTCTGCTGTTTATGTTAGCGAATGGACTATTAGAAGCGCCACCATTGCACCGACGGCATCAAATAGCAAGAGTAGCTTTTTCCCGAAATCACTTAAACCGATAAATCCCGTTTTTGCCTCATTGCTTCAGATGGATGTCGCAGAGTATGAAGAAGACCTGAAAAAATATATGCCACAGGTTGTATTTATGAAAGACTTCCACGTGGTGGTGGTACGGTTATGGTTTGGGCTGGAATGAGTTCGCAAACACACACGGAGTTGGTCTTTATACAGAATGGCTCTCTAACAGTTCACAGGCACGTTACGCAAATCCTGGATGATCATGCTATGCCTTTAATGATCGCAAAGGGTGAAGATGGCATTTTTATGCACGGTAATACTGCACCCCACATCGCGAGAATTGTCAGCACTCAGTCCGGACATGAATCCAATTCAACATGTGTGGAATGAGATGGGACGACGTATTCGAAGACATACACCAGCTCCAAGAAGTGTCCAAGAGCCGACAGATTTGCTAATGCAGGAATGGAACAGCATCGACTAGAATATAATCCGTAATTTAATTCAAAGCATGCCTCCTCGATTACGAGCAGCCATAAACGCAAGAGGAGGGAATACACGTTATTAATTTTCAGGTTTTCTAAATAAAATAATTTGGCTGTGTTTACAATAGGCACTTTGTTTTCCAACAAAATCAAGAAAACCAACACAAGATTTTCCGATTAAATGTTAAATTCAATTAGCCAGATAGACTAGGATGAATAATTTACCACCTACGAGATCGACGATCGTTGATAAACTTTTTCTCCTAAAAAATTTGTATTTAAAATTTGTATGTGACTTTCCCTGATCTTTTTATACAAGGTACAAGACAAAGATCCCAATTAAATGCCGTCTTTTTCTATTGCAAAATAAACTTTGCAGACTAAAGGGCAAAAAATAAACTGGAAGTGACTTCAAGCTTTACACAATACACGCATTCTATAGCGCCAAAACTATGACGAAACAGCTCCTTCTTCATTCATAAGCGTACCAGATTTGTAAGCACTTTATGAATAGACTATCGAGTATCTTCGTTGGTCCGGATAAAGATCCATTGTTTACGGATCTTCGAGTCAAAACTAGAGTCTGTCTCAATAAAGAGCTCAGTGACGCCATTGTTGGATGCGCGAAATAAGCGTCCTAACTATTCGGGTTATTGCGTTCTTTATAGTGTAGGTGAAACAAAGTTGTACCGGTTTGTCGCAAATAATATTATTTCAGTAAAATGCCTTACCTTAGTCTACAAAAATAAACGAAATATAAGCACCCACAATTAATCTTCTGCGCATCTGACGGCACTGGGCTCTTCTCTGTTGCACATTGATGAAATCTGTTTGAGTAGATAATGAGGGCAGGGGGCAAAAAGAAAGGAAATAAAAAAGATGTTATTTTGGTGGAATGGTCTTGGTTGTTGTGGGAGAGAAGCAATGAAATTAAAGTAAGGAAATTAAAAATTTTAATGGTGCCGGTAAGGCGTGTGTTCCAAGGACTTATGGTCTGTTCATAGATATAAGAAAGTAACCAATTGCTTTTGAATGGGATTATCCAAGGGTGGTCATTAACATACAATGCAACAAGAGTATTACCTAAAGTTTCGGAATTTAAAATCAGGTAAACTTGTGATCCGTAATAGAAAATAATTTAATACGTACTTGTGTTTAATATTCTTTGGTTTGGTATACTACTCAGTTTAAATTTATTGTAATCATTCTTATTTCGTATGTAATACAGCGTGTGTTGAATCGTGTGCGAATTATGCAAAATATGTGCGAGTCTAGTGTATCTCATGAGATGCTCCCGCCCAAATGTAGAAAACACTATTCTATTGAAACTAAGTTATAAACAATGTTTATTTGACTCTCATTGAACGTGATGCCAGCAAGCAAGCATCTTCAGAAGTAATTTAAGTAGGTAATAAAAATAATTTGTAATTTTATTTTAAATTTAAACATAAATACATATATAAATAAATAAATATTGTTTAGTATCTTTCCTAACAAAACCCCAAATAATTAAATTCTAAGCAAAGTACGGACCTGTTCGACCATATTTCATTCTTACAGCTTGCCCGGGTCTTTCCATAATTCGTATCAGTTAGTCACTTTCTTATATCTAAGAACAGACTTTACCTTCCCAGTAGAATCCCTCAACGGTGGGGTGAAGGAAAAGGCCGCCTAAATTTTTCGTCACGTTCCCAATTATATTTTAGGAAGTACACAAAATTTATTTAAAACTTATATAATCAATAAAATTTCTGTTTTTTTCTGTAACAATAAAAAAAATAAAAAAGTATTGCACTTAAAAAAATTACATCTATACAAAGAGATAGAGATACAAGAAAAGTATGCCATTTTTTTTTCAATTTTATTTTCTTTTTACAAATAATTAAGGATCCTTTTTATGCTCACTTTATCATTGTCAGTCATTTTTCGGTTCTTGAAAATATTCGTCTTGTTCCCCCTATACACCCAGTAATGTATAATGTAAAGCTTAGAATTTTTTTTCAAAGGTGACTTACAAATATATATTTTACGCCGGTGTGGGTATATCAAAAATTAAAATCATCAACGCTATGACAATGACGAGAGTCTCGCAGCGGAAAAAAAATATTTAAACGTGGGCCTGAGGCCGACCCCTTAGTTCGGCAACGGTCGGGTATTAAGTACGTATACCACAAAGGAAAGATGCATCTCAGGCGCAGAGAATCATGGCGGTAGCGCAATGCAGGACCGAACCGAGAGAACTTCGAGAATTTTTTGGATTGTGACTAAGATTATTATTAAATACAAAAAAATATGTCAATAAATTCTTGACATTTACGGTTGCGGTTCAGTGCAATGTTTTTGTTATCGTAATAGATAGTCTTTCAGAACATCGTTACAAACTAGTTAAACGATAATTTATTCATTAAATGAATTCGAATTAGAAGTAATTTAAAGTGAAAGACTTTGGGTGATTTTGAACAGTGTTACCACTTATTATGTAGGTGTTATTTGATATAAACAAAACAAGCGAAAAGGATAGATACTGCCTTGATAAAATTCTGATATGTCACTGTTTGAACTTTACACTCATAACATTAAAATAAAATTGAAAGAAAAAATGTTTCTTTTTGTTACACAGTGATTGTAGAAAAAATCTCCTTTTTTTATAAGGAATCTACAGTTTCAATTGTTAACACTTATTACGTCACGTATATACCAATAACACCAAAAATCCAAATTTATCCGACCATTGCAGGCGAGTTAAATTCACTGGCGATTTTAAACTAACACGAACACGAACAACGCTGTCACCCGTGACTCTCTGTGCTTTAAGGCGGGGCTCACCACATTTTCAAACGGTCTTCGGAATTCACAGCCAACTTGTATGTGTCAAATGTCTGGCGATAATAATAATTGCAGGCATGTTGTTGCGACGGTGCCATTTTTTAAAAATTGACCTTGTCGGTTTCGAAAATAAATATTGACGAAAAACTGAAATACTTTAACACCCTGTATCTTAAAAACGAAGAAGTTGTGGACCCTGGTTTATAAAATTCTTATCCCTGTTTGGGGGAGTAGGAAGATTGACATGCACTGTCGGCAAAACCTGACATTGGGAGACCGCATACAAGGGTACAATCCTAAACTATAAACCTACAATTGGTACACCACTTCTTCACTTGTTTAGAATTTTAGATCTTTATGTTCATTTGCGTTCTCAGAGCAAATGGCAATAACCGTTATTCGTTTCCGTAACGCATTGTAAATTTTTGAAATTTTTAGTGAATACAAAAAAAACGTCGCCCGAACGACCAGTGTAAAAAAACTGCGCCGACCGCCGCCGACCGGGCCACGCCCCCCACTCCACCGAGAACGATTATAACAATCATATACATATATAATCACTTTTATACATTCCTTTTTATCACTTAAACATCTGTTTTATACAATATATGCAAAATATAACCAATTTGTAAACTTTCCACAAAATAAACTCTAATTAAACTTACGCCATACCATCCCAGAAGAAAAAAGAAATTATAAAATAAAATAAAAAACGTTTTTGTTAATTAACGAATTAACAGTCGTTTCAAGACCTTCTTCAGTCTTTGTGGTAATTTTTTTATGTCTGTTAATTTTCTCGCGACGACTGGAACGCCACTGTCGTCCCTCCGAAATTCGTCATATAGATTTTTTTTTCGCGTTTGGTCACGTACCGGACACTGACCGGCGGATTGGTGTCCGTTACATCTAACAATCACACTTAGAAAGGTTTAAAATCCGGTTTTCACCACTACGGTAGTTCGGTTGTGAAGTTTTAGCGCACTGGACACATTGTACTAGTCTAGTGAGGGATCCTGAAACAACAAACGAAATGTTGACGCGTCATAGACAGCTAAACAGGCCAGCACCGTAACCAAACCATACCGTATATTCGCAACGGACAATAAAGTTCGCAGAACAATATACCGTTTTTACGACATAATAACTTAATAAATTAGTAAATTTTTATGAAGATCTAACCGCAGACCTACCTCGCTTGAAGCGACGGATTTGTGTAGTTTGTGGACTTTCATCGGTGAGATTCCTCGATTATTATTAGTTCAAGCAGTGAAAAATCCATTCTTACTTTAAAATATTTATTATAAATATAAATGAAGAAGTAAATTTTCCTAAAAAAGAATGTTAGAATATTTATCAAAAAATGGTATTCTACATCAAAATAATCACTATGGTCACACCATCACAACATCACAACACTATTTGGTGGAATTTTGGAATGAACAACTCTTCTTTTTTTATTGGTCGAATCCGTTTTTCCAATTTCCACCTTTGATCCACATTTACAATGTTCTTTACAGTGCAGAAAACAGTCATAATTATATACACGAAACACAGTCCCTAGTTCAAATAATTGGGAGCTACCTCGCACACATAAACGATGATGTAAACATCATCATATAAAAAACACTGATAAAGATAACACAAATATTTGCATCTCACACACCAATTCTGAGACTGGTAAACGGCTAAACTATTCACACATTTTCGCCACTTTTGATTAAAATCGCGGAATAAGTAGGAAGTCTTTTTCGAAAACGGCTTATTCAGCACTGCCACTGATATCAGCCGACATCTACCTGACTCGCCCTGTCTTGTCACTTACCTATGAATAAAGTATTATTTATTGGGTTTACCCAGTAACAGGTATGAAGATCATAATTACTTTGTAGGAGAGGGTCTGTCAAAAGTAGAAACGGTATACGTAATTTGAGTCACACTATACGTAGAATCGGCAAAACCAAACTTTAAGTCTGTCTGATACAATATAAAAAGCCAATAAACTCATCCGTGCTGGAAAATAAAACATAACATATATAACAATATCCGATTGTGGATTTTTAAGTGTACTACTTCTAATGGAGCCATTTTTCAATATAACCTCGCACATTTTAAGAAACCCTCTAAAAACGTGTTTTAGATTAATTGGTAGACCTTCCCTTTTCATTTTTCTAATTTATCTTCAACTAGGTAAATTAATTTTTGTTTCAGCGAACATTTTTTAGACTTTTGACCTCCGAAACTCCTTCTGAAAAAGTAAATATCTTGTTTTTTTCTCACATCTTAATCTCGTTTCACTTTATTCCGCATACGCCGCCAAAAGACAGGGGAGGGACCCAAGACTCACCTTTGTTACGATCTATAATCTTCCAGTATTTCCGAAATCCCTATCGAGTTGTTCAAGATCTGAAAGTCGGTAGAGTCCAGCGAGCCGAGACCCTCTTTCAGCTGTTCGTCCGTGAAAAACTCGTTCTCCAGCTGCCTGCTGAAATCTTGTCCGGCCGAGAAATCTACGGGGCGTTCGTATTTTTTTACCGGAAATATATTGATACATTTTCTTTATTCGAAACCGAATCAACAAAAATGATTTTTGGTAAACAACATAGATCGCATTTAGGGTTATTAGTAAAATTTAGCAAAACCCTACGCAACGCTACCTGTAAGGGTAATTTCGGGCAGACTAGTGGGCGTGTTCGGCGAGGTAGTGTGCAGACCCGGAGACGTCGACGGATACACCAGCTGGTGCGACGGCGACGAGCTGTAGTAGCTGGCGTCGGACGTGACGTCAGGCAAGTTGGGCGACTGCGCCAACTGGGGACTGGTCGCCGGTTGGTCGACGTACGATATGGCACCGACCGGCGAGTCCGACTACACAGACAAGAGAGACAAGTGCAACAAGCCGGACGGAAGACTGAACGCGTCACCCCCAAATAACAAACTTTCAATAAAACTACAAGACCAATAACAGAATTGGTACAGCCAAATAAAGAAAAGATCCCTGCCATTTCCAGGCTTGCCAGACGACAAATTTAGCCAATAAAATGTTTAAAAACGTAATTCACGTGAAACTTTTTCTTGCTTTGCTACAAATAACTTAAATAACGAAGACAAATTTTTGAAAAAATCGAAGACTTTTCCATTCGATTTTTTTTGTTTGCCTTTGGATTGGAATAGTTCTCATTTGGCTTCAATGTTAACAATCTACAAATGTGTCCGAGTTCCATATTATGACGGTACAGTCGTCTAGTAGTAGTAGTAGTAGTAGTAGTAGTAGTAGTAGTAGTAGTAGTAGTAGTAGTAGTAGTAGTAGTAGTAGTAGTAGTAGTAGTAGTAGTAGTAGTAGTAGTAATAGTAGTAATAGTAGTAGCAGTATACAAAAAAAATCTATTGAAGGCCGCCTACACTCATAAAAGAAACAAAATTCTCAAAGTACAAAATGCCAACGACCTCTACGAATATTGTAATCATTCTAACAAGGGCAATCAAAATATTTACGGCGAAGAAACCCTCATGCAAAACAGGAATCGGAAATTTATCGGCAAGAAAAATATTAATAAAAAAACTAATAAAATAAAAGCATGCTACTGAACAAACTGAAAAGGACCACGTGCGCCCCTGATAGGTGTGATGAATTTAAAACTTAAAACATTAAAAACGGATATATGTGGAAATTCAAGGGACATTATTTCCAAACTGCTTGCTTGTATATAAGTGTTGCCAGAGTTTTCAAATAATCAAAACCAAAGCTAATTGATTAATTGGGTGGCTATTTTTGCATTATTTTATTACAAGTCGTTATTAAAAAGCAGAATTCTCAAATAATAAATAATTTTAAGACAAACATGTACTATACAGGGTGTCCATTGTAAGATGATGTACATGGGGATATTGGAAACTGTACGAGATATAGTTCGCTTAAATGGAAGAAAAGTAGCGTATGCGTATTCCAAAATATAATCTAGCTTTGTTTTATTTTAAATCGACCCCATTACATAGCAACAGGGTGAAAGGAAAATGGGCATTTTTGACAAATCACAATATTTTAATTATTATAGGAGCAAATTTCCAGGATATGGCTAAAACAATACAACGGTGCTAAAAATGGCGTGTCACCGATGTCAACTTTTGTTTTTCTTATGGGCGTCAAATTGAATTTCTGCACTTGCTAAACTCATTTAAAAATTCTTTTCTACGATGTGTAACATATTTATGTTTGGTCAAGATAAATCCCGAGAAATAATAAAAATAAGATTTCAGGATAGTAGTGGATATTGCCAATCAATTTTAAAACATATTTAAATAATGAGTGAACAAGAAATCAGAATGAAATTGAAGAAAGAGGACAGAGAAAAGAAGTGAGTAAAATTTTATATACCTTTAAAGGTTCTTTATTTTTTTAACGCACAAAATAACTAAGAAAATACACAGCATTTTACAACAAAATTAGAGTAAACGTTCGAATAATAAATAATAAATAAAAAAATAATAAAAAAATAATAAACACTGCTTCCGAGGACTGTCTTAATATTTGCGGAATGATATTTTTTTCCCATGGGACTTACTGTATATTTGATTTTTGAGGTAACAACTTACATGAAAGGGGGTTATGTCTGAGGTGAATCGCCGTCTTGTTGCAGAAACATTTGTTGCAGAGCTGCTAGTAAAAGATTCATAAGATCTTCTGTTGGGTTTGTTAGTACAAGGTTTAAATATCTCTCAGAATTAAAATTATTGTGGGTCTCCAAAACACCAAACCAAACGTTAAATATCCACCTCACTTAATGCCTAACTTCACGAGCTCGCCTTGGATTTACATCGGCCTAAAATGCAGTGTTCTTACGATTGCACAATTGAGTAATTAGTAAATCGGCACTCGTCCCACCAAAGGACTTTTAAGAAAAAGTTTGGTATCCCGTTATTTTTCTGAATAAACTACTGACACAATGCCGTTCTTGCAACAGTATCGCCATCCTGCCCCTTCATCCTCAAGATAATGATGACCGAACAACGCCTGTTGTCTCTTCAAACTGATGTAAAGATTTTCATTTACCTTGCCTTTCAGACGCCTCAATACGGCTCTAACCGGTTGACGTCTTCCAGGATATTTATTTAAATACATTTCTTCAGCTTCGGCAGTTTTAGAAGCAAGAAAGTATGTCAAATAAGTCTCCATACACTTTAATTAATCACTATTCAGAACTGCAGATAGAACCGTTAATTATCAATATCTTATCAAGTCAGCTTTTTTCAAATTTCGTTTAAACAAATAAGTTATACTTGTTTATTTTTGACGCCACTTTTAAGTCACTGCTTTTGAAGTAAAAGCGAAATGAGCGCTAAAAATTGCGAAAATCCAATTGCGCTTCGAAAAATCATAGTAGATTTATGGAAAGAGAAAACATCCTTTAGAGATATTGCGAAAATAATTAAAAAATTACATTCGACTGTATGGTATGTAAGAAATCAATACAAATCCACCGGATCTTATAAAGTGCGGTCACGCTCTGGTCGTCCCGGCAAGTTAACTGCATGAGAAGAGTCTTCTGTTGAGAAAAAAAATAGAATTCTAAAACAAGCGCTCCAAAACTTGCAGAGGAAATCAGGGAAGGGTTCTCAGAAAATGTTAGCCCTCAAACTATTAGAAACTGCTTGCGTCGAGCAGGTTATAACGGCCGCGGAGGAAACCATTAATTTCGGAAAAAATTCGCAAAAAACGTTGGAATTTGACCGAGAACACATTATCAAAACCAGGGAGTTTTGGGGAAACGTTATCTTTAGTGACGAAACAAAAATTAATCTTTTCGGGTCAGATAGTAGGAATAAAGTTTGGACGAAAAAAATACTAAAAATCGAAAATGTCTGTCCTACGATTAAGCATGGTGGAGGTAATGTTTTATTGTGGGGGTGCATGTCGGCTAATGGAACAGGCAATTTAGCTTTTATTGACGGAATCATGGACCAACATGGCTTTATGAACATCCTAAAGAATAATTTAAACCAAAGTGTTAAAAAACTTAACCTTGAGGGGCGTTATTTATTCCAACAGGATAACGATCCCAAACACACTGCTACGCTTGTACGTCACTGGATGATCCATAGTGTAAGCCAACAACAATAGAGCACCTTTGGGAAAAATTAAAGACGAGTGAAAAAACATCAAGTTACGAGTAACGAGGACCTCAAAATTAGGATAAGAGAAGAGTGGGAAAACATATCGCCAGACGTTACAAGAAAGCAAATGGCAATTGCACAAAATATTAGACTTAAGAAACGGAGACGTTTTTGACCGACTGTACGACACTATTTCAAAAGCAATTCATGTTAAAACTTAATTAAATTTATTAACTTAAATTTATCTCGGCCAAACATAAATGTGTTACACATGGTTGAAAGGCATTTTCAAAGAGGAGTTTAAAAATATAGAAATTCAATATAACCTCCACAAGAAATACAACAGTTGACTTCGACCTAAATTTTTTTATGCCATTTTTAGCATCGCCGTATCCTTTCACCTATATCCTGAAAGTTTGAACATTTCAGCTCCTATAATAATGAAAATATTGTGCTTTTTCAAAAATGGCCATTTTCCTTTTCACCCTGTATCTACGTAATGGTATTGATTTCAACTAAAACAATGTTAGATTATTTTTTGGCATACGCTACTTTTCTTCCATTTAAGCGACGCTGTATCTCTTACAGTTTCTAATATCCCCAAGTACATCATCTTATACCCGACACCCTGTAGACTCTTTTCTTTAAATTAATTAATATTGCAATAAACTTAAGAATCTGAGAAAATATTTCAGTCCATTTTTTGCCCTATACCTACTTAAAATCGAACTAGAATTCACTACTTTAGTTGCTGATGAGATTAGAAAACGTCCTGCATAGCACATAAAATGTTTGCTACTACTTTGTTGTTTGTAATATCAATTTACATTTCATAATATGAATTTCCATTATATGGACCATCTGGGGATGCCATATTCCTTTTCTGTCAAATTTCCTAAGGCAGCTGAATTTTGCTTGGGTCTTAAAAAGTATCAAAAGTTACCGATATGATAATTTCCAAACTCACATCTCTGAATCTACAATCTGACAACACGTAACAAATTTGTTTACATCTGATCCACGCGCATCAGACTAGAGACAATTTCCTTAGCTGTCCCTTCCATGATCTAAGATTTAAAAAGCTTAGCCTTCGGAATCCCGTCCTATGTGTTTTTAAACAGGTCTTGTTTATAAGCCAAAAACCGCATTGATTCTTGGGTAAAAATCCCAAATCCAGAATTCTATACCCAAAACCAGAGCGTCCGAGAGAAATTAAAAGAATAAAAAAAAACGAGCAAGGAAAAGAAAAGAGCTGTCATTCTCAATTGTTAGTACCTCCAAGTGAGCGCTCCACGTACAGCCGGACTCCATCAGGCTGGCGACTAGCTGTGCCCAGTCCTAATAACATGCACACACATTTAGACCCACATTCCGGCCAAGATTTATGAATATGAGATGTGGGCGGGGTGATGATGGTTCGATCGTCGGTTACAAGATGTCGCGCGATCGCAAATTTATGAAACTAACGCCGTTAGCAATAAGTGCAAAGAGCAAATTTCATAATTAAATATCTGCCACAGTTAAAACAGTCATCACTTAAAACAGTTACAACTGTTTTAAGCAAACTAACACGGACCTGCTGCTACGGTTTTTTTTATTCAATATCTTTATCTTTAAGTCCTTTAGAATGTTTAATTTCTACATTTAAATTTGGAGGAAAGAGTTTCCGACGTTTAAACCGTAGACAAAAAATATCGACTGATTAAATATAAACATTTCTGTCGCAACACCTCGTATCCGGCGTCTTCAATGCTACGTGGTGTGTAAACCAGCTCGAGTATGAAACCGATCTAACCATGATACCTCTATGGATGGTTCTGTCGAAAACTATGTACATACCAAATCTATATAACTTAGCTTTTGATAGCACTATTACAGACAGCGTAAATTACCGATACCTGGTTAGCAATCATTCGCTACCCTACTTGATATTGTTCCCCTAACGATCCAATTAAATTATACCGTGCGTTAAAGAACGGTCAAAATGTACCCGGGGAGAGTACGATCGCATACGATTTGGAAATTATGCGTTACTACGTCGGCCAAAATTTCAACTCGTTTATAAGATACAAGGCGCCAAGGAGTATTTTCGAAACGAAAATAAAATTGAGTCCTCAACTGTCTACGCTCTATTGAAATATACCCAATTGTTTGGTATTTGTTGTGAAAAATTTCACATTTCTAAATTTTGTAGTCAAAATTATTAAAAATTAACAATCAATAATCCATAATATTTACAATCAACACCTTGTATCTTAAAAACGAAGAAGCTTTGGACTCAAGTTTGTAAGTTTTCTATAAAACTAAAGATTCAAACAAGATCAAGATATCTCTCTCTCTCTCTCCTCCTCCCTCCCTCGCTCACCCTCCCTCCCTCCCTCCTTACCTCTTTTTTTAAATTAAGTTTAATTTATATTGCCCGATTTTGTTGAAATTTGAAAATATTATTTATGATAATTTCGTTTCTTAATGCGAGATAGGGTCACCATACTTTACACACAATAAAAAGACGAGTTTTGTAAATAAAAATAACGCGACAGAGGCGTTTATTACAATAATAAATATAATATTAATTATACATGATAGAGATGGGCAGATAATTAAGATATTCATTATTCTAAAATTAATTAATTAAAAACTTATATAGAGGTAACAATAATATGAAGATAGATAAAATGCAATAAATATTATTATTTAAGATAAAATCTATTTACAATACAACTTAATTTGTAAATTTTAGTAAATATGTTCCGAGTGGCCATATAAACTACAGTCATTGGAGTCCAAAGTAAGGGACTCTACAATGTCTTCTAGCATGTTGTCAACTTCTCACATTCTACCTACTATTTCAATCACATTTTCGACACACATACTCCATTTTTCATAATCCATTGTCATTATTATATACAGGGTGTCCCATGACATGACTGCCATAGCTTGAGAATGTGTTGCCAGGGTGATTAACTAACTGAGCTACAAGCATTTGAAATTTTAAAGACCATTCAATAAGAAACCGCTTTATTGAATTAGTTGCTGCAGTATTACGTTCGGCTGTTAATGTTATTATTAAAAAAGTCCAGGTGGCTGTGAAACGTATTTATTGTGGCAGTAAACGTCAATTAAGAAAAAGATCTGGCCACCGCATGCCACTTTCGGATTCCTTGACAATTATCATAGGTACAGTTCAATAATGATTTGTAACTCTCTCGCAGTAAGAAACAGAGTATAGAGTACAATTGTTAAGTCCAGTGCCGTCCCGGGAGGTGTTTTAGCGAAAACTATTGTCAAAGACATACACGTCGCTTACTTTTTTTGCAATTTTTGTTATTTATTGCGAATAAGCTATTAAAAGTACAGCTTTTATATTTTGGATCCTTTGATACACAATAAATTTAGTTCACAACGTATCCTGTTACCAAAGACGCTTTTTTTTTTAATATTTAACACTCTGTATCTTGGAAACTAAGCATTTCCGAATCTACGTTTAGATGACTTTTTTTTTTTTTTGACGACGAATGTCCGCACCCTATATATTCGTCCCTCCCCGCGAACACTCAAACAAAAACGCTGACCCCTACTTACCACCGTCAGCTGTTCAAAGTGCTGTTGGAACGGCATGCTCTGGTGCTGGATGTGGTAGTCGTTCGACAGAGGGCTCGGCGCCCCCGGACTGCAGGGCGCCGAGTGCCTCCCCCCCAGACTGGGTGACGACTGCGGACTCGGCCTCGGACTCCGGTAACCATCCGTTTGCAACTGTTGCAGCTGCAACCGACCAAAAATTTGAAATACCCAAGGCCGTACCGCCCCGTGACAGATTACAAATGCGAAAGCTAAAGGAAACCACACAAACCACAGCGCACTCCCGCCATTTTTGTTTTAGATATTGAAATACACGACCGTTTCAGCTAAATAAAGAAAAAAAACCTTCCAGCATTCAACAAATTCTGACATTTTCTATTACATAATAAAAAAATGGAATGCATCAAATGGGTAAAACTTTATACTAACTTTTTCTCTACATAATAAAATGATATTTTGGTTTGACGTTTTCTAGGCATTCCAGTCTAGTAAAGTGTGTCTCAAAATATTTCGACCTGGCTTTTGAGGCACCCTCATGAAAAAGTAATTACCACTTTCACACCTATATTGAGTAAACCCAACAAACCAGAAATTTATTCATAGGTAAGGGTCAAGGGGCGTTTTGCAGTGCATTTCGAAAAAACTTCTTAAGCATATATCACTTCAGATGCAAGTGTGTGTGCAAGAAGTGTGGTAAACGGCTTTTGAGTCATGAGTTTATTAATAAAGATTTAATAATCGGTGTTTTTCCACTCTCTTCTACAGAAGGGAGTGGAAAAACAAATTATAAAAATGTGTATGAATGAATAGGCAGAGAATTCATTAAACAAGAAGCTTTGAATGAAACCTAACTACTTACGATAACGCCAATGTCCTCGATAAATTATATTATTAACAGTGAATGGACAATAGTGAACAAAATATGGTGAGAAGGAAAATATAGTTCCTTTATCAAAACCAAATTCCTAATTTGGATAAATTGAAAAAAAAGTTAGAAAAAGATAAAAGCAATATGCGGCCGTGCCACCTTCCATAGACTTATTCAAAAATGTAAACAAAAAACAAGTGGTAATTCGGTAAATTAAAAAGTGTAGATCCAAAAACAGATGTAGGTATAATTTATCTAAATGAAGTTTGGTTCGATACACGCGATTCAGTGTCCAAAGAATGAGCTGATTCCAGTAAAAACTGAGATAAGAGCACCTTCAAATAAAGCAAAAAACACATCAAACTGCGCCTGTATTATCTCTGGTGAACTGAGTAGCCAGTGGCAGCGTTGCCGGTCCCGAGCCCAGATAAAGGAGAAGGGTTCTCGGGCCACGTTAGCACCCTACCTGAAGTAAAAACTAGGCATGCTCGCAGAACCGAAACCTTCCCTCAGATACAAAGATGACGACTCATGCAAAGAAAAGGATAATGACAAGATTTACTCCATGCTTCGCGACATGGAAAAGAAAGGCCATCAATCACAGCATTGATAATTGAACCCTCAAAAAACAAGAATCAAGGGTAAAATACAAAAACAATATCAAGCCCACTCAGCGGGATAGAAAGACATGAGAGAGCAAAAGGAGTTGCAAAGAACAGAAAAAGCCCCGGTCTATACGGTACCGCAAATGAACTCAAATATGGCGGAGAAAGGCTTGCAGGTCAACTAACAATTCTGATTTCAAAGATCAAAACAAAACAAAATCATGGACGAATGGTAAATACTATGATTCTTATGTTTTAAGGGGGGGGGGATAGGAAAGTTGCATCAAACTATACAGAAATAAAACTGCTTAATACAACTCTAAAATTACCGACGAAGATCACAACAAATAAAATCAATAACTTAATCACATTATCAGATGAACAGCAAGGAATTAGATCAGGCAGATCATTCACCAATGTGGTTTATGTCTTTAATATTAATGTTAATGGAAAAATCTATCGAATACAACAAGCCAGCATATATATGTTTCATAGACCTGGAAAAAGGATTTGAGCGAGTCCAACTCAAAGATATATTCCATCTTCTTTACGATAGGCAGATACCACACAACCTTACAAAAACTATGGAAAATATATACTCAACCAATCAAATCTAAGCAAACAGAGCCAAGGAGAACTTACGGAATTAACACCGGTGGAAAGAGGTATCAGACAAGGCGAATGTCTTTAACATTTCCAGACGACGTTGTACTAAGAGCTAAATCACTTATCACCTGTATCTGCCTCTAAGAGAAAATGTACGACCACTTCAAAACTGCCGATCAGGTGTAAACTTGTATTCGACGGAAGATGGAATTTAAATATCTGGGAATAGAAATCTCAAAGAAAGCAGCATTCTTAAATAACATCATTTGGGAAAACAAACATATTAGAACAGAAACATTGCACAAAAGAAACACGGCCTGCTCGAAAAACGTTGTAGAACAGAGAGTGAAGCGAGAACATCACAGAAATGTGTAGAGTGGATAACATAAATGACTGGATATTAAAACGAAAAGTGGAATGGAAGTACTACATCAAACGCATGTATGACTTGAGAATAGTTAAAATGGTTCGTGATGAATCACCTATACGCCGCAGAAGTACAGGGCACCCTCGAAAAAGATGGAGCAACAATTTAAGACCCGACGGGGAGTAAGGGACCAAGAAACAACAGACAGTTGGCTAAACAAAACAAGGAAGAAGAAGAAGATAGAACAGCGATTTATTCCAAACTGCTGTCTGTTGTCTGTGAAGAATATTAAGGACCCTAACTTGGAGCATCATGAAAACAATTGGATTAAAAATTATCTTTTAAAGAAAAAACCAGACAATAGCGTCAAAAAGTTACCACAAGAAGCGCCAAATTCAACAATTACATGAAAGGGCAACTTTTGGAAGTGTTAAATTTATATATTATTAAAAAACAATATATACGTGATAGTTGAAGTAACATTTTTTACGTCTTCATCGACATCATTATATAGTTAACCTCATAGAACATTTGTAGCACCAAATAAAATCAAATGTAAGAGCTGAAAATATTGCTACTACTTCAAGAAGTTATTAATACACCTATTAAAAGTTAGAAAAATACAGTACATTTGTAAAATTGACTCTTCTTATATACACAATAACATAGAGCCAATTGCAATTAATCCTTATGACGACTCTGAGAGTGAAATAGAATATTTTCTAATAGTAATCATTTGGTTTTATTAGACTTAAATAAACATAATATAATATTTAATTTTCATATTTTGAAAACACCCTAAAACACGACATATTTACATTTTACTATTTTACAAAGCCACTGCAAATTCCGGTTCCTTGAGCGTATCGTCGCATCTGAATTAAGATGTGCTGTGCTTCCGTCATCCCCGACTGGATAAGCCCACACAATAAAAGCAAATGAGAGAACAATGAGATTTCGTATTTGAACAACGTAACGTCTTACTTAACTAAGATTGCGAGTCGGACTAATTTGTTTTATTTATTGTTCTTTAATGCCGATTAAACTCGGCTAAATTTCACACTTACCGTCGGTGATGGTGACGTAGGTGAACACGGCTGCTGGTACAAGCCGCTCAAACCGCTTAAATTCGAGAAATCATTGTCGGAGATCCCTATACTATTTTTCTCCACCGGAACGCTCTGCAAATATACAGTGACAAACATAAATTACGTCAGTTTTAATTTTCATACACCAAACAAAAAAAAACCTATCGAAAAACAGACCAGCTAAAAATATACATGAACCACCCACCATACCACAAGAGCAGGATCATAGATCGCAGTTTCGGTAAAAACTCACTAGTATGGCAACGTGACGTTTATGTTGTGGAAATTTCTTATGGTTATGAAATGAGCACACGTTTATTACTTCTCAATTTCATTCAATTTCAAGAACCTAAAACACCAATTTCAAAAGACAACCATAGATATTTAGTTGTTCATAGTTTATAGTTTTCTTAATTGTAAAGGAATTAATAAAAATAAAAGTGATAAATGAATGAATGACTAGTTGGGTCCTCCATTCGACCCGCAAGCAAAGTCGACGTTTTTCGACAAGTTCTTTTTTTGCATGTTTCGACCACCTACCTGGGAGAGCTGATGTTGGTACCTAGAATTACTTGGAACTGATAAATGATTCTGCAACAAAACGACAAAAAAATATGCACAAAGTAAAAAGCGCATGCCAAAATACAAACAAAAAATCGAGACAATAGGAAATAAAATAGTGGCGTCAATCAAGCGGCAAAAAATACTACGTAATATACAGGGTGGCGACGCTTTTCTCGAAAAACGAAAAACCACCCCGTATTGAAAGAAAAAAATACTGTGGCCAAAATTGAAAAAAAAAAATAGGCTCGGATAAAACTTCAAACGGCCAAACGGGCTTACCGAATGTGATATGGGCGGATTAAAATTGAAACGCCCGTGATGCCTCATGCCGGGCAGTGCGTTGGTAGGCGACAGGGTCGACGGGCTGTTATTTAAGGGACTCTGCGAATGAAAATAGAGTGAAAACCTAGGCACAAAAAAAATATATTTAGACTCACAGAACTGTAGGGTGAACTATCCTGGTCTTGGTCGAGGGGTATATGGATAGGCGAAGAAAAATCGACATTGGTTAAGTCCGGCAATGAACCGGTATTGTTCCCGATCGGTATCTGAACGATTCCGGGGTCGTGAGCCGACGGACATATACTGTAAAAGATCAACCGAGACTGTAGCGTATATTCACAACCCACCACAAATTTTAATTTCGAAACCAAAATAAATTAATAAATTGATTATTCATTATTTTATATTTATTTTTGTCGTAGTTTTTTCTACATAAGCTTTATTTTGGTTTCTACATTTCTTTGTTTTCTTTTGTTACTGAAAATGTATTACAAACTTCCATTTTTGCGCCATTTTCCATTTCAAATAAATATATAGTACGTATATAGTACGACGTGAGTAGCTATATATGCTATACATTTTCACGGTTTTGATTCATTTCATTTTTTCTTCAAACTCTGTTGCATGTTAATAAAAGCAATATTTTTTTAAACGAGGTGGAGCTTTTACTTGATAAAAATCCATTTAACACAATTCAATTAGAACAAAAAATGTTCAAATATTCACAGTAATTTATTACTTTATGACAGCTGTTTCGACAACAAAATACAAAATATGACAATATTGCGACATCTATATATACAATCAGGTGGTAATAAATTCTTAGCTAGGGGTGTAGCGTTATAAATTTAAATTTAACAACCGACACGGTCAACAATTGGTCATTAAGTCATAGATTCGATTAATCTCCATAGCTTCCAACAAATGTAGTTTTTTGCTGTTTGTTTCATAATATAAAATATCAAAATTATCGTCCAACTTGTGTATTTCTGAATTTAAATGAATGGCACAGTTAGAATCACAACTTTTATTCTTATACGCTCTTTTAAGTTCGTTAATGCGTTTCTTAAATGTTCTACCTGATTGTCCGGAATACATTTTGGGACATTTCAACTCCGGACTTTTGATTTTTTCGCGATTTAGTTTAATTGTTTTTTAAAATTTTGCCAATTGTGTTTTCAGTTTTGAAAGTAATCGTAAGACCCAATTTAAATATATGTTTCGAAATTTTCTTGCTAAGTTCTCCTATGTATTTTATTGTTTTATAAATTTTGGATTCGGTATTTAATATGGGATAGATAGACTTCCGAGGTATTTGAAACTGTTTTTTAGTTATAGTTTTATCTATAAAAGAGGCTTCGTAACCATTGTTAAATGCCATTAATTCTTTTTCAAAAATTTCTGTGGGTGTGGTACATTAAGTAGTTTGTGGATCAAAGAATAAAACGCAGCCATTTTGTGTGTGTGTGTGAGGGTGATTTGAGTTATTATCTATTACTGTGTTCGGGTGTGAGGTTATTATGGTAAATGGAAAAATGTAATTTGTTCTGCAATTTAGTTATAGTTAAGTACACAGAGTTTAAAGAATTATTTAGCATGTAAATTTAAACGCTTATGTATGGAGTTAATATGATTCATAAAGAACTGTAATTGTCGTTCCGTTCCAGTGAAACAAACAAAACCATCATCTATGTATCTATACCACCAAAAAAATCTTTTAATCAGAGGATGTTTATGTATGATATTTTTCACATTGTCCAGGAAAATTTCTGCAAGTAATGGACTAACTGTATTTCCCATAATTAATCCTTCATTAAATTAAAAATAATTCTGATCTATACAAACTATTAGAAGATCTAACAAGTCTTGTTTTATGATAGGGTTGACAAGTTTTTCAGTAAGAATAATGCAATCGGTCAAAGGAAACTGAAATTGCCTGAGCATGAATTTTAATGTCTTTAAGCTTGTTGATGAGTTCGAACGAATTTTTCATAAGATATCCAGATTTAAAGGCAATATGATATTTTAAAATTTTTATTAATCTTGTTGAAAGTTTAACTGATGGTGCTATTACAAAAGAAACTACAGGCCTAATTAGCATATCCTGTTTGTGTAACTTAATTGAAGAATATAATTTTGGAGGTTGAGAATTCATAATTATTAGTTGGTATTTTTCACTGTACCATTTTGATTTGTTTTTGGTATAATTCAGTGGGATTATATTGTATGCTTTGGTATATGTCTGGTTTAAGAAACTGTTTGGTTTTTGTTATATATTCTAGAGAATCGATAGCTATGACTGTCCTTCTTTTATCTGCTTTTGTATTTTTTATTTATTAGGATAAAGGCACGGTGTTAAACATTTTTTGTTCTAATGTAATTGTGCAATATTTTTTATTATTATTTTTTTAAAATTATGAATATCATTTGTTTTGCAATGTTGTGTTTACGAGTCTTTATAACAACATTGTCGAGGATGCAGTAAATAATTTTGATACGCAAGTAATAAATAAAAAACCAAATGAAAATCACAATAAAACAACATTTTCACTTTATAGTGCCGGACACTACACATTTAAAATACATTCTGAGCTGTACAACCCAATAAAGAATAACATAAACAGAAATATGCTAACCCGAGTTGTTATTACGTTTGATATTTATGTACTGGGACAACTAGCCGTTGCGTTCTCGCAACTTTTTTTTTGATAATCCCTTTTGCAGATATAGAAGAGCTGGTTAGCCAGAAAAAAGAGACTTACTGAATTCCAGGTACTCGAGGAACATCACAACTAGATCTTGGTCTTCCATTAGGATTCCTATCGGGCACGCCCATACCCTGCAGCATGCCCCATGACGTCCGATTCGGTGACTCATTTCTGTCCATTGCCATTCCCTAATCATCATCGGATTACATAGCGAATTTGGAACTCATATTTGAATCTCCCTCCCCCCTTCTCCTGTCTCTCTTCCACTCTCTCTCAATCCCTTTCCCTACCGCTCTCGCTCTCCCTCTCACCCCCGCCCTCTCTCTCTCTCTCTTGCTCCCTCTCCCTCTCTCTGTCTCCCTCTCTGTCCCCCTCTCTCTCACCCTCTATCTCTGCTTCATCTGACCCATTCGCTGCAGTGCTGTCATTCATTCTCCCGCTCACTCACCCACTTCCCTTTTCCTTGTTTATTGGAAATTGCTACCCATTTAAATGACCGCAGGCTCACAAACAGCTCAAAATTATTTTTGAAAAATTAACTGAACCACATAACTCAACAATGACGTACCTGCATGGCACTTTGGTGCAGAGCCGAGTCACTGTTGGTGCGTCTCCAACCTGTATCCGACGGTGGACTTAGATAAGGCCCGCTAGAGTAAGGGGACAGTTTCCTCTCGCGCGTACTCCTGATGGGCCCGACGGGCGACCTGGTGCGGCTCTGACGTCCCGACACCGGTACCATGCGTGCGTGAAGTGGTTCCTCGTTCGGCTGAAAAATTGACATTCTTGGATAATGGAAATTAAATAATGAAAGAAACAGGCTATACAGCAGGAGAAGAGTTGCAGTTATGCATTCAGCAATTTATTGATTGGTGATTACACATAGAGGTATTTATAAATGCCGAAAACACTACGTGTGTCGATTTCTACTTCTTTAGGAAAGAACAGCAATATAACTTTGATATTGATCCCGCACTTCTTTTCTGTAAACTATTCCTCTATATTCACAAAAAGAGGATATACATCCATATTCGGCAAGGAACTGTCAACAATTTTGTTACCCAAAACCATCCTGTGGGTATTCCAAAAAATCCCCTATGTATAAGTGTACTTAGTTTTTCTCACATATTGTAGAAAGCTTTAAAAAAATTTAAATGCAAATAATAGCATTCTTAACTAATGAGTGTTTCCATAATTTGCAAGAATTCCAAATATTTGCTAAAAAGACGTGTTTTTTACTTTTTTACTATTGAACTTATTTTACGCTCTTTCTACCATTTTTATTAATAATATTATATATATTTTTATATTATCGATTTATTTTATATTTTAATATTATATTTATATTTTTCATATTTTTAGACAAACCTTTCCAGTTCCAAAACGACCTGCCATAAGTATGCGACAAAAAGCGCATTTACAAAACATAAGTGCACTCATTCCCACCACTAGGTCGCAGGGAAGACCTAACCTAACACGGTGCCGGAGTTGTTTACACTATCAAAACACCATCTCTGATTCTACTCGTGCAACGGCCATCCTCCGGGGAGGTGTCGTCATTCGCGAACGAAAGTGCAACAAAGAACAACAAAAAATTTGTCGAATAAAAAAATTGCAAGCGTAAAACAAAGTTGAACGCAGAAAATGAAACGAACAAAAAACTAAAGAAAGGCGGACAGAAAAGGGGTGCGTCAGGCAACAACGGTCCGAGTCACCTTGAGCGGATCCTTGATCGGTGACGTGGCGGGTGACGTTGCCGCCTTGACGATGGGCCGCGGGGCCGAAACGTCGGGCAGCGAGCCGCCTAACGTCTGCCCCAATCCGCCGCCTATCCGAAGTGTGTTTTTCATGTTTCGATCAACGATGGGCGTGGCCACCTATAAATTTCCCGATTTTATTTTTTTTTAGATTCGATTAAAATTAAATTTTTGCACTGCTCATAAAAAAAGTTCATATTAACGTACAGGGTGGCCCGTTTAAGTGGGGTTTATACCTTATCTCGAAACCTAAGGGGCTTACAAAAAAAAATTGAATACAAAAGTTGTTTCTATTAAAATTACCTTTATTTTTTTTTATTTTCCTAATCATCACTTTTTTATATACAGGATGGTAAGTTACATTTTTTTTAATAGAACACCCTACATTTCATTGCATTTTTGGATAGTCCTTTTAAAGACAAATTCAACGATATATATGACTATAGGTCTGTGATGCACCGTTTCGAACTTATTAGCGATCATTTTCAGAATTCGGGTATGTTTAATCCATCATTGTTAGGTTGCTTATTAACTTTTTAAACTTTTTTCGATTTATTATTTTTACGAAAATAATGCTTTTCTTTAGGCGATGGTCAATTTTAAAATATTTTCTTAAAATCCGCGGTGTTGCCGCGTTTCGCAAAATGACACTTCTCGATTTTCTTAAATGAGACACCCTGTATATTATTGGATTTTCGAATAACCACTTTAATAGCAATTTCAATTATACAACATAATACGGGTCTCTGACTTACCGTTTTGGTTTAATTGGCAATTATTTTCCAATAATACATACATTCTTTTGCATTCATAATTTAAGGATCTTGTAAATAAGGCCCTTAAATGGAAAAAAAAAACTTTAAAAATATATTCATATTCTTAATAATATAGACCGCATGTCTTTAAAAAATATATAGAAACCTGCCTGTTGAAAGGCACAAACACAAAATTGATGATATTATTATTAACTTTGACCTTGACATAAGCATCGCAGTAGCTTCGAAAACAATAGTAGCTCTCTGTTGTGGTAATATTAATGATTTTTTGACAGGTATCAGTGTATTATAATATTTTAAGCGTATTTTTTCGGACTTCCACTTAAAGTGTTACATCGCCAATAACAAAAGTCGGGCTTTTTCTCTCACAAAATATAGAGCCAAATTTCCCCATAGGCGATTGTCAGCAGTTTTGAACAAATGGCAAAAAAAGTAGGAGCCGAACAGTTTTGGATGAAAATATGCAGCTAGATCTTCTTTTGAATTTTCAAAATACTACAGAGACCTCCACCCGCTTTGCCGTTTCATATGTAGACGGAACAGTTATAAGCCATTTAAATTCACACCAGTACGAAAACTACAAGAAACAGATTTTAACTTAAGTCACCAATTTTGCAATATAATGATGGAAAGGCATTTTTTAAATAACATATTTCAAAATATAATATGGACCGATGAATCAATATTTACAGTCCGCGGTGTTATTTAATAGAAAAAATACGCATTGTTGGAGTTCAGAAAGTAAAACATGTGTTTTTGAAGTAAACAAGCACCGGTGAAGATCTGTGAAAGTATGATGCGCAATCTGGAGACCTAGAATTTTACTACCCATATTTTACCAACAAAATTTAACATCCGTACGATATTTAAACTTATGAAGGAACGAAATTCGGCCACTTATAACATAATAATATTCCCCAAAGACAGAATTCAATTTTTTTTGACAGCAAGATGGCGCTCCTTACAATCGAAGTGCATTCGTTTTTTAAACTAAAATTTCAGACGGTGGACTGGCCAGCGAGGAGTCGAGATTTGAACCCGTTGGCCTTTTTTTTTGTGGGGCACATTGAAAAATATGGTTTACAAAGATAAACCGTAAACAGTTTTGGAAGTGAGTTCGCGCGACAATACACTATCAGAATGAAACGAATTACTTCTCAAATGCCATACACCATTTAGAATATGCTACTTGTATTCTTCAAAACGGCTGACATATTGAAAAACTAATTTAATTAATTTTACTTGTAAGTAATATGCATTAGAAATTAGTGTAAATTTTTTGTAATCATTTCACGTAGACATTCAAACGTAGAAATAAGTAATTTGCGAAATTTGGCAACACTGTGCAAAGCTTAATATTCTGCTTTTAATATGACTTCTTAACAATTCTCTAAAACGGTTGTGAATAAGTTGATAAGGAGCTGATTCCCAGTTTCATATCTTAATAATTTAAATCTTATACCCAATTTATAATTTTATCTGCCAATTCAGTCAAAATGGTAAGTCAGAGACCCGTACTAAATTATATAATTGAAATTGCTATTAACTTAAGAAAATTGAGAGAAGAATTATTTTACGAAACGTGGCAACACCACGTATTTTAAGAAAATATTTTAAATTAGATCGTTGCCTAAAGGAAAGCATTATTTTCGTAAAAATAATAGATGGAAAACCCCAGTTCTGAAGATGATTGCTAATAAGTTCGAAAAGGTGCATCACAGACCCATACTCATATATATCGTTGAATTTGTCTTTGAAATGGCTATCCAAAAGTGCAATAAAATGTAACTTTGCGTGTCTACAAACACCTTTATTGCAACGATTATAACTTATTGGTATTGGTAGAGCGACGGTGACTAAAATAGTGATCAGTACAAAAACTAAATTAAAACTATGGATAGCAAGCGGTCTCCTTATTTCTATTCCCAATAGGGACAAATTAAAAAAGCAATGCGTTTTGAACAAAAATAATCTAAAGATTTTAAATGATTATAAAAAGTATAGAACCGAATTATCAAAGTTAATAAAAAAGCAAATATTTGCACTATAAAAAATTACTACTACTACTAATTAAAGAAGCAATAAATGATCAAACTAATAATTCCGAAATCAAACAAATAATAGTTGGTAAACAATGCTGAAATTACTGACGAAAAACTAATAGCAAATGAATTTAACTCCCACTTCTATAATGTTGGTCAAAAATTAGCAGGAAGAATATCTAATTGTAATCTGGTCGGTCCTATCCTTAATGAGACTTATTTTACCCCTATTAACAACAATGAAATTTTGGATCAAATATAAAGTTTAAAAAATGGTGTGAAGGAGGGCGGGAATAACATAAGCTCTGAAAAAATAAAAATAAATATTGTGCATCTTTTAAGCACTTTTCCGACTTCCCTGATATTCTCAAAAATGCAATCATTGTTCCTCTATTAAAGACAAATATGGCACTAATAAGCACTATTAGTAAAATAATTGAAAAGCGTATAAAGTATAAGCTTTCAATACATCTAAAAAAATAATTTATTCAATGACAATCAGTTTGTGATAGTTGCTGATATGTTCAGTGATAGGTTACAGGTGGGATTGGGTGTGCCGCAGGACACGGTGCTTGGTCCGCTGATATTGATATCACTAACTTGTTTTGCTGATGATACAGCAGTGATCTTGGGCGAATGCCGTTAGAATGAGAATGAGAGGATTAAAGAAATGGCTAGACCATCAAATATATAAACAAAACACATTTGTTAACTTAGCGTTATCGAGAAAATCTCTACCTACCAATATTCACAAACTTGAATCTCATTGTGAAAAAGACGTAGACTGTAAAGGTAACAACTTTCTTGAAAGAAAAACTATTACAAAATATCTGGGCATTCTGATTGATGAACTGTTTACTTGGAACAATCATATTAATTATGTAACTAGCAAAGTCAGAAAACTAATATATAAGTTCTATGAATTACGTAATATATTATCTTTGGAGGGACTATAAATGGTACATTTTTCACTACTAGAGTCTATAATGAACTATGGATTAGTGGTGTGGGATAATGCCTACGGGACGCATGTGCTGGGGTTGTTGGTGGCTCAAAAACGGATTATAAAAACAATACATTTTTTAAAAAATGGATACTCGACTAACTTACTTTTTGAGGAGAGCATTCTGCTTACCTTTAGACAACTCTATATGAAATCAGTGATAAGATTTATGTTAAAAACCAGCTATTATAAAACCAAAATAAATCATAACATTAACACAAGGTCTGCTGCCCAGCACGATGTGGCTCTACGGAACCCGAAACATGTAGCGTGTCAGAACCATACATATACTGTACTGGACCAAAAGTGTTCAATACTCTGCCTCCTGAACTAAGAGTTAAATCATATAATAAAATATAATAAAAGAGTTACCTGACTGAATTAGGCTCAGCGGTTTTGATTTTTATTTGGAATAAAGCAGAAAATAATAATAAAAGCTCTATAATATGACTTTTAAATTAAGGAAACAACCCTTAATTGTTTGAATTGTTGTAACGTAATTGCTAATTCCTAATATTTATATTATCATCAAATGAACAACAATAAAATAAAACCATTATCATTAATTATTATAATTATAATTTTCCCCTCCAATGTTGACGCAGCATTAAGGAACAAACTGTAATTTTTTAAGGCGGAAAATCTGCATTGATTGGAATTTAATTCTTCGAGATAAGTATGCTAGATTTTATTCCAAATTTTCAAAGTCATGCCGAATTAGCTCTGCAATAGTCAAAAAAATTCTGCGAAATTCCGGGGCGGCGTATAATGTGTGGATGACTTTAGAGCGTTGTAGGCGGTTAATTGCACGTGTGCGGACGCCTTTACGACAATTCTCCATAATTTCGATCGGCATGTTTTTGACTTTTCTTAAATTATTCGGCAACCGACATTGTTATTGTTGTTTTCGTTCAATAAAAGTTTTGGGGCAACGTTCAGAAAACTTTTGTATAAGATCGTCGGTTTAATTAGATATTCGGCTGTGCAAGTGTTACGCGGCAATTAACATTTTTGGTCTATTAATAACGTTCGGAGGGAGGGGTCCGCTTTTGAGTTTTTTTTTTGCGCGCGTGTTTGGTAACTTTCCACTGTTGTCTTCTGTGAGCGAATATTTGGGATATCGCATTTATATCCAAAGGCAAATCTAGAAACTACACTGCGGGTGTAATTTTGGATTTCAAACTTGAAAATGCAAAACAATGCGCACGACTATTTTTAATCAAATGAAATAACCAATCATCTACTCAAAATAAACACACAAATGAAATGCGGCAGTTTTTTTGCTGGAAAACCTATAGTAATTTTTTTAAAAATCAGTTCATCATTCTGATTATAAAATATACCGTCAGTGCGATTAAGTTTTCGCATTAAACTAGCTAAACCCCGATATCCTCGGATATACATGCCAAAATTTAGATTCCTTCACTCCTATTCTCAAAAAAAAAAAAAAACGCAACATAAACCGGCGAAATAAATTTAGAATTTTTTTAGAGAACTAACCAAAACTAAACCATATAGCCGCTAGTGTTCAGGTTTTAAAGCACAAACTAAAACATTTGAACCAAAAAACATGTTTTAGAACGAATATTCGTTTCTCGATAAAATTTGAAAGACAAAAACCCTCTAAACTGAATGAGCTACCCAATTTCGCAATTGAAAAGTACCAGACGTGTACTACTGTAGATTTTAAATATATTTAAAACGCTTAAAATATTCTAAGAAGTATTAACCATACCAAATTTCTAATTGACATTTTAAAAGCGAGCGAGATATTGTAATAATTAAACTTTGACCATCTGTAGGTCCACTACTGATCAATAGATGAAATAATGAGATCTTTTAATCAGCAATAAAAAAATATATTGGGAAGTCCTGTGTCATATGCACAAGAAGCGGTGCCATTTGAAATCTCGTTTTAACCTAACAGCATTTCAAACCAATCAATAATACCAGTTTTAGTTTAATTATGTTTGACTGCTTTTGTTGTTATATATAATACTAGTTTTAGTTTAGTTATGTTTGACTGCTTTTGTTGCTTTAGAACAGCGTTTATTCATAAGAATGACTACTTATTTGCAACGCTTAAACCCCAGGCAGTTCTTATCATTACTGTTGATAATTTTTTGCTACTGACCATCGAAAAGGTGGTTAGTTTTTGGTTAGTTAGTTAAGGCGAAAATATCATGGAAACCTGAGTCGCATCAATTTTTACCTTAGGCCTATATTATCTAATAGCTACATGATATTGCTGAATTGACGCAAAAAAAAATGACGAATATTAGAACAAGTTCTACTCCGTGAATAAATTTATGAAGAATTTCGTGAATTTGTCTGAGGAGTATTTGATATCCGGGCGGTGCATTACATTCGCAAAATTTGTTAGTGAAGTAATTTCATGAATAATTTCGTAATCACAATGTCAGTGTAAAACTAGTATAAACCTAGCGGCGTTCAACAACTAACAAAGCTGCTGATAGTTCGTGAATTCGATTAGTTTTAGCTCAGATGCAATACTTTTCAGACACTATTTTCCAAAGTTAATTAAGGTAAGCAACTATTCGATCAAAATTACTAGACGATGAAGAGTCACGCGGTAAAATAATAATAATAATAATTTATAATATGCAAAATAATCCACTAATCATGGCGTCTAATTATTATGTTCGGTTGCGTTTCAAACCGACAAGACACGGTATGTCATTAACAACACAATAAACACTGTAAAATGTCGTAACGCTTGATATGGCAAGGGCGGAAATAGATATTTGTACAGGGTGTTTTTCACTGCTGTTGAATTTTTAAATATTTCCTTATGTAAACGAAGGTCAAATTTCAGAAAAAATTCCAAAATTTCAACGACGCGTTTCCCTCATCTGGGCCGATTACATTAGTCGCAAAACCGGCTTTACGTAACAGACATTTTCAATTATTATTATTGCCCGGAATCGCGTCGACCTTGAATCTCTCCGCACGTGTCAAAACATAAACGCGGGACCCTTCCGGCAATATTATTTACTAGACCAAATTTCCGCAAAACTCTTTTCAAATAAATCTACCTGACCACCGGGTTACTAAGCTAAAAATCCACGAGGCGGGAAAATTAGAAAATACGACGACATCGAGATAACGAGGACAGGATTCACACGGATGTTTGCAGAAGATTAAGTCCTTTAACACCAAATGAACACTCAATCTTTTCAGTAAATAATATGTAGAATGTTCGGTGCTTTATTGTTTGAGGGAGCAAGTATTTGCGCTAAGCAAGACCCAGTCCGCCAGATGGCGTGACAATAGGTTGAAGTCCACAAATTTGAAAGATCTTTTTCGTTTGTGAAGACGGATTCGGGCTATTTTTCCTTTATCCAACCAAAGAAAAATACCCAGCTTAATAGAACGTTTGCGAAGAAGTCAATATAACTTGACCAAGAAAAACTATTATCTTAAAACTACCTAAACAATCTGATTTTGTCAACCAACAGGTCCTGTAACTGCTCACAGTTTTATTATAAATTACGATAGCAGCAGACTAACTGATGTTCCATAAAGTTTCCTCAAAAAAATTATCAACAATCGACAAACTGTACGACCCCGAAAGCATTTGCGAGTCACATTTTTCTATAGACAAAAAATGCGCCAAACACAAGACATTACAAATACCAGATTGCCGTAGTTTTCACATAAACCAAATTTTTCTAGAAACGTATAAACAATCGCGCCTCGCTAATTAAAACAAACGAACAGCAGCCTGCTCCTCTAACCAATTTCATCACCACGAAACAAACAAACAAATAACAGACCATCATCGTCAGATGTGCAGAATTGTTTTTGTTATTGCTCGTGTTCTCTTCTGTCAAAAGCACTCGCACATACCTATTAAACCCCAGATATTGATTGTTGCAATATCGTTAAATTATGTACGGACTGTGTTTTATGAAGGGGGCGTCGCGGCGCGTCGTTTTTCGCACATATCCCACACACCAGCGGAATATGCTGATCAGAGAGGACCATTGTTTACGTCGTACCCCAATTATTCGAATTTGGACTCGCAATTGGAGGTTAACGTTTCGGTGCATACCTTCACATCCAGGACCTCTTTCATGATTTTTTCGAACGCCGCAGTCTCCTCGGCCTGTCGGTGATTGTGGAGGGCGATTTTTTCGCTGAATTTCCGCGGATTCGCCATGATTTTCTATACACACACAAACTCACGCCACTGCACTGCGCGATTCAGCGTTGCCAACTGTTTAGTTACGGCTGTCATTTTATTACGTTCAAAACGCAAACCGAAATACGGGTCGCTGCATTTGATTGTTTAATCGATGTTTCGCAAACCGAACGGTTCTGGATCGACTCCCGTCACCAATCTGTTTACGACTTGAATCTTGAGAATCTTACATATTACGTAATTGTATTACGCCTAATATTACAGTATTGCTGTATGTATATAACACACAAAAATTTTAATCTTAAACAGCAAAATAACAAGCATATCCGGTTTAGCGCAATTTTCAATCGTGAATGCCTCTATGACGCATAACATTACATTCGCTGGCAGCCGTTTTCATCAAACCATTGCGAACCTTCCGTGAAAAGTTGAACACAGAATTTTAATTTCGCCTCGAAATTTAATTTTACTAAATCAAATCTTTTTTAACCGTGGAACTAACCAAAAATAACCTTAGAATACTATGGAAAACCGATACGCGATCTGTGGTTTGTTTATAAAGTTTTAAAATGAATGTTTCTTTTTTAAGACAATGTATTTTTGTAAGTTACCGTAATAAAAGGTTTTATAATTCAATATCTCAAAGACAAATATACAAGTGCCTCTTCTCGAAAACTAATTATTCGGTCAGTTACGCCAGTGGCAATGAAAACGGGGCCTACTTTAGCTCCCTTAACCATTGTAAGCGCCTATATAGCGAGGATAATAGACCAACAAACGCTTCCGCAAAAAAGTTACCTCCTTTGATGGACTTTCCCCAACTTACGTGGCCGTCATTTCTGAAAACCGTAAAGAACTTTTTACTGGTAACTTTTATTATCAGGCCCTATTTTGATGCTGAATTTAGCCTGCCTGATTTTAATGTCGGATCAAAGAAAGCCGTAGCGGTGCGCATACAAGGGCGTAGCTGTTTTTTTGTTATTCGCTTATTGTCTTTTTTTAGGTGGTATCCAAAAAGTTGGCCAACGGAGAGATTGCTTCATTGAAAGGATTGGTAACATCGGATATTATACCCACATTAGAGAAAGGTGTTGCCTTAATGACTTCGTCTCAGAGAGAACAGCTAGGTGTAAATGAGGAAGATATCTATTTCTCATTTCCTTACCAAGTATGCACATCTAATTTACAAATATTATCTATACATTAATTTATGAAATTATAGATAGGGGTTATATTTAATGATGAAGAATCTGCAGTTCAAAAAAGGTTTGTCGAAATCACAATGGTGTATCACTGTTTAAAGGGCCTTGCCATCATGAAGGCAAGGGGGGAAGAACCTCCTATTAATATGGGCATGTTGCCAGAGTATCAGTCGAGAATATCAATATGCAACTATAGGTTTATTAGGGAGTTTACAAAAGGAGTTGACGGAGATTGGACAATAAACTTTTTGAATCACTTCAGACCAGTTGACAATATGTAAACCTAGACATCCAAATAAAAAATTTTCTAATGGAAACATACAATATTACTAGGGTATTCTTAACCTCCAAAACTTCTTTAATAAAATCATGTTAACCTTGCAATGCCTGTGCAACTTTGTTTCTCCTTGGCTAGTTTAAAATGAAACTTTTGGAATTGTCCACATCTTATACAGGCAGGGATCCATGACAATTAATTTTAAGATATGTCTAATTTTTGTATAATGGTGTGAACACTGCTTGCTTCCTCTTTCAAAAAAGCAATGTAGAAGTTCAATTTTATCATACAATTAATAATAACAATCCAAAAAATAATAAAATACACTGCATAAATCGCGAGGGTACCTAAATTTGGTAAGTTACTTTGAACATTTGCTACTGAAAGAAGAAAAACAAAATGGGTAAAATCAAGGTACTTTATTAATAAAATGAAAATTATACATGGAGTTTTTGAAACAACAAAACCTAAACCTAATCCTCTCGAGATCGATAGCCATAGTTGTAGTTTATTTACACTCGACGGTCCGACGTTAACGCCACCGCGCACACTCCGATCTGTTCAACAACAAAATATGAATTAACTAAGATCGGATTTTCCCGACCGGTGAGATTGAAGCAAAACAAAATTGTTGTTAGTTCTAAAGTTTGTTTTACACTTGCCAGATTATTCGAATTAATCGGATTAAATTTCAACCATGAACTGCAAAAATGCAATGTAAGCCATACAACTTTAGCAACTTAGCATCCCGTATAAGCTCTAAAAAGAGACAGCTGGTTAGATTCCAATATGGTCAACAATCGACTGATCAGTTGGAATAAATTCATGAATAGGCTCACCAACAACTTCACATGTGCAGAACAAGCTTTAACAGGTAAAAATTAACCTTAACGCTAACAAAAAAAATACTCCTCGAGACGGTAAATTGCCAATAAACACCTAAAGTATAATAATTCAAGCCTCCTCAGAGTTCCCTGCTATTTATTATTTTTTATGCGAATATCTGGTTACAAGGGTTATATATATCACAGTTGACTCCATTTTGAAGAATTGGCCAAATCGTTCCGTCTGCGGCTACAACATATACAGGGGGTTTCAAAATTAGACGCCGCTTTATTCAAAGCGGGTAATTTATCAGGTCATTTTACGAAAAAATTTCTAGGAGGAAATTGCACCATTTCCAAAATATCGGCCCAATTTTTTGATTTTTTACCCCGCAAGAACATTTGAACAAATTGTTTGGTGTATTTCATTCCTTATTTTTTTGAAAATATGCCATAAAATTGTTTATTTTCTCTTTGAAAAGGGAAGACTATAGGACAGAAAGTGAAATGTTTTTGGTTGTTCACCTAACAAACACATCAGCAAAAAAATTAGTGCGAGTGGTATTAGGATGGATGCACCCAAAGTATTTTGGTCCTTTAGAGTCAAAAACAGTGTATAAATAGGGCCACAAATACTATGTTTTTAAGGTACCGCGTCAAAATTCAATGTTTGCACACACGTTTGACCTCTCATGACTTAAAATTGATGAGGATGTGTTTCCGCAGCTACAGATTTTTTTCACACAAGACGACCCGACTGACCCTTTTAAATATTTCCGCCTCTTTTTCCAAACACCCTGTATATATACATATATATACAAGACCCGAGCACGCGTTTTCCCCGGAAAAAACGAAAAAAAAAGTCCCGACGCACTACAAACACACACGCATTTTTATGTTAAATGAATTAATGTACAACGACCGAGAGCCGATAACGACGATTACGATGATGACGTCATCACGACTCGCCATTGCCACTGTCGTTGTCGTCTTCGGCGTAGTCAGAACCGTCGGACACATCTTCGTAGTCCTCGTCATAGTCGTCGTCGTAAAAGTCGGTCATATCGACCTGCGAGTCGGACGTATTGGGTTTGACCTGAGTTTTGATGCAGTAATCTTCGAGAGTGAGCGGCACTTGAATGCCGTCACGTTCGGCTTCCGCCCTTGCCGCCATTGCCTGTTTCCTGCCAATCAAAAATCACTGTCAACACCGGATGAGGTAGACGAGCACTATTCTATAGGTTAACCAAGAAAATCTCGACATTATTTAGAGGTTACTTTTGCTTAAAAAAGAAAAAGGTTGTCCTCTTTCGTCGTGTCATGGCAAATAACAAAAGTCAAACATAGAAACAAGTTAAATTAATGAACTTAACAAAACTAGATAATTTTTATTCGTATTTTTGGAAAAATTATACCTAAAACCAAGCGACGGGCAAAAATACGGAAATATTTCTCTAAAATTATTGTTAGCATATTAAATACAATTATAATAATTCTCATTTATAACATTTTTTTTGTATGTAAATAAATATTTTATTGTTAGTTATTAGAGTTTCAAAATTGAACTCAAATGGTATAGAGAAACCATCAGCGAAACTTATATACTGACATATGACGTCATCACATATTTAGCCAATCTGAACGATTTCTGTCACCTGACTAACCCATCTAATTTTTTTTATAGTCAAATTAATGGAGATCACTTTTCAACCCCATAACCTACAAAGCATAAAGTAAAGACTTTTTTTTAAAATACAGAGAAATTGTAAATTAAAGATAGGCCATTCCGGAAATTACTTATTGTTCGCAGTTTCAATTATGGTCTGTTCATAGATAGAAGAAAGCGACCAATTGCTTTTGAATGAGATTATCCAGGGGTGGTGATTAACATACAATGCAACAAGATTATTACCTAAAATTTCGGAATTTAAATTCAGGTAAAATTGTGGTTCCTAATAGAAAATAATTTTATACCTACCTATGTTTAATATTCTTTGATTTGGTATACTACTTAGTTTAAGTTTCTTAGTAATCATTATTATTGCGTGTGTAATACAGCGTGTGTTGAATCGTGTGCGAATTATGCAAAATATGTGCGAGGTTTGTGAACTCAGGAGATGCTTCCGCCCAAATGTAGAAAACACTATTCCATTGAGACTAAAGAAGTTATAAACAATGTTTATTTGACTCTCATTGAACGTGGTGCCAGCAAGCAAGCATCTTTAGAAGAAACAGCCACATTGACGAAAATTCCAACATTAACTGTATGGAAAATTGTGAATAATCCCATTTCAGCGAGGAAAAAAAGAAGCGATGTTGACATTTTCTCGAGTGTAGGTGAAATTGATCCAGATATAACACGGCGTAAAATTTACGAGTTATACGAGGAACAAAGCGTGCCTCCATTAGATATCTTAATTAGGAAGCTTGAAAAAGATGAAACCAGGTGTTAAATGTGGCAGAACTACCTTATGGAAGTGTATTCAACACATAGGTTTTAGATTTAAAAGAATTGACAAAAGGCAAGTTTTAATTGAAATGGCGACTGGAATATCTAGGAAAAATTGGGATTTACAGAGAACAACAAAAGCCAATTATTTACTTGGATGAAACCTGGTTCGACTCTTATGATACCCCGGAAAAGGGTTGGATTGACGCAACTGATAGGTGTAAAACAAACGCGCCATCAAAAAGAGATAAAAGAATAACTATTTTGCATGCTGGCTCTAAAGATTGTTGGATTCCAAATGGACTTTCTCTGTCTGTCAAAAATATTAAAGATTCTTCTCTGGATTACCACGAAGACACCACCGCTGATTTATTTGAAAGTTGGTTTAAAAACAAACTAGTTTCAAAAATTCCTCCTGTAATGGACAATGCAAGTTATCACAGTAGGCACTTGACTAAAACCCCTTCCTCATGTGACACAAAAGCAACAATCCAAAACTACATGTATAATAACGACATTTATTTTCACGAAGATTATACCAAAATCAATTAATTGAGGTTCTACAAAGCTTCAACCTATAAAAGGAATACCTCTGTGATAATTATGCAAAAAATCTAAGGCATTCAGTTTTAATTCTTCCACCTTACCACTGTATATTTATTCCCATTGAACATGTTTGGCACCAACTGAAATCTGCCATTCGTCGTAACAATGTTTTTCCCCGTGTTAACTCCAATGTTCTCAAACTTATAGAAACCGAAGTTTTTAACATTCCTCCACAAAGTTGCGCAAATTCTGTTAAACATATAGAACAAGCAGAACAATCCTATATCCATATTGCAAATAATATAGAACAAATAATAATTATAACAAGCGATGATAGCGATAGTGATACTGATATATTATGTGAATAATTTTGAGTAATTTAAGTAGGTAATAAAAATAATTTGTAAATTTATTTTAGATTTAAACATAAATAAATAAATATTGTTTAGTATCTTTCCTAACAAACCCCAAACAATTAAAGTCTAAGCAAAGTAGGGACCTGTTCGGCCATATTTCATTCTTACAGCTTGCCCGAGTCTTTCCTTAATTTAGTCACTTTCTTATATCTATGAACAGACTTTACCAAAGCAATTTTAGGCTTAAGTAGAATAAGTCCATATCTTTGCTGCTCATAAAAAAACAGATGTTATACATCTAAGCGCATCTAATAAGCAGAGAGTTGGAGAAATAGTTAGATCTGAATCTGTCTATAGAAAAACTTGATAAGTACTAGCATTAAAAAATAGTGACTTGCGCAGGAAGGCAACTCAATAAGATGGTTGACAACTTTATAAAGAAAAATTATGTCTGAGCAATTTCTGCGTGTTTAAGTGACCTCAACTTACGCAGATACTTAGCTCCTTTTTGCCTGAAAATGGAACGGGATCTGGACATATTTTGAGAAAATATTGCCCTAATGGACTTATTGATGATCTGTCAGTGGGCATGTTAGTTGTTGAAGAATGCCTTAAGGTCTTATTGGTAGATGGTAGAATGTCAGAATTTTCAATTACAGGTGTCACTAGTTAAAAACTAGATTTTAAATCTCGCGCATGCGCATGTTGAATGGCCTTCCCAATATCTTTGTCATAGTTGCTTCAAAAGTATCTGTGTTATCAGCATAGGCAAGCCGTCCATATGTCATTGCCATAAGATTTAAGTAAAAAAAGTAAGGTTACAATTGACAAACATTACTCATGAACTTTTGGTCAATTGTATTTTAAAATTTCAGTTGGCTTATTCAAGTAATAATTAAGCATTTTAACTTCGCGGTGTTTTGTTGTCAAATATTTAAAAAAAAAAACAAAACTTACCTAATAATGTTTTCATATTCTTTGTCGCGACCCTTGGAGTCGCGCCACCTGCGGTACATGACCGAAGCGTCAACATTAGCGGGGCTAAAAGTATTTGGCTCGTTAAGAAGTGATATAACTGATAGTAGGATAGTGCGCACGTTTTGCGTCGGGTTCCACCGTTCGCAGGGTAACTCCCCTGACTGGGGATCATCTATTGGTGGGTGAAGTATACTAATACACAGATCGCCATTCTACAATATGAAATTGCTGTTACACGAGATTTCTACACTGCGATTTTATCGTGGTCCTTACCTCGTATACATTGGGATGCCACACTTTCGTCAAAAACCTAATAGACGGCGGCGAGTAAGGATAATCCGGGGGAAATTTCATCCTGGCCTGAAAACGAAAGCCTTAGCAATCACTACATCAGTTCTAGTTTAAGTTAATGACAAAATTGATCCCCAATTATAACGGAAATAGGCGATTCGTTTATTTACTGACGTTTATTTTTACATTCGGGTATACCTTCCCAATATGTTATCTATATAAACAAAGGTAAACGCTCGAGTCATTGTTTTACGACCTAACCCGATTTTATTTCGCAGTTTTATAACTAAAAATACAGAAAAAAAAACTATGTTACCTTGAAACAACCTCCCATATACAAGGTATCAGGAGGTCCAAAAATAGCCACTTCCCATTCAAACAGATTATCGTCGTTGACGAGCTTGACGCAAAAACCTTCTACTGGCTCCTCCTGGAGACTCTTATATTCCACAGCCAAAGCGCGCAAAGCACTGCTAGTTGCCTTTGTTGCTGCCATTTTGAACACTAATTACTAGAATAACGGGTTGAAAAATCGCAGACAGAATCAATAGGAAACGACGGCAAACTGTTATTCGACGCGCACTTAAAAAAATCACGGAAAGCGCCAAACCGAATAACAAAAACGATCACGATCACGTCGAATATAATTGCCGGACAGCTACCCAAAACGAACGACGACCAACGCAGAGCCTTATTGACCTGCTGTCTGACAGCCAGCTACTCGAGAACATGTGGAAAGAGTGACGGAAGACCATAATTGACAAACAAAGGAAAGGCGAATTTACAACGACAACCGCCTGTCTCTTGGTAAAACCTATTAACCGCGTTATTCGCTTTCGGTAAGTTTTGCTTTATTTTTTCATTTAAACTGTTAAACAAACTGTAAATCAACTGTAGTTAAAAAGTGAAAATATCCAAAATTTTAAGTGTTCCGCAGAAATTGCCATTACGTTTTGCGGCTTGCGCATTATTCAATTTAAATAAGCGTACATTACATGCTTCCAAATGTTATGTGCGAAAAAAAAATTAAAAAAATGTAACGAAAACACAGTACTCAACTGAACAGCAACATTTGCAAAATCTAGACGATTTTTAAAATTATTTGTCATTTTCGCGATTGATCTGTTGATTTTTACGTGTTGGTCTGTCACGTAATCCCCAGCGGATGCCGGAAAATGGGCGAGTGACCATAGCAATCTAGGCCAACCAAGAGAAAATTAGTAATTCTTGCTCTCTCTTAATCTTTATACTTAACCTACTCGAATGTGGATATAGCGTTTAATAAAAATCTTAATTCAAATAAAAACCAATATCATAGTTAATACCTAATATGGCAAATACTCGAAAGCTCATTGGTTTGTTGAAATTACAGTCTTATTTTACTTGCTGAAACATGTTTTTCAGACATCGGGGCCAACTTAACTGATTCTATGTACTGGGGCATCTATAACGGCAGTAAAAAACACGAACCCGATTTGTCAGCCGTTCTAAAACGGGCTTGGGATTGCGGCCTGACTAAAACGATCATAACGGGAGGCAATTTGGAAGAAAGTCAAAAGGCGATTGAACTAGCAAATTCTGACGGTATCAAAGTATCTTATCAACGCCGAATGTGAGTTCAATTGAATTTTTCATAGATAGGTTGTATGCCACTGTAGGTTGCCACCCTACACGATGTCTGGAATTTGAAAGAGATGGCGAGACTCCTAGTGGCTATATCAACAAACTGAAAAATTTAATTACTGCAAATACCACCAAGGTGGTGGCACTGGGAGAATGCGGTTTAGATTATGACAGATTACAATTTTGCCCTAAAGAGGTGCAAAAAAGGTATAATTTCAACAAAATCTAGTTTTTATTACTCTTAGTGGTATTTTTTTCTTAGATGTTTTGAATATCAGTTAGAAGTAAATAAAGACTTCAAATTACCGCTATTTTTGCATTGTCGCAACTCTGCCGAGGATTTATATGAAATCCTTTCCCTGTACAACTTCCGAGGAGTCGTCCATTCATTTGATGGGACTATAGAAGAAGCTAATAAATTCATTGACTTGGGGTATTATATTGGAATAAATGGATGGTGCGCATTTAAATACTGCCCATATCCATTATAGCGCCTTATTTTAGTTCTCTAAAAACTCTAGAAAATTTAAATACGGTTGCCGCATTGCCGGAAAATAAAATTCTGTTGGAAACAGATTCCCCATGGTGCGAAGTGAGACCAACGCACGCAGGGTATAAATACATTTCGACCCAGAATATCTTGCCGTCGGTAAAAAAGGAGAAATGGAAGTCAGATCAGCTGATTAAAAGCCGAAATGAACCTGTTAACATAAGGTATCTTATACAATCGACTCTATAGCAACTTTGGTATTATGTCAAATGATATCACTGCATTGTGTCCTGTCACTTTTAAAAATAAGTTGACAGCGATCAATTTTCTTAAAAGAAAAGCACTCTCACCACCCTTTTGGAAATTTTGATGTTGCAAACGTATCACATGCGATTTGCTTTTTTGCAAGTCCTGGGACTGCCTCATAGATTTCTTTATTTATTGCAATTAAATTATGAATTGTCCTTGACAAGTAATTTTTATTTACAGGCAAATTTTGGATATATTGTCCTCAGTCCGAAAAACAGATGCAGACACTCTGTGCCAAATAATATATGACAACACAAACAAATTGTTCTTTAGTTGAAAATAAAGTTATTTAAACAATTTGAGTTTATTTTTCTTGCTGCGACAGAAAAACCCCGAATTCTTGAAAAAAAAAAAACTTTTATTCCATACAAAATTATACTTAGTTGATAACAATTTTGTAATCACCAAAAATTCATTAAAAACAATTTTTAACCTAACCTCTAATTACTAGTCTAGTTACTTCACGATTGACTGCACCTTTTCGAATGCCCACACATAGTATTCTGTGACTTTATGGAATGTAACTTTGCTGACTTCTGTCACTATCCTCTGAACACTTGTCGTCGACAATTGGTCACTATAAACAAAACACAATTATCAAAATCAATCAATGAGAAGTTTTAAATTAAATTCTTAACTTGAAAACATACTTACACAGGTAATTTTGTTTGCAAATACTCTAAAGTGATGTTGCAATAAGAAACCACCTTGGAACTTACTAAGTTGTAAGCATTCTCCGTTTGGTTAACTAAACCGGGAAAATGCTTTTCCACCTAAAATGTTACACTGAAGGTAATACCAAAATCTTTAAATATGTTAATTCTCACCGTTTTTTCAAGCGATGAGTAATGGTCTCTGACGTGGGGCGTTACGGAACTCCACAAATTCAAAACTGCTACCCCCAACACCTTGCCCACGTCTCTAAACAAGTCCGCATAGGGTTCGACGAATGTGACTACCAACTTATACTGCTCAGGGAAGGTTTCTTTGGCGCGTGCATTAACCCAGGTAGACCCGTCAATAATCACCGTATTAGCTTTATACAGAGAGGATTCCTCGAAACGACCCTGTCGCATCTTTATGTATACTTCGAGGCTCGCCCCCAAAAGCCCCAAAACTACCAGAAATTTTAAAAGTCCACCCGAGCTGCGAGGCATCTTTTGTCTCTCTAATCTTTCCAATATTCTCTAAAATAAAAACAACGAACTTGTGTCTCGTAGCGCTTACAAGGTCAAAACTTTAATGACAGTCAAAACTCGCCACTTTCAACACTAAAATTCAAACACTACCTCAAAAAAGTAAAAAAACGATTGTAGGGTACGGAACCCAAAGGAAAATTAAAACGAATACGACGAACAGATAAAATGCACTGACGCAACGTAATGTTTATTGTTGGATAATCGGGGTATTTTATTTTGCTGGCCGTCCCTTTTCGTTCAAATTATCACTTTAAAACAAACAAAACAAAACGTTTGTCAGCGGTTCCCAATCGACTCAAATCGCCACCGCGCAGCAATCGATCGATAGATGACCACAGATTAAAATATGAACGCTTTAATTCTAACGTTTTTAGGAAGGAGGTGAGAAAATTTGGATAGGCGATTTCGCGATTACGAGGGGTATCTCAAAAGTAAGACAATTTTTTTATATTGAAAAGCGGTTACTTTGACGCCGCCGAATATTTATATTTGTGATATATATGGTTCGTTTGACGCCACAAATAGACGACGCCAATGGTGATGCTGAACCACGCATCTAAGAATCGCGCTGGTTTCATTGAAAGTTAAGGCATAGGATATTTAGAACCAGTAAGATTAAGGAAGCCTTGTATCGGCTGAGAAGCTATACCGGTTGATTATTAAAAGTAATATTCGTTAAGTAGTTGGGAATTTTTATTGAATTGAACGTCCCTAATTTTTTTTTTTTGGAGTGGAACTTGCTGACGTTCCGCCAATCATCTTGTTGGCTTCTAGACTGAAACAACAAAAACCGAAGCAGGAGGAATCCAGAAGTTTTGTAAAAAGTATTGCAGGAGCATGTGAAAGTTTCTTTGAAAAAAAAGTCCCTAATATATGTTTCAAGTAAAACATTTCTGTCCTATTTCAGAATACACAACATTGAATTACATTGTCGAGAGTTCTAAATATATACGAAGGCTTTCAATCAAGGATTTCCTTAAATCATCTAATTTGCGTGTAACGATGCCGCTCCGACAAACGCGCATGCGGTTTCAAATGTTTGCTTAATTGATAAATTAAAAATATTTTTCACAACAGCATACATGAATATTGATTTAGTACTAATTTAACATTATAATAAAATTACGAAAACAAGTGTTCACGGTGGCATTTAGTGAATAACTTAAAAATTAATGGCGCATGCTCACTTGAAAAGTTATTCTAGTTATTCTACTATTTAGTACATGATTCCATTCTTAACGTCTTTTACAGAAAATAGCAAATATTTCAAAAATTCTTTTGCACACAAAATTCACATTCGGGACGCAAGTATTTGATTTCATTTAAGAAATTAATGTCGCATGGATTTACTAAAGAAACATTTAACTTTTTACTCAAAATTTGAAATTAGTATTAATGGATGCTCGGATCAATTCACAATATGTAATCGATAATCTTGAGAGGTATGAGTGAATCTGTACCTCTCATTGATATCAAAATAGCCCAAATTAATCAGTAAAACAATAATAAAATTCAAACCGACTCACCCGAGTCAACAAAACTGCATCAGCCAATCCCTGCTCCTTCTTTTTCCTCAACGACAGCTCTTCATTTTGCTGCTCGAATTTTAACAGGCACTCCTTTAACGCACCTTGTTTTATTAAATTTTTGAGTTTATCAAAATTTCTATCTGGAATTGGACAAAGTTTCCCACATAAATCCCATCCCATTTGGCCTAGTATAAGGAGACCTGACAAGTTACTTTGGTGAACATAAAGTGAAAACAAAAACAAATTACTTTGCAAGTTGCTAATATCGTTAAAGGTCAAATATGAAAAAACGTCGAAGGTCAGCTTTTGAATCAGCACGGCCAGCCAAAGAACAAGTAATGATAAGTAAAAAATTTACGCGTCCTAGAAAAGGATGCGAATGGGAATTATGTGCTTTCAATATGGTTTATTAGGGGCTTGTTGGGTCTCCTGGGACCAGACACCTACCTATATAATTGAACAAAACGGCACTTGGTGAAACATATTTTGGGTAAAGTCTGAGCCATTCACCCAAAGCATTGTGATCCCTCGAAAACAGTGCGACTAGGGTATCACAAAGGCAGTCCTGGTAGGTTTTGTTGCCGTTGGCTGATATCTTTTTGAGAAACCGCTCCACCAATTGGCCGTTGAGCTCCTTCATGTTTTTAAACAACAGAGTCTGAACGTAAGAGTGCGTGTCGCCAAGTTGCTTCGTCAGTTGCTTCGACCCCGACGATTTCTTATTTGACAACAGAGCGTCCAAAATCAAAAAGTATTGGTCATTCGATATGGACGTATCGTGATTATAACCGAGCAAATCGATCAGATATTTTGTAACGTACTGAGTGTAATTTTTCATGTCTATCGTTGGCAACATCAGCTCTTCGAAAACTGAAATAAATAAGTAAATATATACTTTATTTATCAGAAGAGCTATATATTAAAAACAAGCGTATTTACAATGAAAATGTACCAGCCACATAAAATACATACATATATACATAACAAATATAAAAGTATATAATATATATTAAAAAAAAACATATAACCACAAAACAATTATAAAAAATCAATATAAAAGGCTAGCCCATACATAGTTTTTGCATTTAAATTATCACACTCTTTAATATTTTTTTGACAGCCGATTAAACTCTAGCAAACCTTTCTAGGCTCTCAAGTATTATACTCATGAAAATTCATAAATTAATTAACTCTATCACTAATATATTTAGTTTATTTTTTGTCTTAAATATAAATACAAATACATTACTTTGTGCTTTACAGTCAATATTTCTAACACATTTAACATAGTCATGACAGCTGTGTATATCTATTACATTTCAGAATTGCGCGCATTGATCTGTTGTGTATTCTCTGAAATTCTGTTAGTGTATAATTAGGTATACTAAACATTAAAGTTGAACAATACTGCAAATGTGACACATCTTAGCTATTGTAAAGTAACAATTTTATATAAGATGTTAAATTTTTGCCTGCTCTAGATATATAACCCACCTTTTGTGAAAACTTACTTATTACATAATCAGAATGTTGATAGAAGTTTAATTGTTGATCTAATACAGTTCCCAAATATTTCCCATACTGCAAATTAACGACATTTATATTAATATTAATTATTAATTAATATTAATTAATTAATAATTAATATTAAAACTGATATTCAAACCATCTATGTGTTTTGCCATACAAAATCCCCAGGAAAATCTCAATCAAAATTCAACAATTGGATTTTCCTATCGCCACGTTTTGGTTTCACAAATTTTCGGTCGCGAGGACAGCCAAAAATTTGGTTGATAAAATTTATCCCTTTTTTAACAGATCAGAAATTCTTAATTAAAAAAAATGTTCAATTAATTAGTTAAAAATATTAAACACAGGAAATATTTGAACTTAACAACTTTTACAATATTGGTTTATCAATTTTTTACTAACCCCTCTTAAAAAGTGGTTCCTTAAGTTGGCTTGCTACTAACAAAAACATTACTTACCACTTTACATTTCTGGAAAATTTAAAACCTTTTTGAATTTTGTAATGTAGTTTAAAATGGTTTTTGGTGTAATCATTTATTTTATCATATCATATCATATAAACTAAAAGACAGAAACCTCCTAAAACCATACTTCCAACTTGCTATGTGATTTGCCAGACTGAGAAATATGTACCACCTAAGTTAATTTGAATAATCCATTTTTCGCGCCAAAAAAACTCGGCACATTTGTTACAAACCAAAACCTTAGCATGTCCTTTCCAGCAAAAAATTAACAAAGATTTATTAATATCACCCACCTTTCAAACCACTGTGCAAATCGTCTATTCCAGTATGCCCCAGTGCCCAGAATATCGGCAGTGTAATGTTTGACCTATTCTGATAAGAGTTGCGTAACAATTTGTGTTTCCCCAAATTAAGCAACACCAATTGGGGCTCTTTTGTAGCGATATGTTGCAAGAAAAACCGGTATCCTACGGCGGGAAGTCCCTTACTCAAATCAGTGGCCAATGAAGTTAAAGCAATGTCAAAAAAGGTTTGAATGTTACCCTTTCCCGCTTCCTTTACCGATTTTTCAATGACAAGTTTTATTTCGGACGGGGCCTAAAAATAAAACTAGTGAAAGTTAAGAAAAAAAATACTGACGCACCATAACAATGTACCGCTGAAAGAGGAAAACCGGAAGGTTTATTTGAAAATACTGGATCAGGCACTTCTACTGGTATTTTGTGGTTTAAATAGTCGGTTAATTCTTTGAGCCATAAAATAGGCGCGTCGGGGTACAAACTTTTGGTCCTCTCAAAAATTGAACTAAATTCGGTAACATCAATCTGAAATTTAACTCAATGAAAGCCAATAAATGTGAATTTTACAACAAAGGGCAAGACCTACTAAAGTAAGAGCACTTTCGATGGATTTAGGAGGTTTTGGTTTCAGCGGTTCTTTGTTGATTTTATTAGGTTTCTGTTCCGACTTTTTCACATTTGGGTTTTTAGTTTTTTGGGTATTTTTTTCCTCCTTCCCCTTTACGTTTGCGTAAATGCTGTTCATTTGCGATTTCGGTACTGGACAACAAATCACAAAATGTATTTATATGTTAAAACCATTAAAACCACCCGAGTGGTGCTGTACTTACAAATTTCTTCGATTTTAACATTATTTAAGATATTGCTCTGCTTGTTTTTGAAATTTTTCGGTTTGTTATTGTCTATACTTGCAGTTTTGTTAGATTTATCTTTTTTCCTTACTACCGTTTCCCATTGCCCAGACATGGTTTACAAAAAAATGTACGCTAAAAAAAAATTATACCAAAAAACTACTAAAGCAAACAAACTTCAATCACAACTTTCCGCCAAAGTTCCACGGTGGACAGTGTTGTCGACAACCACTATCGATATTTTACCACATTTTGCCACAACATCATCTTCTTCGTTTTGACAATAGGCCACAAACTTTATAATTATTTTTAGAAATAAAAATTTACATTTACCCATTATTAGAGATCAAACACAGCAAAAGTGGGTGCTTCATTATAACGAAAAAAGTAAAAAGGAATTGAATCGGATGAAATATATATTTTTCTTCAAACAACTTAAACTGCAAAAAGAAGAAATGTCACGAGATTTTTTCGCAGGAATATTTCAACAATTATGTGAAATTAACCTTTTAATACATGATCCGGAATTTGGAATGTTTCGTAGAAAAACATTACTTCTTGGGACTGCAGTAATTGCAATTTTGTTTTTGTTGATTAACTACTATTTGCTATCAATATTGACATTAACTAGGACTGATATTGAGCATGTCCCTACTGTAGAAGATTTCATTTGGCTTGAATACCAAAAGCTAAATTCTTATTATAGAGCAAGAAAGAGTTCAGAGCGAATATTTTTGAAATTTGTGAAACATTTATCTTATTTAGATCACGAAGCTTTGCCCAATCTTTGGGCTGAAGTGAGTTCTTGGATTTCTGACAAACAGCTTTTTGATGCACTTAATCCAAAATTAGGAACAGTTATTAATGAATTGAAGCATGCACCTATTGTTAAAGCTGACTTAGATAATAGAGGCACTCAACTGAAACTACTTTTAACATTAGAAGTGAGTAAAATTGGATAAAATCGTTATTCCCCATAAAATGAATTGTGTTTAGGGAAACCAGGATGTTATTTTTAAACCAAAATGGTATGAAAAAGACGAAATAATCAGGGGAGAAGTTTATGCAGGGAAAGACCGTTATGGGGCTGAAATTGTAGCATTTTACTTATCCATTTTGATAGGAAAACCTCTGACTCCTATAATTGCTGAAAGGAATATTTCTTTGAAAAAGGATGTACTTCCTGCTGCAACGAAAAGGTTGCTAAATACAAGTTTTACTAATAAATTGAACCGATCTTGTATTTATGGTTCTTGTTTTTACTGCAAAAGAGAGGACCCTATTTGTGACAATGAGAATGATTTGCTAAGGGGGGCTGTTATACTTGATATTAAGCGGCAATTGAAAAGCCACAGATCTCCTTGGCAGAGGACTTATAAAAAAGGCAAAATGGCCCTATGGCAAGAGTCCGAAAACTATTGTAGGTAAAGTATATGTGGTAATTTTTTTTTATTGGCTGTTGTGTGAACTTTGCTCATTTTAGCACAGTTGCCAAAAAATTATCAAAACAGAGGCTTTTAGATCTAATTGACACAGCGATATTTGACTTCTTAATACAAAATGGTGATAGGCATCATTACGAAACATTAGATGAGATGGTTGTTTTATTAGATAATGGTAAAGGTCTTGGGGATCCAGGAGTTCATCACCTTGATATTTTGGCACCATTGTACCAGTGTTGCATGTAAATATTTTAATAACATAGTGCTTCCTTCTATTGTGGAGCATGTTTGCAGGATCCGCCAACAAACTTGGAAAAGTCTGTTGCGGTTGACTGGTGGGAAGATTGAAGAATACATAAGAACAGTGCCTGATATTGAGAGTTCTGTCGCAGTTTCTCACTGGAGAGCAATGGATCAAAGATTATTACTTATTTTTGCGACTGTAGAATATTGCAAACAAATTAAAAAACTTGTAATTCATTACATTTATTGTTTTTTTGTCATTTTCCATTACACAATTAAGCCATTTATCTATTTTGGTGCATATGGATGACCTACTCTTTCTTGTATAGAATGATACAAAAAAAAATTCGAATCGATGAATTTATTTCCTATCGACATTTTAAGTGAGATTTGACAAAGAGCGATAGAGAATAATAAAACGAAATATCTAGATAGTTCAAGTTGTTGGTATCACTAGTTTAATCTTGGGGCAGAGTCTAGTGGAGACATAGATAGGCAGAATCATATGTTGCAACATAGTAGTGACAAAAGAGTTAACAGTAATCTTAGTATTCTGTGAGTGTCGAGAATCAGCTAATTTTACTTTACGTTTGAGTTTATGCTAGATTCCGGCTGTGATATCAAGGATAAAATAATTTATCAAGCAATTAACATCACCTCTGTAAAAGCTTTATTTCATATTATATTATGCAACAAGTGTGGTAAACGGCATTTGATTCACGAGTTTATTTGATACGAGCGGAGCGCAGCGGAGCAAGTGTTTAATAAACGAGTGACTTAAAAAGTTTACCGAAAGTGTTGCATACTATACTTTTTCTACGACCGTTAGTTTTTGGGTACAGTTTCGCAAAACAACACGAATATATTCAATGACAGACACCGAGGTTGCTAAGGCGTTGACCTGCCAACTCGAACTTGCCGTAGGTTGAGGGTTCGATTCTCACCGGGCGCCTTGGGTGTTGTGTGTGTAAAAAGTTGTTATCGGTCAATTTGCCTTCGCCGATGCCGGAAAGTGAGCCCCAATTAAGCCTAAAGAAAAAACATTCACTGACATGGCCGTCAGAATTGACAAACGTCACAATTCAAGGTGCGGGAAATATCTCTGAAAACATCCGATTGCTCCCAAACCTGCGCGGTAAAATCCCGGAAATGTCGGAAGTGGCTAGGATTCGTGGGAAAAGAAACGTTTCCCGCGCGTTAGATCGGTGCGTAATTAGGTACTTTACAGAAGTAGAAAAATAACATTTCGACGTGCAAACTGCAATAAAGCGGTGTCCGCACTATGTAGAACTCGAATCAAGACGCTACGAACAAAATGAAGTTGAAAGGACTCAAGTAGTGTAGACGTCTCGAGCGCGTTACGCAACATTTCAGCTGATGATGCAATCAGTCATTTATTTCTCATCAATTAAAGCGAAATTAAATTTGTTTTGAAGTCTACTCTTGTACAACTTATATTTGTTGGAATATATTTTATATATTGTGGGATGCAAGTGATCCTGAGTGTAGTTGTTTAATCTATGAATTAATGTAAGTGATGAATTGGAGCAATGTCAAACTATCTATTTAATAGAAATGTATTGGGATCACCCTGTATTGTGGGATACAACTGATCCCGAGTGTAAAAATAGAAACATCTGAAGACGACGATGTTTCTGGTTTACTACTGCTGCAATTGTTGTATCTTCAGTATTGCTCATAATAATTAATAGAATATATACTATAATTCCTAAGCTTGGCGATAGAATGTATGTGGACCAACAGGTCTGTACATACTGAGCGATTGTGGACGAAGTCAAAGCTAAACAGGAATGCGATTCATCGTTTGACGTAGTGTGGACACAGCTTAACATGGCATATAGCGATGGCAATCTTAGTTTTCTGTGGGTAACGGGAATCAGCTGCTTTTGAGTAAAACAGTTATCTGTTTAGACACTCATATTGTTCATCACGATAGATTCCTGCTGTAGTTATCACGGATTAAATAATTTATCAAGCACTTAATATCGACGCTATAAAGGCGTTATTTCAAATAACAATTCGAAAGGGCAGATTATATAATTAGCAGTTATCAAATTTATACAGACACAAAGTAAATAATATTGATAATTTTCGCGTCGTCTAGTGATAAGCTAAACCAGACTGAGCTGAAGTATATAAGGATGGGTTAGGTCAAGAGTAAGAGCAGTAATGGACAGTAAAGTGTCATCTAGTTAATGTAGCGCAATAAATTAAAATACGCGGTATTCGAAGCTATGTCTTCTGGGAAGAAGTGCCAGAATTGCGGTAGCTCGGAGATTGAAGTAGATCCCGCAAGGGGAGATGCGGTGTGTACTAACTGTGGGTCTGTCTTGGAAGACAGTATTATTGTATCGGAAATACAATTTGAAGAGGGGGCTCATGGGACAACGAGCGCCATTGGACAATTCGTCGCCGCAGATTCCAGCGGAGGCGCAACCAAATTTGGAGCCGCTTTTCATGTCGTCGGTCTACTCGAATCGAGGGAACTGACCCTCCGAAAAGCACGAGGTGGGATCACGCATCTAGGCAATCAGCTCAAGTTAAACCAGCATTGCATAGACACAGCTTGTAGCTTTTTCAAAATGGCGCTCTCAAAAAATTTGACCCGAGGAAGACGAAATACACATATCCACGCCGCCTGTGTTTATTTAACTTGTAGAACAGAAGGTACAGCACATTTGCTTATCGATATAAGTGATGTGTTGCAAATTTGTTGTTATGAATTGGGAAGGACATATTTAAAGTTGTCGCAGGCGCTATGCATCAACGTTCCTTCAGTTGATCCCTGTATTTATATCTTAAGGTTTGCATCGAAGTTAGATTTTGGGGACAAAACGCAGCAGGTAATACAATGATTATGTATATATATAATATGTCCAATTATGAAATTATTTTTTTTTACAATTTTTTCTCTCTGTACTTTAAAATTTCTTGTATATTTCAATTTCGCTAAGTCACTAATTTCAAAAAATTTAAATTCAAAAATTGTCTAAGTCGACGGTTTACGAGGTTTGTATTGTTTGTATGTTGTCGTATTAATTAATTAATTTCATAAGAATAAAGAATCTTCCCCTATTGTGCCGACTTAATTGAATATACTGTATACACTGTATTTTTGGATGCTTCTGAAATTATTTTTCTAAAATATTGTGAAAATCGAAATAATTAACCTTTCACCCATTTCAGGAAAAAATATAAAATGTTATTGCATACAGTATGTTTACAAAATTAGGCACATTTTTTAATATATGTGTTTGTAAATTAAACGTTAATTTTAAGTTGAATCTTCTGTATTTTATTGCGTCAATAAAAAGAACGATTCCTATGGCATAACAGTTTTGGTGTTAAAATAAAAAATCTAGAATAATGCAAATGCAATGCAAAGTATTTATCAAACAATTTATTTTCTTTATTAATCTAACTCGATCTATTAAAGTTATTTTATATTCATTCAACATGCAGTAAATTCAATGAGCTCTATCCAAATTTGACGCCTATAAATAAAAAGCAGTTGAGAAATAGCGTAAAGCTTTATAAACTATAATTTACTATAACTTTTATGCAAACAATATTTGATTTAAATACACATCAATAGAGCGAAATTTAAGACAAATAAATTATTAATTTTTTTTCAACCCGACGACCCGCCTCAGATTTCGATAAATATCAAAAAGATCTAAACTTTTTAAAAAGAACTATTTGGACTGACCGGTGAGATTTTACATTAACAAATCGTTTGAATATGAATTCGCGTTATCAAAATAACATAAAATTTCTTAATAAATTACGTGTCAAATACTATTTTATTTGTTAAAATATATGGCGATGGCCTACTACTAAGACAGTTATATTTGCATTATTCTATTTTCTCTGTTATAATACTTTTAGCTCAAGAATGGAATCGTTCTTTTTATTGCTACAATAAAATAGAGTCGGTTCCACTTACAATTCGCGTATAAATTTCTTTTTCATATTTTGTATAATGTGGTTTTGTAATTGAACACTCTGTATGAGATAGCTTTAATCTTTTGCCATAATATGCAACAGCAGACTATTGACAAGGCGTAAATAAAATTTCAGATTTTTATCTAAAACGGTTGACAGATAGTCAAATTTTCTAAAAAATCATTTTTATCTCAAAAAAAACTCAAGGGAGCTCTCTGTTGCATGCAAAGTTTTAGAATTTTTCATAGCTGCTAATAATGTCATGTGATTCCATTAAAAAAAAGTAATTTGGGTGTTGTCGGAGCAGATGTTGCAGTGCCCCAAATATTTCAAAAATAGAGATCATTACCTCCTATTGCCCCCACCACAATTTTTCAAAGCCTATTCACCATATACGAATAGAAAGAAATAGACAATGACTTTTATGTAGTAATGCTTAAAGTTGAAAGAAATGATTATATTCTGAACCCAAAAATACTATTGACTGGTGAGATTTTATCGTGTTTGATTTTCAATTCAACCAGAATACAGAGGGCGCAATAAATATTGTGCAGCAAAGTATAAAAGTAAACTTCTGGGTTCTGAGTTCATTTATACATAATATTCAATATCCATTCTGTGATAAGACTGCATATTGTTAAATACTAATTAATTAATGGTTTATTAATAAAAAAGATTTATACATTATAATAGACGGAACAATAGACTTGTATAATGCAAATATTTCCAGTGTTGTCAGATTCAAAAATTTTTTTTACCAGAACGAAATATCGATTTCGCTAACTCCTCTGTATAATAATTTCAGGTGGCAAATACTGCGCTCCGATTGGTCCAGAGAATGAAACGCGATTCTATTCATTCGGGACGAAGGCCGTCGGGTCTGTGCGGCGCCGCCCTACTAATAGCAGCTCGACTGCACGAGTTCAGCCGAACCCTGGGGGACGTTTTGAAAGTAGTGAAAGTACATGAGTCTACGATGAGGCGAAGACTCATAGAGTTCGGAGACACGCCCAGCAGCACTCTGACCTTGGAAGAATTCATGACGGTCGATTTAGAGGAGGAACAAGACCCACCCTCGTTCAAAGCGGCCCGTAAAAAAGACAAAGAGAGGCTGCAGAAACTGATGGAAGAGGAAGCTGACACTTTGACCGAATTGCAGAAACAGATAGAGACGCAGCTGGACATCAATCGCAAGAGGCGTAGGAGAAACGGCAAATTGTCGTTGAAAATAGAGGACTCGGAAGCGGAAAAATTCGCGGAAGAATCCACCATGCATGTTATAAATAAGATAATCGAAGAAGCGGTCGACGATCCCACTGCCGCGGATGAGGTTAAGGCCTTGGGTCCGAATATAGCCGGTATGGGGCTGGCGAATTCGTTGGAAGACACGAGCAACGCCCCTCAGCCAGAGAAGGTGGTGTTTAATCTCGATTTCGAAGACCTGGATGACGAGGAACTGGACTCTTACATAATGTCAGAGCAGGAGTACAGGAGCAAGAACGGCCTGTGGACGAAACTGAACGCCGACTATTTGGAGAAACAGAAAGCGAAGGCGGAGCAGGCGAAACGCGAAGCAGAGGAAGGGAAACCGGAGAAGAAACGGAAACGGCCGAACAGGAAAAAAATCGGGCCTGCAAATTCCGCGGGCGAGGCGATAGAGAAGATCATCCAGGAGAAGAAGATATCGTCTAAAATTAACTACGACGTATTGAAGAGTTTAAATTCCGTGACGTCGGGCGAAACGAGGCAAGCGGAAGATAATATGGAGAAGAAATTCACTGAGCCCAGTCCAAAGAAGCACAGGGGTAATAAAAGACTTGACTCGGGTTTGGGGCTGCCGTTCGCGGAGCGTAAGGAAGACAAGAAAGAAGAAGAGAAAATGAATGTAGAGCCTGAAGAGGAAGAGGAAGAGTTGGATGAATATTACGAAGAGGAGCCGGCACAGAAAGAGTCGACGATGGGAGTCCTGGAAATGTTGAAGCAGCATCGGGAGGACGAGGCGGGCGATGATGATTACGAGTACGGGTATTACGAAGAGGACTACTAATCCAGGTGGTGCGCGAATGATATAACTTTTTTCTGTAAGTTTTTATTTCCTTCTCTCCTCTTATAAGACTGTATTTTGAGATCTTCCGAATTTTTGCGCCCTATACCTTGCCTTTAAATTCATTGTTGTAGATATGTTTAAATTATTATTAGTTGTAAATCTCTTTTTAATAATAAACGCATTTTCATGACCATTTTATTCCTTGGGACGAGCCGCATCAAAATAAAACTATAACGGAGTATTTTTAAATTTGAATCGAAGTCGGCGATCAATCCTGCAAATGGTCGGGAATATGGTTTCAACAAAAAAGATAGTAAATTCTGATGCCCTGTCTGTTGATATAACTAACACTTAGCGAGAGGGCAGCGGATTCGTCTATTGAAAGTAATTTGTGATAGTTTACACTAATTCTACCAAGATATTCTTGGAGACCAACCTATTTTTATATCTTCAAAACCAGTATGGGAGTGGAGATATTTACCATACCATCTATAAAAGAAAAGAAAAAAAAGCAAAATATAGAAAGCAACTTTTAGGAATAAAATTATGGATCTAAAACCTTATATTGTTTTTTATGGATTTCAATCCACATTGAATAGATTTTTTCTTCTAACTTGGGCAGTTATTAGATCTACACTTTCCTCTAAGTTATAAACAAGAATAAAAATATGGAAATACAGTCACAATCACCTAGATACCCTGTGTTTCCGATGATCACGCCAAACAAAAAAAAAGTAAATCTTACGGCCCTTGCTCAACTAAAACAAGAATATGTCAACAAATATTTATTTCATTTAAACAAAATACAAAAACATTAGACAAATCGGAAGGATAAAACATTCGTCGCTTCTCGATCTTTTTAACGGAACAGTATTACGCTTAACTTAAACACAACTTTGGACAACGCTAACCAACGGGATGACACTTAACTTGAACATAACTTTGACTATATCACAAAACTCAACGCTCGAACCGCCTTTCTAGTCTACTTTAAACGCGTGAAGTATCGTGTCGACCTCCTTCAAAATTGCCTGCCACGCCTCGCCAACCGCACCGGTGTCACCGTCCACTCGGGTCAACTGACCAATCAGGAAGTCGTAAGTGTGTTTCATAGCCTGTTTGCACCGCGCGAGCATCTCCGCTTGGCTGAAATCCGAATGTTAACCAGATAAAGAAAAAAGCTGCTTCACGTCCGCTCACCTCTTGTCGCACGTGCACGTCACGTGGCTGTCGTTTACGCCGATCACCGCCATTTCTTCAGAGGCTCGTTCCTCGTCACCTAACTGCAAATAGAAAATAATTGGGCTGATGCCATACCCTGACACAAGGATATTATAGAGACTACATTCTACATAACAATGGCGGTTTTAGTAGTATATATATAAGAGGCTGGTTATTAAAGTATTATAGTCATACTTAGAGGAAATAACTAGAACTCTGGAGAGAAGCTGAAGAAAAACTGTTAAAGACAACAACAGAGAAACTCGGTCACAAAAAGAAGGTGGGTAAGAAGGGATGGATGACAGAAGAAATCATGAATCTAATGCAAAAACGGCGTAAATATCAAAACAAAAATAATGGAGCATACAGAAGACTACATGCACAGATACGATCAGAAATAAGAAAAGCTAGGAGAAACTGGGTACAGAGAGAATGCGAAGAAATTGAGGCCTTACAACAATTACATGAATCTCTGGAAGAACACAAAAAATTGAAAGATGTCACGCAAAGTGACCAATTAGTCAATGAAAGAAATGAAATCATAATGGAAGAGGAAGGCAAAAAGCAATTGTGGACTACTTACATTGACAAATTATTCGCCGTCGACTCACGAGAAGAACTCGCAAAATTATCCCAACACCATGAGGAAATAAAGAAAGTAATTAGAACTGCTAAGAAGAACAAGGCACCAGGGACAGGCGGCATACCAGCGGAAATATGGAAGTTATTGGACGATGAAAGCATTTTACTTCTACAAAGAGTATTCAATTATATCTATAACACAGGGCAAATTCTTGAAAGCTGGCACAGTTCAACCTTCATCCCCTTTCCAAAGAAATGCAATGCACGCCACTTTAATGACCATAGGCTAATAAGTATAATGATAAGTATAATACTTTTAAGATATTCCTGAAAATATTACATAGCAGAATGTATAAAAAATGTGAGCGTAATGTAAGTGTAAATCAGTGCGGGTTTAAAGCTGGAATGGGCAACAGAGAAGCACTGTTCAGCATACAAGTACTAACACATTGGTTATGAAAAGGCCTTTGACCGAGTACATGGAAAACCCAGTGAAATATTATGAGAAACAGACTTAGATGAAAAAGACATCAGATGTATAGAAAACTTAAACCAGTAGCAAAGAGTACATATAAAAACACAAAAAATCATAACCGAAGACATCCATATATGTAGAAGCGTGAGACATTGATGTGTACTCTCACCACTATTATCCAATATCTACTCGGAAGAGATTTTTAATGAAACGTTTGGAAACTCCAAACAAGGAATAAATGTTAATGAAATCCCAATATTGAACCTGAGATACGCGGATGACTCCCTACTTGCAAACAACATGTATGAGTTACAAGACATGCACACCTTACTGGCCAAAACATCAATTCCAAGAAAACTGATGATCATTTGCTGAGACAACAAATAAATGCTAACTCAACACTCAGCACGTGCAACATTTATTAAGTTTAGAAACATACTGAGCTGCAGAGTACCAAATGAAGAAGTACTCAACGGGATGCAGAAGAAGAGAGAATTGTTTGGTACCATTAAAAAAGGAAAACCTCCCACTTGGGAGACATAATTTGAAATGAAAAATATAACATCCTACAGCTCATACTCGAAGGAAAGATAGAAGGCAAGTGGGGAATGGACGGGGAATTAGACAATGGACGGGTCTGAAGATAGAGAGATAGGAGAGCTCATAAACACAGCAAGAGACAAAGACAGATTCCAACATGTGGTCGCTAACATCCAGTGAATGGATTGGCATCTAAAGAAGAAGGAGAGGAGGAAATAAATCATTAGACATTTCTGTAATGAAGTACATAAATATTCAAGTAGATGTGTTGCTTTATTGGCGTATTATAGCGCATCACCCTGAGCTGTATCTTACCACAACCGTGTATTGTGCGCTCTGGTCTTAGCCTTACCGTTTTTATATACACGTCTTTGTTGCTGAACAGCAGGACGCTGACCGTCGGTATGAGGCTACATTCCCGCACTAAGGTGGTTTTTCGGAAGTTCGATCGGGTCTCGTTGATATACACTAAATACTTGGATGGAAACGCGTGTCTCTTGAAGTTCACGCTCTCCGAGCCAATGGTAGCCTTGTGATTATTTCTAAAGCAAACGAAAATAGAGCTGATCCCATCGTCTAGGAGCTTCAGAAAAAACACGGTTAAAGACACAAACCTGCTCCGTATTGCTTGGCTTCACGAAATTTTAAATCTATTTTTTCAAATTTTGAATGTGTGAATAATCGTGTTTCTTTGAATCTATTAATAATCATAGCCTTTAAAGGTTGCAAAATGTCAATTATTTAACAGCTTTTTTTGCAGGAAAACAAATACACATCTCATAAAAAATTCGCTCACTTTGTAATCAAACGGTTGGTATTGGTTTTAAGTCTGCTTTTGCTGACGTCCCAGTTGCGATGCTGCAGAACCGTGCCGACACCCGAATACAAGACGGACAGCACGAGGGCGTCGTTGTCCGAAAGGTCGTCTGCTATCGGCATCGCCTCGTACAGGCCGTTGTACAGGTAATCAAAATGAACGGCCCTTAATTCTGAAAAAAAGCACCGCGCTTTCCGTCACACCCTCCGAATAAAACCACACTTTTTGATAATTAACTCATATTCGCTAAATATCTTTACGTTTACTTAAGACAACTAGAATCGACGGACATATAGGTTCATTTGAACTACCACAATTTTGAAAATCAGAATATGGTTCCCCGAGTTCCAAAACAAATATTTCTTGTCTTTTGATATTATAAAAAAACAAAAATATCAAAAAATATTTAAAAAAAAACGAAAAATATTGAGAGTAACTAAAGGTTCGTCAAATTACTTCTCCGACACCCTCTTATCAACCAAATTTTAATTTCCTCTTGTTCTTCGCGAACTTTAGATCTGATAAGATTCCCACATTATCGGTGTTGCCAATTTTCCTAAAAATAAAGCGAACGCGAGGACATAATGGTACGGACCGACTTACTTGCAATGTATTCGAGCCTCTGGGATGCCAAATTAAAACGTGAGCAGAACCTCTCCACCGTGACGTCGTCCGTTTCTTCGACCAGCTCAAGCCACTTTTCGAGGAGCCTCATCATCGCCAAATGGTCACTGGTTTTGCTGAACTGTTTTTTAACGGCTTGGACGGTACCCTTGTCGGTCAGCGTCGATGCGAAGATGTCGACGTCCGACGAGAAAAGCGTCACTACGTCGACAATCGGCGTGACGCATTTGTATACCACCGAATTTACCATCGTCTGAAAATTTCCCGTTATCGCCCAGGAACGCTGGCGGCTGCTACGTCATTCGTCGATGACGTTATATCCGAATGACGAACAACAAATGACAGCAGCCGACACATTTAAGTTTTAAGAGTTCCCTACATTAATTTATTGACTTAAGAGTCTCCCAGTACAGTTTATTTAATGAGGGGAGTGTTACAAGTTTATATACACTTACTGAAAATCCGTATTAACAATTGCAAGCAAAAATTTAGGTTTACTGAGAATTAGATTTGAGAGTTTCACCTTAAAAATTGAGAAACCCGATTACCAGCTACGGATTATATTTAACTAGAATGATCCGTAGTTTCGGGAAATAACTTAGTTCATGAACCTCGATTGGGCTTAAAAGTTGCTGATATTGATTTATTTAATTAAAATTAAATTAAGATTAATAGAGTCAAGCATGAATTTATTTAATGAGATTCAGGATTAAAGGTTTCGATAATTAATTATCCTAATGAGAATCGGCAGTAAAAGCTTCAGGAATTAATGTATTTAATGTAAGTCAACCACGATTAAGAATTCCACGCATTAATCTACATATTGATAATCTGGTATAAGAGTTTTGAGGTCATTGGTTAGTGCAAAATATTCTCTTTTTAAAATCTTCATTAATCAATATTTGAGATATGAAGCACTCATAACTCTTATCTTTTTCGATAACATTTACTTTTTAGCATATTATTTTTAAATTTGTGATATCAAACCGGTTCAAATGGCGCAAAAAACTTGAACATTGGAATTTTGGAACTCGTTTTTTAACAAGGATATCCGTAAATATCTATTTACAAAAATATATTTAAAAAAATTCTTGACAAAGTCACAAAGTGATATAAAAGTTGCTTCGAATTATCTAAAACATAAGAAATGTCCAATTCTAAAAAAAAAAAATCGCGGAAAATTACAAATTTTGAATAGGTATTTTCTTTAAAAACAAAACAATTTGGAATTTCTCGCAAAAAAAAGTATATTCAAAATTGAACGAAATATGCGGGGTTTCAATAGAGCCTTAAAACGTCGGCTTTGACAGTAGATCTAACGGCTGCTTATGACACAATCGTGAGGTAGCGACTGCTGTACAAATTCCTAAGAGTTATACCCAAAAAGGAACTAACTCCGCTGCCGAACAACATGCTGATCGAATAAATATTCCAAGTGGTTATGAATAACAATATCAGTAGGATTACCATTTGATCCTTAAACCAATGCTCTGTGATATTTATATCTTGGAAATATCTGAAACCATATAGAAGAAATTCGCTTACGCCGATGAAATCGTTCTAGCGGTTAAGCAAACACCTATTTACAGATACACAATTGAACCACACTATGGGCAGAATTACAGGGTAGATGAAATTCACACCGACATACTGGGTTCCGATACTTAGTCATATTGCCCCACCCTATCTTAGAAGACAACAAGAAGTCCTAATCCACTAATATTGAAAGATAATGGCGGATCAAAACTACCAATTTATGAAGACATTGAGAATATAATGTCAGTTCAATTCAAATCCAGAGGATCACAACTCAGGACTGCAATAGAACGATTTGGAAAACTGCCAACAGAATACGTATTGGCCGTGGTAGAAGTGCGGAAATGTTATAGAAGCTGGGGAAGAAAAATCTAATAAACTATTAACCGCATACCGCAAGAATCGATCATATCTAGGAGAAATGGTCACCTTAATTTCTTTTGTATCAGCCTCAAATGGATGGTGCGGATTTGGCGCCATGAATTATGTGGGAGCGGATGGGGTTGAGGATAGGTAGGTTGGTGCCCAGAGGGTGGATCGAATGGCCTTGAGCGGACCAGTTTCCGCTAATATGAACCTTAAATTTTCTTATGGCAATTTACATGTAAAAACGGTCGAAATTGCTGTTGAATTGTCATGACTATTCTACTTCCATGTATCATTATACTGTATCCATAAATGTGGCTATCAATTAACCCTAACCAAGTCCGTACTCCTAGTTTTTGTAGAAAACTTTAGTAGCGTAGCGTAACCAAGTCCGTATCCTAGTTTTTGTAGAAAACTTTAGTTAGCGTAGCGAAATTTTGAAACACTTATTGGTGGTTTAGACTTAAAATCTTTCCAAATGCAACAAAAAGTGAAGAGTTAATGCTAATGGTCAGTTTTTTTCAGACATGCTGGGTGCCTCTTCTATACAAGATCACTGACCTTTGCCAGCTTGGGTTCCAGCTGGAAGTGAACGAGAGTGCGTCCCAACGGTGTCAGATTTTCGTCGGCGTCGAGCAGCTCCATGTCTTTAAGCTCGCGGACGGCCTGCACTACCGCAGACGTTTCGGGCGGGGTCGGCAGCTCATTCATAAACTCCACCGCGTCCCTATTACCCGGGAACGTTTTCGAATCCAGGACGATTTTCGTCAGCGACGTGCCCAAAATGTCCGGTAACTTGTAGTCCCGGAACGTGTCGAACTTCGACCGCGGATACATGTGGTATGACTCGCCGGGACGGCACCTACCCGCCCTCCCGGACCGTTGGGTCACGTTCGCCTTCGCGATCCAATATTGGTCCATTACGTTTATCCCTGAAACGTAACATTGGTAGGGAAGAGTGTCCGAACAGAAGAAGAAAGAGCCAAGGTTCAAACATCTATAGCGAGCTATATGCTTCGGCAATTCACCAACAGAAGACATTAAATCAAAAGCAAAATTAAAGCAACAAAACATAACAGATTTAAAAAAAAACATACAAAATAAATCTTTTTGTGTATGTATGTAATAACCCTTTTCTACATTTCATGTTTAATGAAATCTCCATTATGTGAGGTTTTAATTAGTTCATATAATCGCGAGTCTGCTGTATGAAATACCAAAACTGCTTTATTCATTTTCGAATGTTCATTGACAGTTGCGAATGTACATATATATAAAGTTTTAAGGAGGTACACAAATTATTGTCGGCCATATTTTAGCAGATAGTTAAATAAACTTGAACAATGTGTCAAATATCACGATCCTTTATATATTGACTGAATAAATCACTTCAGTAAGTCTCTTCATTCATGGACGTTTTTATTGTTTTGTTTGTTTTTTATATAGCACTTCGGAATTAAGTTGCATTCATGATTGGTCTTGTTTTTGTTTACTCTTCAAAAGTGTGTCGAGTACAGAGAACAAACTCAAAATAATAATAAAGTGTGAATAATTATTGAATATTATGTCAAAAAAATAGTAAGCGGGCGGTCCTTTCAATTCATTATTTTTTTGTTCAGATTTTTTCCTTTGGTTAGTGAGTGACAAGTATTTTTTTTATATAATCTTGGGATTTAAAAGCCCTTCCAACAATCTCAAAACTGAACAAAAAAATAATGACGCACGTAAATAAATGAATAAATAAAATCAAAGTATGTGTACACTTTTTTAATTTTGAAGATTTCCTAAAACTTTCTTAAATACCACTCTGTAGGCACTTTAATTAATGAGCAAACAAAAATAAGGAACGAATAAATATCAATTAAAGAAAAGAAAGCTGCCGGAAATTAAATACAAATTCATTTCAAATAAAAGTGTCATTTAAAAAAAAATACCTCGTTCTGAGTCGAAAACTTTGTTCTTAAATATTCCGCTGTCCACCACGTAGACCACATCGTCGATGGTGATCGAAGTCTCGGCGATGTTGGTCGACAGGATTACTTTACGTATCCCGGGCGGTGGTTTCCGGAATATCCTCATTTGCTCCGTGTTCTTTAGCTTCGAGTGCAAGCAGTAGACGGCCATGTCGTTTCGTCGGGGCAGCAGCGCCTGGACCTTCGTTATATCTTCCCAGCCCGGCAAAAATACCAAGATGGCGCCTTCCTTTTTCGTTTGGTGAATGTGATGTACCACCTTAAAAACCAAACGTCCACTTTTCCCCATTATTTAATTAAATTTTCGACGCGTTGCTGACGATTTAAAGAAAAAAATCCAAAATGAAAATTTATTGCCAATTTATGCGGGGCACATTAATATTTTCTGATTCCCAATCGGGATTTTCTTATTTTTACTAACATTTATGGAACAATGTGACATTTCGAGTTGTTTAAAACAAGTGATAATAATAATCATACATATAATAATCAAAAGAATTAACAGAAAAGTAAAAAGTATAAAACTAGGAAGAATAACCTGGAATCCATCAACTTTATCTTAGATAAACTTGACAAGGCACATCAAGCTCTAGATTCTTTCATGTGAATTTTCGAATGAATTTCTCAGTTCTTTTTATTTTATTTTTTTTTTTAATAAAAACAAAATTCCCGTACTTTTACATTAATTTAATAATTAAGTAAAGCGCCACCTCAACAACAGTCTCACCGGGTAAGCAAGTAGTAGTAGTAGCCAAAAAAAAATGCAGGCTGTCTTTTATTGTTATTACAATTTTTTCAAATATTTTAAAGAAAAATTTCCAACGGCGATTTCTCAAGATTCTTGAATAAACATCGGCCCGTTTTTGAGATGAGTCGTGTCGAGAATTATTTTTTTTACCTTGCAGGTGATGCCCCTTGCAATAAAATGCCGTTCTTGAGAAAAAACAAAGCTTCTGCAGAGCGATGTTCATATTAAAAAATACTTTGTATACTACTAAACAGCAAAACTTTCAACTGATATGGCATTTCCTTACCTTTGCGATGTCTTCGTGACAAACGTTCGGATACTCGGACTCGCACATTTTCAACGTCATAGAGACGTCCAACGGACAATTGTCCAAAAACTGCTGCGTCACCGGGTAAGTGAAGCCGGGCACATTCAAAACGGCCGCGCCTTCGTAGTACCGCTGGAACTCGTCGGTGTCGATGGTGGCGCTCATGATGATGAGTTTAAATTTCGCGTTTGCTTTGAGCGCGATCTTCAAAAGGCTCATCAGCAGATCGATGTTGACGTCACGCTCGTGAGCCTCGTCCAGGATGACGTGTGTGAATTTACGCAAGTAAGGGTCCGACTGTAGGTGTCGGATCAAAATTCCGGACGTGCAGTATAAAATCCTGCCCGTGTGGGAGTTAAAGTCGTTTTGGAAGCGCACTTGGTAACCCACTATACGACCGACCTTAAATTTGGAATCAAACGGAATGCAACGTCACCGAAATAGACAAGCGCTCATACTATGGTGTAAATTATAACCTGTTTGTAATGATGTCATTTTTGTTTATCTTTGTCTTTGCTGTCAATCAGCACTGCGAATTTTCCAGAAAAGTGAGGCAAATTTTAAAATACAAAACGACTGCTACCAATGAGGATACTTGTCTTTTTCTTGCTTATTTATAATGATAGAAGAATGGGTGTTCTCATTTATTAATTATGAGAAAATGATTTATTTTTCAGCAGTATTAAATAAATAAAATAAAACTAAAAATAAAGAATACCAAAAAAATGAATTATTTTTTATTTCCATTCGCATAAATATAAATATAAACCAAAATCCGACCATGTAATCTTTAAATGCTTTATTTACCCAAAAAAATAAAATTATTAGTAGGTATTCCACATACGGAAGATTGTCGCCGTCAAAATATATCACAACCACTTAGTTCAAAGACCGATAAACAATTGAAATAATTTCACAAAATTATCGTTAATAAACAATTTTACCGAAGTAGTAGAAAAATTGAAAAATAATATCAAAATTATCTTTAAACAGTTATCTGCCATTAGTAGTAACGTATATGACAAAGAAAAGACCACCCATTTTCCTCTATATAAAATGTGCCCTACAAAATGCCAAAAAATCTTACAAAAAACGGTTAATTTCAATTAATTAATGAGAATAAAACCAATAAAAAAGAACATTTTTAAAAATGTGAAAACAGACAATAAATGAAAACGAGCGACAAGTTAGATATATATGTAGCTAAAAAAGCACAAACGCCTGACGTGTATTAACCGCATGTGACTCCATCATAGATTTAGCCACTCAGGGGTGTTTCAATCACGTGACCAGCTAAAGAAAGGTTAGTTTTTTAGAATTGGTTATTTCATAGACATGTCAATGCGAATGGCTCCTAAAACGCGTAATCTACATCTTTCACCTCATGATCAAATATTTTAAAAGCGCCCGCCCCAGTGCGGAAAAAAAAGAAGGCTCACCGCATCATCCCTTTCCGCCGCGACCCGCTCGGCCAAAGAAATGGCGGCAATTTTGCGTGGTTGGGCCACAGCTATACGACAATGTGTATTGTCGGGGTACACCTCCCTGGCCCAATGTTCCAGAACATATTGGGGAATTCTAGTGCTCTTGCCACACCCTGGTTCCCCTTTTATTATAATCACGCTGTTATCGCGCATCAGGTCCATGAAGCTTTCCCTGAAAACGAAAATGGATTTTTACAGAAATTCCGGGTTAGCTTTTTTGACATGCTAGAATATTCCCTGACCAACAATTTTGGTGCTTAAACAATTTAATATGTATTTAAAATGGATGCTCTCTGCCATTGAATCAATTTAGAAACTTAAAATTTAAAAACTTTTAGTTTTTAAGTTCAGCAACATTGAATCTATCTCGAGCAAAGCTTATATGTTGCTTTAATATATGGAAAAGTTTTTAAAAGTATATATATACTCTAACCTGAAGCTATCAGCAGAAATTAATTAATCACTATCAATCACACTTGCATACACAATTAGACCAAATAAAACTTACTTGTATCTTGCAATAGGCAAATCCACCTTCTCTCTGGATAAATACTCCTTCAACCCCATAAAACGCTGTTTGTGGCTACCCGCAATATCAAGATTGTCTTCAGTGGAGCTAATTTTCCTAATTTCAGGCTCAACCACCTCTGTATCTTTAATGCGTGGCAAAATTCTCTCTGTATAGATATCTATAATATTCTGCATGTTGGGCAACACGTTGGACAAATCTAGCACTTCGTGAGTCTCCCTAATAATTCTCTTCACATCTTCCTTGGAGTATACTATGGGCATCCCATCTTCTGTAATCCTTTTTTCATCTTTCAGGAATTGCAAGGTCCGTAAGGCAGCATGTGTAGATGCAGTTTGTTTCGTTTTGCCAGTAGCACATACTCTGCATTCTGTAGGCCACTTTACTGGGTAAGTGCAAAGCCACACCCCTTTCTCCTTGACAGCTTTGTAGATGGGAGAGGGTTTCAGGGACTTATCCTTCCTTTGTTCTGTAACTATCTGATAGAAGTTATTTAAAGTCTGCTTGGGATTGGGGAATTTTTGGTGAAGTTCTTGAATGGTGGGAGTATTTACATAAACAAGATCATTTTTTCTTGTTTCATTTACAGGTTGAATTTTTTCTTCATTAATTGCATTTGTGGTCATGTGCCTATTTTGCATAAGTTTAATTCTTAAATTACTATTTAACAAAGTTTTGCTAGCCTTATCCAGATCACCCTTGATATCCTACAATAATTGTAGTTATTGCATAAACAAAAAATGGAAATTAGTAAATATTAATTTAATTATTTTGATAAAGTAAAAACAATAAATAATTATTTACAATCTTGTACTGAAAATAAAAGTTATCTTTAAAAAACTCACCTGCTTGTAGCCTTTAAGTCTGTCATTTACAGAAAGCTTGAACAAACTTTTAGGTTTCTTCTGCCTGAGTCTGCTACTTACAACTCTACCAATTTTTTTCTGAGGCACTTTTAAATTTGTAATCGTTTCCTCATGACTTATTAAATTCTGAGATTTTTCGAGCCACAACAGTGCGGCCAATCTGCTATTGTGCTCTGCGGTTCGTTTAGTAACTCCTAAACCTTTAAATGTAAGTTCTTCTTTCAGAGACAGCTTCAGCAGGCAAGTCCATAAACGCGAGTAATGAAATTCCATATTAATAGTGTTGATAGGATGGACTCTCGTTTTCAAAATATTTTCCATTTTTGCAGAAATGTTCTGTGTGTTGCCATAGCTCTTATACATTTCGGATATCTTGATATTCTTTCCGCAAACGTCCGTAAACATTAAGATTTTATTTTGTGCCATTATTCTAATTGTTCTAACACAACCTTGTAGTATCAAGCATCCACCCGTCAATAACAAACCGCGTATGTGCTTTCTGAACATTTTAAATAGCAAAAAAAAATTAAGCGGAAAAAGCACACACAAAAATTTAAATAGTTTGGTTAGTCACATAGAATTTAAATCGGTTATTGTACTTGGTTTCCATCGGGGTTATGTTGCTAACTTAATTTTGAAGATGACAGATACTTATGCAGGACAAAAAAGTAAAACGTAAGAAAAAATTTGGAACCACTTTAACCGAAACTTAAACCTGAAGTTGCACAGTATTTTTTCCCAAGATTATTGAGATGTTTTCACAAGTTACGTATAAAGAAGAAGAGCTCTCAATCTAGTGCAAAAATGGTAGTTTTGATCTCTGACATTCTCCTTTTTAGTGGCAAAATGGCGGATCAGGTATGTGATCTTACATTTTCGGATGTATTTTTTTCGTTTTTATGGTAGCATTTTATATAAATGTCTTTAAATTTCGCCACGGTCGTCCGCCGTGGAATTTCGTTCTAATTAAAGTATTTTTTAAGCACTTAAGTGTAATAGTCTGCCCATTTTTGGTCGCACGTGGTTTCTAACCGCGAAAACTAGCGTCTCACTTAATCCGATTGATTTTGCAGAACGAAAGGGCGTTTCAGCGACAACCTACGATATTTTTAAACCGTAAAAAGGGTGTCGGTGGCAAGAAGAAGAAATCTCTTCGATACCACCGCGAAGTTGGACTGGGCTTTAAGACGCCCCGGGAGGTACAGTTTTACCCAGATTTAATCTTTTGCGTTTGTTTGTTTAGACTGAGAGAGCATTTCAAAAGCAACCCACCGTATTTTTAAACCCAAAACCAGGCAAGAAAAAGAAGGTTACTCGATTGTCGAGGAACGTCGGGTTAGGTTTCAAAACCCCCAGAGAGGTTTGTTGGGATATATTTTTTTTTGGTAATCGGGCTAATGGGTGCAAGGATCGCTCTCTGGCTACTATTATCTGGTATTGGTTGGTCGCAGTTCTATGTGTTGCTGATATTGACTTTTATTAGAGAAGTTTGTATCATATTTCAAAGAGTATTGCATGATACATAAAATAAGTTTGAATATGAAATTGTTACTCAAGTTGAGGAAACAATATTGCATGCGGTTTGCTTTTTGAGGGTAGGGTGTCATTTTAGTATCCTGGTCTTAACAGCAGGTGCAGTGTGTAATATTTGTGTGGTACTAGTAGAATCTCACAATAGAAATTGTGTGTAAAGTAATTTGAGGACTGTGATCTTCTTTAGGCAATTGAAGGATCATACATAGACAAGAAATGCCCATTCACAGGCAATGTGTCCATCCGGGGTCGTATTTTGACTGGTGTCGTTCAGAAGATGAAAATGCAGCGTACAATCGTTATTCGGCGTGACTATTTGCATTACATCAGGAAATACAATCGGTTCGAGAAGAGACACAGAAACATGTCCGTTCATCTATCTCCATGCTTCAGGTATTTTGAAGCAGGTACAGGAATCAATTAATTAATTTGGTTATTTTTTTTAGAGATGTTGAAATTGGGGATGTGGTTACTATTGGTGAATGCAGACCCTTATCGAAAACTGTCAGGTTTAATGTACTGAAGGTGTCAAAGGGTATCGGTTCAAAGAAGAGCTTCAGGAAGTTCTAATTGTAATAAATTGTTTATTAAGAATGTAGTATTTTTGTATTTCCTGGATATGAGAAATATTTTTACAACTGGCACTTAAAAAAAACAGAATATAAAGAAAATCGAATTGGGGAAAGTTAAAAGGGTTCTCATTTCAGCACCACAAGATAGTAAGTAGATATTTAGCAAAATTATTACCATAAATAGTGGTATGCTAAACCTAAATATGAGCTTTAACTTTTGTCTTGATATTTCACAGCTATATGTGTCAAATTTCGGAATAGGAATGGTTGCGGTTGGAACTGTATTTTACTCAAGAAAAGATATTGAAAATTCTGTGAAAAACTTTTGTTTATAAAATGTACGCCGCCATCTGGCGAGTCGTAGCGGAACACAAGAGAATGTCGAGCGGATGATTTTTTCTCGCAGGAACGGTAGGGGGAGCGCATATTTTTCGGACAAGACAGAATACTATTATTGCTCTGTGCTGACTTTTTTAGAGGAGACTTCATGTTATTACAATTATAATTAATATGACACCTTGTTGCTGTTTGACACTCGGATTTACGTCTTTTCGTTTTACTGATTGAGGACAAACTAACTCGTATTCATAAAAAAAAAATTGATCGTTGTTTGCTTGGAGACGTAAATACAAAGGCACGTTCAAAATGTTGGGCACCGGGTGCACATTCTAATACAGAAAACGTGACGAATCTTGACATTTGCATGAAAATGAACGCGGCAACAATTACGGACACTAATTTAATGGACATATTATTACACTTATACTTACATATCAACATAGAGCGCAGAAAAAGCCATTAACTTAATGAAACTGGGTAAATATGGCGTGTTTCATTACGCGGACCTACCCTCTTTTTCGACGTGATTCTTCTATATTTAACATCCAAGGTTGGTGTGCCACTGTTGTCTCAAAAAAGTCGCAAAACATCGCCATTTATTTTAATTCAAGCACTGCGTGACGCGTTTCACAATAAAAGAAATCCAATCCAACTTGACCGAATTTTTCAGCTTTCAGACTTCTTTGTGAAACCCGTAGAATCGTATATGTGAAGCCCACCTAAGCGATTTACAATACTTTAAAATTAAAGTTACCAAATTTTGTTCCAGGTGAACGAACCCTTTCAAATAAAAAGACTTGGAAACATCAAATTGTTTATTATCTTACAAAGTAAATAAATACACTGATCAATTATCAATATGCGGTAATAACAATAGAATAGGTGCGTAGTAAATTTTTTAAATACCAAAATACATGCAGCGAGCGCTTTTATGTTGATTAAAATACGTTTTCGAAAATATTACAGCACAGATTAAAGGCATCTTGATGTGTGGGATATAACATACTTTTAAATTCATTTACATTATTCTTTCAACTACTGCGGTTAAGTTTTAGCTACCCTTTCGCCGTCCTAAAATAACGTTGTTTGATGACGTAGAAAAAATGTACAAGCATTCTAAATCATGCGTCGTAGAAAATACAGCAGTTCGTCTAAAAACATCCTAAATGAACTTAACTGTGACACTGAGTTAGAAAGACCAAACGGTATAACTGTTTCATCACAGATGAAAATGTAAGCTTCGATAACTTGCCTAAATACATATGGCAATCAGCTTTGTTGGCGTACCGTTCCGTTTTAAAAATCACAATTATAGGAAAAGGCAGAACTCTTTTGGTCAGTCTCCAAACGATTTTCATTTGCGACGTATTTATGGTCCACGCTTATTCCGCATCATGATTGCCAAATTAATGCGTCATAAACGGCAACCCCCACGATATGTGCGACAGTCGTAATTTACGAAATACGGCACCAGTCTAAGTTGTGTCGTTTATGACGTATATCGGCCAAACCGAATTTAGAATTTGCACAACGAAATCAGTGCATTGAAAACGTTAAATTTCATTTGTAGGGTATCGTTTGCGGTCGAGGGACACATTAAAACTTCGAAGAATGGCGAATTAAAATTAAGCAGCATAAAGTAAGTCTGTTAAATAGATCCTCAATTTAAAATTATATTAGTAATATAATTATAAGTAAAATATTTGACTATCATTAGAAAACCAAGAACAAATGTTTTTATATACCGAAAGGATCTTCCAGGAAATAACAAAGTTATTTTCCCACCATGGTTTTCGATTTCGTTTTGTAAGAATTAATTATCAATATTCACTCTTTTTTGTGATACCCATAAATATTCAACACCTGTACCAAGATGGCTATAACCTCGGCGCAGTTCCTCAAAATAACCGCCAATTTAATGGGGAAATTATCGTACACTGCTTATAGGATTCGGGACAATTATTTAAATATATTTCTCTGATTATACATACCACTGAATACCATTAACATGTAAAACGCATCCGATAGATCGTCGCCCGGATATTTTTCCTGAAACTATGCGAGGCCGTTTTTCTGAATACTAATCGTTAATTTGTATGATATCAGATAACTCGAGGTGAAAAAACGGACAAACGGGTTAATGAAACTTAGATTACCTACGGGTCGAGACGGATTGGCCTCCCCGCGACATTTTGACATTTAATCTATTCTGTGTCCCGGCGAGAACGAACGACAGACCACAAGAGAAACGAGATCAAATTAATTTTGAGGATATTATGCCTCGAAGATCACTGGTGCAATAATAGCCGACTACCTATTGCCTGGTCGTTGCATAACGCGGTTAGAACAACTTTTACATTAAAATTCGAGTACTGTTACTGTTACTTACACCTTCGAATTAATATTATGCTTATTCATTGTAGCAAAAACAGCCTACGAACCGGCAAAGTGTATTGAATCTAATTTTCAACAGTCTTTTTTACGTCTGCGGACCCGTTCAGTCTCCGCTTTATGATAATTTCCGGTCAATAAATTTTGTTTAATATAAATATATTAGTGATTATAATTAATAAGTGTTGGGTACAAGGTGTTCACGTAATCACATACACCATTACCGTGCGTTATTTGAAAGGGTTCCTTTTCAAAGGTGACGGAAAACAAAAATTACACCTTTTCCTTTTTTTGCGCCAACGTTATGGTCCGTCATCATTCAATTCATTTTCTACGTTGCCAACATAACCTATACTTGGGTTAGTTTTGGTTATGTTAGATTATCCTAACTATTATGCCAATCTAAAGGTTAAAAGAGAGCAATTTGCTTTTAAAAAAACACGGCACCAACAAAAAAAAGAAACAGCCACCCATTTCCGGTCCCATTGTGCGTCGCGTGAAATTCGACGAAAAAGTTTTAGACGTAACTGGCGGCGAATACGTTCGTGATCTCGCATGTTCAGGTGTGCAATTATTATACAAACGCGGAGCATAAAAACTTTTGATTGGAGCGTGTGTTGCGTGCGGTCCCACAAAAAGTAATCGACAACATTGCCAGTACACGTGTAGTTGTGTCGATCCGGATCGCAGATTATAGATAGAAAAGTACACGACACAGGGATACGGTTCAATTTTAGTTAAAAGGTTTGCTAATGAGTGACAGCACGCTGGTGACGATAGTCGCCACGTCAGCGCTAAATTTTTAGTTAGTGGTTAAATTTTTTGAAGATTAGAGATGTGGAATGCGAAATGTTTATCACAGGACAAATTTGTCTACATTTGTGGTTTAAGTTGACTTAAATGTTTCTGCCGTCAGCTACGGACGCAACTAACTTACGTTCAGTGTACTACTCGACGGTTACAGAGGTGTGCGTGTGCAACAGAACCCGATAAAAAAAACACTTTTATCTCGACATCCTGCTTTCTCCGCCTTGCCCATTCTCAATGGTTTTCGTTTCCATCGCGATGGGTCTCGTTAATTGTTTCTCTTTTTGTCTATTGTTTCACCGAGCGATTTGCATTGCAATCAGCCACGGACCGTATACGTACCTACCTATATATATGTATGTATAATAAGCATATATAGCATGGGCGTAAGACGTACCATACAATATAATATGTATTACCCACATGGGTTGAGTTGGAGCGCGAGCCCCTCATCGCATTTAAATTTATAATTTTAGTGGTGTGTGTGTGTGCGCGTGTAAATGTGTTACGTTGGGTTTGTTCTCTCATTCGACCGGTTTTCCATCGAAGGTGGCTGGGTATCTACGGTCACGCGTTGGACTTTATTTAAATAGGATGAGGCGCGTACCTAACCTAACTTTCGGTTTTCGTCGGTGTGGAAGGTTGGCTTAATAAATATGCCCGTGCATACACTGAAATTCTTTCCATTTCCATTTCCATTTGAAGTTTATGGTTTCAACTTTATTACGATAAGATTGGTCGAATGATCTTAGCTATCATGGTCATTAGAGTAAAAATAAAAAGAAACTTTGATAATATAACCTATCAAAGTAGTTTTTTGGTCATTGATATATTAAAATTATTTTTTCAAATAACTGAAATTCCTAGGTGAGCCAATTTCCCCTTCTATGGTATAAAAAACGAGAAAACTAAAATGACTAAATCGCTATTCAAAAAGTTATCAAATTTCTTATATTCCTGATAGGTTGCAATACTTACAAGACATTGAAGTTTAAAAAGCTAAAGCTAAATGACACATCACAATCACAGATCTGACTTGCGGAGTTGCCAGTTTTTATCTCTATAATCGCCTCTGGACAAACTTAATCTTGATGGAATACATAATATTTTTAAGAACCGCGGAACAGAAGGAACGAAGATTTTACCTAAAGCTTTTATTCATATCGATAGGGGCGAAGAAATATTCTCAGCAGAAGATTGTTTTTTTTAATTTGGCCGAGAATTGCGCGAAAAATGTACTAAAGCCAGGAAGTCAAAAGTTGCATGCTAAGATTATATACTCCATTCAAACAAAAAAGTTTTTAAAAATAAAAAACGTACGCCAATGAATATTTACCCGCCATCACAGACTAAACAAACCGGTCTATGCCTTTGCGTTACCAATGTGCGTTTTTCAATATATTTATTTAACTAAATGTCAGCGAAACCCGGAGCCACTGGCAGCAACGTTGCCAGTATTCGAACTTTTTGATATTGACAATTGTGTTTAGTTTTAGGTATGAAATTTACCAAAATGGTTAGGAACATTTTTGTTTGATATTTGGCATTTGAAATTTTTGCATTACCACCGAGCAGATACGGAGTTTAGATGTGCATTTCTGTTTTTGTTCTACGGACGTAAATATTTTGTCTGCATCAACTAATAATAGAGAGTGAGGGATTTTTGCGTTTCCATCTATATCTGTACCAGTTGGAATAGTTGAAATTGGGTAGAACGTTGGGGGTATTTATTGATCAGGATAAATTCGTGATGGATCCATAAAATTCGAAAACTATCCAATTTTTATTTATTATTGTTCGCCTTTTTCTTAAAGCTCCTCTCTTGAATTTAGTCTGCCTGCGCTGGTTTATATCTTATATCTTTTTAAAGCTAATAACAAGCATAAAATTATTTAAAAAAACATGCAGGGCGTTTCATTTTAAAAAACAGAAGTTTAGTTATATCCAGACCAGATATGTTGGCCGTCTAAAAATTCAACATTATCTTATTCACCCTGTGTATCTGTAGCACTGGGTAACCATAACAATATTTTGTGTATTTGGGAAATATTGCAATTATATTAGTTTTCTCTGTAATAATTCAAATTTACCGCCACCTAACGCCAGAAAATTAGTTAGTCTTGGTTAATTCGCGTTCCGATATTTACTAGGGATTCTATGGTCTATACCCCAAATCGGCCAACGCAAAGACGAAAAACGGACAAACGCACGTATTGCACGCGCGTACTATTATAGTATACCATCAGCCGACCGAAGGCAGGAACTGGCCGGGGTCTTTGGACTCGATCGTCGAGTCGTCCTCGTAGTACGTGCTGGACATAATGAATTTACGTTTATTATTCCTACACGGTACGCACGGTGGCAAATTGTTTCTCCTATACGATTTTTATGTCAATTCGCCTGCCATGCCGGGCTGGGACTCTACGTGAACGATGCTCGATGCTCAGAAACGACGGCAAAAAGTTCGTTTAGATTTCCTATTTGGTCAGACCGATAGGAAATTTATTCCACTATATACAGGGTGTTTCCGGCTCGGTGAACCAAATTAGCTCCATTGATAGATCTCAAAAACCAAATGAAATTTGATTTCTAAATTATGGGTCTGGGTTATCTTTCATCCAATTTAAAGTATAGGGTGTTTCAAAAAACGTTCAGTTACTTTCAAGGATAAATAGAATACTATCAAATAACATTAGTTTCATTAATAAATGTGTCCGAAAGTGCCAAAAGAGACGAGGGCACAAAAAAATCATAATAAATTTAGACCAGAAAAACTCCTCAACAGTAATTTTTGACTTTTTATATCAAATTGTTTCGAAATTTTTAATTTTTGTGCAGGACCTAAAAATAGCCCATAAAGAAAGTGTGTTCAAAATAAAATTCTGTACAAAATATTAAAATTGCGAAGTACTGTGTGAAATTAATGTGCATGCTCGAGTATTTACGGCGTCAGAGGCGTATATAATGAGAGGAATTTATGTAAGTTATACTCCATCGTAAGCATATTAAAAAATAACCCTAGATTAATAGATGTGCCCGAAAATGCCTATGAAAGGGGTCTAAAAAATCGTTATGTGCATAATTTCTGAAATTTAAGTTCAAAATCATAACCATTTTTTTCATTTTCTAGCTGTTTATGAACCAATCACAATTACCTTATTTTCTTACATAAAATAATATATTAATTCGGCCAGCATTACTTGCTAAAACCACAAATAACTCCAAAACCAGTATTTTTTTTACTATCAAGATTGCTCTTTCATGGAAATTTCTTTAAAATATGTAATTTTTGTGCAAAAAAATAAAAATATCCCCATAGAAACATTGTTTGGGAAGTGACATCCAACTTTAACAAACTAAAAGGATCTAATTTGACCAGCGGCGGACTTAACATTTTCGAACTATAAAATGGCACGCTTCTGCTTTGCCGACAAATAAACATTGCCCCTAGGCCTCTCATGTTTTTTTTTCCGACCCATAGTTTATGTATAAACCAATCACTTTAATAAAATTTAATTAATAAAAACCTCAAATAAATTCCGCCGGTACTTCAACACATTCGTGTGGTTCCATTATTGTAACTTCAAGCGGAACAGTACTGCCAACGCACTCCGATAAAAATACAAACAAAAACCCTAAACCTACAAATCACAAGTCTCAATTAATAAAAAAAAACGGAAAATTACTTTTTTAAAAGTTACACATTATACGTAAAATCACAAATAGCGAAAAATCATGTGTCGTCAGCGACTGGCGACGGTACTAGTAAGGTGGTAGGGGGTGGTGGGGGGGTCGTTCGGTTTTAGCAGTCCCGAAAACCATTTTCCTCCCTCCCCGAAGAAGACCCGATTCTGGTAAGGGGCGAACATGTGGAACAATTTCTTATTACCTTGCCAAGGAAGTAGGGAATTCATTTTCTGCGGTCGTGTTTTGTTCCGTAGTTTTGGATTTATATTTTTAATCGTCTCTTTCACTCTTTCACAACTGTATTTAAATTATTATAGTGATGTATTAATTATTTTTGATATACAATCTAGTAAACCTACGGTGAATTATTAGTAATTTCCGTAGATGGCACCGTCTCAACATTTTCGTGTTTTATTTCGTAGTTTTCGATTTATATGGCAACCAATGTTTTTTTTTCGTCTCATCTATTATAATATTTTTAGTACGAATGAAAAGGGTCAGCCTTTACGTGCTGAAACTATGTAGTTGTCAATGCTTATTTGGAGAGAGATGAAAAACGTAATCTATACTTCACATTTTTCCATATCTACGCGTTATCCTTACCAGTATCGAATCTGCGGTGGTAGAAAATAAACAATTCCACCAAATCGGTAGGTAAAGAGTGCGCAAACATAATGCCCATTGGCCATAAGTAAGTCATAGTAAAAACTAATTTTTCTTGCAAATGACCTTCAAAGTCACTCGGACTGATAGAACCGAACGTCCCACCCGAATATCGCCACCACTTGAAAAACTCTAAGTTTACAAATAAAGAGTACCTCTGTTCCTCTGCTCGTTCAACGAGTGCTTGAAGTGTTTCTTGTACGCGTACACTATGGCGGCCGGGTCGACGATTTTTTTCGGCTTGTCAGTGATCACCGGCGGCATTGAGATATCCGGGTGTTCTCTGATCTCCCACACGAGGTTGGTCAGACTGCGAGGTCGTGAAATTTTCCTCGATCTCTTCTCCGGTTGTTTAGCAACGCCACCTGAATCGCCCGAAGCACGTCCGCCGGAGTTGCTCGAGTCTAAAGTTCCGTCTAGCTCCATAGCCTGGAACAATGGCGTAATAGTCGGTCTATAGTTAGTTTGGTTATTGGCGATTTACCCGAGTCTTAGGGGATTTATACACATCTGTTTGCGAAAAGTTTTATTATGTACATTACCATTCAAATTGTTATGGTTTGCGGTGATTTATTTAGGATTCTCGAATAATTAGCGAAACTTATGGCAATTTATCCATTAATGGTTCGTTAGTCAAAAGTGATTTATGATAGTATACGTTGATTTACGGTGAATTATTAAGATTTTCCGAAGATGAGCTGAGATTTACAGCACTGTCTCGGCGGTTTACAATGATTTATCAATGATTTACAAGCATTTATGCGTAAAAAGTGATGTAATCCGTGATATATGAAAGATTTGCCAAGATTTACTGTGTTTTACGACAATTAATCGATGATTTATAAGCATTTATTTCTCAAATGTAATTTGTGATGTGAATGACCTATGAATTACCGCAAATTAAAAATGAATTATGTATACTTTAATCGTTTCGAAGTGAAGGCAATGCGTACCAGTTTTAAGGCTTGTAAGGACTTACTTGTCTATAGCCCTTAAGTCGAGACCACTCACCTGCTGTAGATTGTTCAACGACTTATACCGTATGTTGAACAATGGCGAGCCGGACTTGGAAATTGGACTAGGTGGAGTCTCTTTCATCGGCGACGCGCTCTTCTGCCTTAGCAGTCGGCTACGTTGCGAGTGCCCGTTCTTTACGTATAGCTTCGGTAGACCTGGAGGTGTCTTCTGGATCTGGTGGACTTTTTGGGGTGCCTCCCTGATCGTCGACGACGCCGATTTTCGATTCCGTTTTTCAGCTTGCAATTTTTTTGTCGGGATCGTCTCGATAGGGGGTGGTTCCGGTTTTGTGAGATCCGGTGGGGTCGAATGGGGAGGAGCGGAACTGTGTGACGTCAATGACGGCGATGGGTCGGTGAACGGCGCGCGGATGTTTTTCGGGAGAGGAGCGAAGCCTCTGACGTAGTCGTAGATCTGGTCGATTTCGTCGTAGTCTTTGCTGTAGACGGGAATTCGGTTCTCGTCTTTCCGATGGTGGTGCGAGTGCTTCGTTCTGTGATTGGCCGAATCCGATGACGCGCTACGACGCAGAGCGAAGCCGTTTTTCGGTTCAGCCACCGGCTGGGTAGGAGACTGTTTTTTCGACTCGCTTAGTTTTCCATCCAGCACCTGAAACCGAACGATTTGCGCTTGCGTGAAGGTCGGACGGGAACCGAAGCGTTGGCGTCATATATGGAACCAAGGTAAACGCAGGGTTATCTTGGTTCCATATATGACGCCAACGCCGCTGCCAATGTGTAGGCGACCAAAATGGTTCCGGTCAGTGTTCGTTGTGAAATGAAGTTTTTATAACAATTTGCTCAGATAAATCAAGTGTCCGAGGAAAAAGAAAAATACCGGAAGAGTTTAAATTAAATTAAATTTAAATGCGCTTGGACCCTAGACTAGACCAATAAGAGAAATTGTTTTGGACGAGATGTTCCTAGAGTCTACTTTTTGAAGCACCTTCAGGGTATCTAAGATCACTGACCGCACAGAGATCTTGCGTGAATTATGGGGCAAACTTTATTGCGACGATTAAATGGCGTTAATCAAATCTAATTAGTGACCGCGTCGGTAATTCCGCCACTCCCTTTTTATCCCCAAACTAGATTGCGTTGCGTATTCGTCACATTGCGTAATACGGGGTGATTCACGTTCCATTAAAAAATTCGAAAGAACCAATAAAGCGAACGTTTCCGATATTACTGTAGCGCCATATTCGGTGGCAATCCACGCTATATTTTCGCAAATTTCGCGTGCTCAAATCTATCCGAATGCTAGGGAAGTTTTACCTACGTGATTACACCAACCTTTAATTTCTCAAAAGTAAACTTTTGTATAACAATCGCATTGCCGACGAATATATTTTTATGTTTCCCAAGCTACCCGAATAATGTTAACAGCTATTAATTATTATGGAATTTATCTAGCAAGCCAGCATCATCGAAAATATTTCTTGGGTATAGGTTCATCCAGTCTGGTAGTAGGTATACCAAATTTGGAAAAGTCATCTTTTTCTGGTACTCCAAAACTTTTAACATGGTTCGAAGCGTGAATGACCCTATGCTTGCCTGTATCCTATCGGCGACATCCGCTACTAATTTGGTGCATTTTTCCACCAATCGCGTGAACTCCGCCATGTTCCGCAGCTGGTCGTCGTTACGCGTCCGCAGTAGTTTCAGTGGCGCCGCCAGCGGGAGAGCCGTCACGGTTTGGACGTCCTTTTGAAGCGGCAACGCGAAGACGTGTTCCTCCTCGTATACCGACAATAACCTGAAACGGGGAGAGGGAAAGGTAGATTGAAAAAAACGTGGAAAAACCTTTTTTTTGTTTTAATTTAAAAAAAAAGTGCAGGAAAAACTAAAACGATATAAGCAATGTAATAAGTTTTTCATTTAAACTACTTAGTAGTCAAATATTGCTAATACAACTACTTCGATGTACTGATTCGTTTTTGCCGTGTTGCCAGGTTTTCAATTTGTCTCCGACATACGTAAAACACAAATTATTCGTTAATAAAATACGGTGAATAATTTCTATGAAATTTTAGGTATTCGTATGACTTTTTTTCGTCGCTCATCCAGATGGTTTGGCCGCCACGGTTTGCCACAGCTAATAACAAAAAAAAACATTTTTGCATACAAACAGCATTTTGAAAAGTAATAATTCGAATAATGGAAAACTGCAGCAAATTGTGGACTACTACGAAACATTTTCCGTATGCGAAAATTAATTCGCTATTCAATTTATTACGGTACCCACGTGGAATATAAAAACGTGTATGTTAAAACGGTATAAACTATACAAGGCAGTAATATATGTATAAAAATATCCAAGTCCCGTTTTATGAAAACGTTTATTAGGTCACAGCGTAATATTAAGAACACAATGCGCCAATGGAAAAACTGAGTTCGAACAATAAAAGTACCTAACGAACCCATTGGAAAAGAAACGAGCTCTCTCGTTAAAGAACCTCTTATAGTTTTACGAATACAAATTATTAATTTATACAGATCGGTCAGATCCGTGGTAATTTATTATCTTGTGTATTATGCGCCTGACAAAAATATAAGAATAAATTACATTAATTTTCACGGCCTCTATATCAGTATAAGTAGATATACAAACGGAATTATATGACCGATTTCGTAATTCAATCAATTTAAAAACAATTCGATTGCACAATTTGACGTATTGAATAATATTCCAAAGAATTCAAGAAGGAGAGAAATTTAAATAACACGTCGCTTTAAAAAAATAAATAAAATCGCACCATATATTAAGACTTATTTGAAAAGCCGAATTGACGGGTGCGTATAATCAAAATTTAACTGAAGTGCTATTATTTTACCAAAATATATTTGTATTTACCTATTAGTGAGTTCCCTATATACCTATACCCTATACCTACACTTTTACCTAGAAAGAACGTTGCATGTTTAGAATGGTGTCAAGAGCACAGCGATTTTATTTTGCCAGAACGGTGGTGTGTGATTTATATCTATTTCCATTACTCTTAATGTATTCGAAAGTACCAATACCAACCAAGCAGACGAAATATTATCCTTTTTAACAATTTTAATCGGCAAAAAGCAAACAAAAGATAAGAAATTCCTTGAATTATTGATTAATTATTAATAAAATAATTGATTGGTATTTTCAGTAACTATAATAATGTGATCAATTTTTAGGAATTTTCGTTTAGAGTCTCCCCAAAACACTCCCGGACATGTATAAGCATAATACTTAAGCAGGGCGAAAATATTAATAACATAACTATTTAAAAGTAAAAATAGTTTTTTTACCAGTACAATTATACAGGGTGTCTAACATATTGACTTTCTGAAGAGTTTGTATAAAATTGTTTCCAGATATTTTCTTTTCAGCGCTTTTCAAATGGAGAAAAACTCTATTCATGTATAGATTTAGAAAATGCCTCGCTCTAATGGCACGAGTTTAAATTAAAAAAAAAAATCCCACACGCAAACGCGAGCAGTATTTCCAGTGCTGTCCTTGTTATTAACTACGTACGTCAATTAAAACCGGTGAATCGGAAAGCGTACGCAAAAGGGCACTTTATAATTAGAAATTACGGAACGGAGCGCCCTCGTACTTATCTTCCAGGTATTTCCTCACTCCCACACCTATTTTGACGTCACGTGCGGAAATGGCCATCGATCGATATAAACGCGACCTCAAACAATTTGGAGTTAAATACCGACGGTGAAAAAATAAATGATGAGCGGAGGGTGTCACGACGTTTCGAGGAAAGAAAAACGTTATCGTCACACACGTAATACGTACTTACAAGTACATATTTCAAATAAGATAAACAGGAAAAGTTTATTGCTTAATTTAGGCCGCTTAAATAAAAACACATACTCACTTTAAAATTCTGAATTTAAACCCGAATGGTGGCTCCGAATTTGAGATTTGGGACACAAAATCTCTGAATCGATCATTATGTGATAACATTTTACTAGACGCGTACAGGTAACGTCAATATTTTCTGGTAACATTCTGAATAAATTTTGGGCAATATTTGCAGATTATTTTCGTCCATTTCTTGAGGCAGTGACGAAGTACCCATTGGTTTAGTCTTGTTAGTATACTGAGTATACAGAATTACAAAAGGTATTAGCTTTGAAGTTACCTACCTAAGTTCTGGCACAAAATGACTGGGACTCTTCAGGCCTCGCGGGCCAGTGCCGTGCACGAGACGCACCGTGAGGGGTAGTCGTTTGCTGAGTAAGTTCCGCGCGGTGTGCACGCCACTGATGTTGTCTTCGCGCGCCAGCGCCGAGAATTTCCCGCGCTGCTCGAGACCCAATAGAATCGTGTCGCCTCGCGTGTCCAAACACTTGAGGTATCGTCCTGTAACAAGGAAAAGCAGATTTTAACGGCAGAAACGGCGAAGAAGGGTGAAAAAAAAACTACAATTACATCCTAGGTGGTGACTGACAAAAATAGAAAAAATAAAAATATACCTACTACCTCAAAAAAGCAGTCTCATTTCGGTGAAGTCATGCTACTGTAAATAAATGTCAAACGTAGGATGGATGTTTATTTGCTTATCTTATTTATTTATTTATTTTTTATTAGTATTTATATTTACGTTTTATTAAACTAATCTGCAAAACTATAACGGCAAACAAAAAACAATAATTATTTAAATTGTATGATTTTTATTTACATATTTTTATATCGTGTCTAGGGTGAGATAAAATTGGTGGGCATTTGTAAAAACAGGTATCAAACTATTTTTCTATTTCACAGTTGAAAAGATTAATAGACTAAAACCAAAATAATAAAAGAGTTGAGTAGAATTCAAAATCCCAAAAAAAAAATTGCAAAACACAAACTGTGTCTGCCTGCAGTTATAAAAATGTTTTCATTACAAATGAAAGTTAATTTTTACAGGTCCTGTGTGTCATGTTCGGAGTCACTACCCGACGAGTTTGAGATCAACAAGTGTTTAAAAATATTGCAAGCGATTCACTACTATATACGCTATTATATACGCTTTGCTTTAGTTAAGAGTTTGATAGCTTCGAACCCGTTGCTAAAGCAACGCGAGAATGTTTCTTCAAGCAACCGTTTGTGCACGTCCAAATTTGGGTATTTTAGAGTAGGGAGTATAACAATGCAATGCTTATTATAAGAACATTAAATTTAACGTTTGTTGATAAATTGATAATTGATAATAAAAATTATAGAAACGTATGGGTGTCCGCCTATATTTTGACACAAGATAAATAGTAAATACAAAAGTGATAAGGTTTATTCCATAACTAGCACCCTTAAATTTGTACGGAATTCTGGTTTTATTACTCATTTTATAGTATATGCAACGAGTGCGGTAAACGGCGTTTGACTCACGAGTTTATTTGGCACGAAAGGAGCGAGTGTTTAATAAAGAAGTGACTTAAACCGTTTCCCGAACGTGTTGCATACTATACTTTTTCTACAACCGTTAGTTTTTGGATACATTTTTGCAAATTAACACGAATTGAAAAGTCAAAATTCTAGCCATGCGGCAAAAACTTCGAAAACATCCGATTGCTCCCGAACAAGTGCGGTAATACCCCAGAAATGTCCAAAGTGACTCAGATCCGTGAAACAAAAACGCACGCTAGGCAGTAAAAAAAAATATTTTTCAGATTTGCAGATGTAGATCTCACAAAACAGTCTATATTTTTCATTTGTCCGTTTCGAGTAATTTGTATATAAGCAAAACGCTACCGTTAATATTTTGCTAGACTATCGCTACCGCGTGAGCCTGTGGCTGTAATGCCAAGGATATAGGAGAAAGTGCTTTAATGTCGTACCGGGTATATACTGTTGTATCTATCGTACTGTACGATATATTTGTTCTTGATTATTGAACTATAAACGAATGGAAATCGGGAATGTCTATTGTTCCAGCAACGGCTTGTCACGCTGCCGTCGTCGTAGTCGGGTTCGAATTTATCTTAAGAAGTTGACTCGTATGGCGTGGGGAATTTGTCAGCGATAATAACGCGGTAAAAGTGAAAGGTTGGTCATATACAGGGTGATCCGAGTTACATTGAAATTGTGATTTTTGACGGACATGAAACCAACACATGTAAATTTATAATAATTTTTGTACACTTACACTTATTAGTTTATTGAAGTTTGGTTGGTCAGCACCGATGTCATATAAAAGTTGTTTTAATATTTGACAGCATGATTTTGGAACAGAAATTAATTCTGTTGTTTTATATACTTTTCCTACACCGTGCTCTAAAATAAATAATTTGCTTTTAAAAATAAGTGCTTATCTGTACTAGATTTTTTGTTACAGAGCTGTTTAACTATTCAGAATCATTCGCAAAAGCTTTTGTGGGAATAAATGGCAAGAGAAATTTTTGTTTATTGACTTTTATTGATTTAGTCCAAAATACTTTTTAATTTCGTTTAATCCAAAGTAATATAGTGGTTTCACAAAAAAAACAGGTTCATGTAATGTTAGCAATGCTTTTGATCTTTCATAACCGAGTTAAGTCGAGTTCGAAATTTGGATAGTTTCATTCGCTAAAATATCCAATGTGGCGTGCTGAAAGTGACACTTTAAGACGTCTGATCTATTACAGCCTGTTGGTCGTTTCCGGTATTTTAGTCATATGTGTGATGGTATTGTCACGTTTGTGAGTTTACCCAAAAACTAAGGGCCGTAGAAAAAGTATAGTCTGCAACAGGTTAACTTCTTCGATCACTTGTTTATTAACCACTGCGCTAGTGTCAAAACAAACTTCTGTTATAAGGTATATTTCATCACACTTATTGACATTATATATATTTTCAGTCAAAAGTGATTTAAGTGCTTTTCTTTGAGTTCGTGGATTTATAGTAAAGCGATGTACTATTTTTTCGTGATGAAACTGCCAATAATATATAATTCATTACATTAAGATAGAACAATAGTTCTGGAGAGTTCAACATTACTTCTGTACCTGTTTATTGACTAGCAGTTACTTACGACGAAGAAGATAAAAACTCTTTGGAAATGAATATCATACAATGTCTTATAATGTGTCTATGTGTCCGCTATTTACGAATATTTTTCTCCACTACAAGATTTTTGGAAAATTATTTTATTTTTATTTTTTTAAATTATGAATTTAATTTTCTAAAGAAAACATGTATGAAAAAAAAATATTTCCTCAATTAATTTAGGCACGTAATTTACTATCATTTTATATGTAGCTGTCAAGCCACTTTCCACTGATTAATCTTGAAGGTATGGTAGGGAGGTTTCCGACAAAATACGTTTTGTCAGTTCGAAAAAAACTCACCAAAATTAACAAAAATTCTTGAATTTCAATTTATGTACTCGATGACACTGGTAAATACTTTTTAAAAGATAATTTTGGAACTAGTTTTGAAAAAGTTGTACATTTGTATCTTCAAGCTATAGTTCGAGACGCACCGTGAAACGGTTATTCAACACTTCCACTGAGAAGCCGCCACGTCTCCGAAATCTACCTGACTTGTCCCTGTCTTGTCCCTTACCTCTGAATTAGTTTTGGTTAGTTTTGGGTTTACCCATAAAGCTACTAGATATATAAAGGACAATACTTATGAAGCAACTAAAAAACCTTTTTTGAGAATGTCCATTGAACATACGTATGCGCCAGATTGAAAATCTCGTTTTTAACCAATGACCTTGATGCATTCAACAACCAACTTGACCCCTGACAAAACGTCAATAAGTATAGGTGTGGTATTTTTACGGCAGTAATTTATTGAAATATGCCTAGATCTCGTTAGATGTTCTCGAAAACCGAGTTAAGTGTGTGGAAATCGCCGGAATATGGCGCAAAGTTCAAGTTAGTGGGTGAAATGTAGACGTATGCGCTACGAAAATATTAATGCCGCTTGTGAAGAATCAATTTTTACGGTATATATCTAATAGATATAGGGGTTTACACAATGGCTATGAAGGTCGTAGTTATTTTTTGGAGGAGTGTCCGTCAAAAGCCACAAATGATATACTTTGAGATACATTATATGCAGAGCCGGAAACACAAAAATTAAAGTTTTTCTGAAAGATAAAAAGCCAATAAACTCCCCCGTGCTCTAAAATAAAATGTAACATATTTAGAAACAAAATTATATGAATGGAGAAAAATTAAGAAATATCCCATAGTGGCTTTTTAAGTGTACTGCTTCTAATAGAACCATTTTTCAATATAATCCTCTAAAAACGTGTTTTGGTTAGTTGGTAGACCTTCTCTTTTTACTTTTCTAATTTATCTTCTTATCCTCTGATTTTTTTGGTTTTACGCGAATTTTATGGCATGGTCATTAACAAAAATCACTTTTTTAGACTTTCAACAAAAATATTTGTTTAGACTTTCTGCCTTCCGGAAATCGGTCTTAAAAAGCAAAAGACACATCTTAATCCACCGTCCATGACATATTGTCATGATGGTAATCATTTTTAGTTGCAACTAGACAACGGCCATTGTTATTAGTTGCCACAGGGTCTGGTATTTTTTTTAACCAACAATATATTACAAATTTATAGAGTAAATTCTTCTCCTTGCTGTGGTACATGAAGTGGCTTTAAAACTGAAATGCTTGGGCTTAACATTTTTAATAAAATGAAAAAAAAAACTTTTAAAATGATTCAGTGCTAATCTAAGTACCCTTCGAAGAAAATAAAAAAATTGAAATGTTTACTAATTCAAAAATAAATTAAATATTACGGCGACCAATAATTGAAACACTTGTTTCGTCTTCAACCGCATGATTTAGTTTGGCTATACAATTTTCGAGCCACACTCATACAAGAAGGGTGATTTTCATACCTTTTTTATTTATTGGCTCGGAATATAACCAAGTAGACTAAACAAAACGAAATAAAATCGTATCTACTACATACAAATACGAACAAATAATACGAATAATGAATAATTTCCGTAACATATATTACTGCAAATGTCAAAAGTCTCCCGATATTGCCGCACCGCGGCACATAGTGTCGCATCTACATTTCAGGTAACTCGCGGATATCGGCAAGAAAAAAAAACACAATGCCCGCGCCGTTCTAGACAATTTATTGAAATTTATGGTCGACAGAAATTAAGCCGCTTCCGCCGTCGCCGTTTTTTCGTTATGATTTTATTTATTTATTTTTTTCTGCAACGCGTGGAATATAATCGCTCCACGGCGGCGGTCGGCGTTGCGTAAAACGAAACGATTTCGAAACATTTCTCGCCTTGGAACGCGCGAAATTTAACGCTCTCTAACCGTCGAACGTGCAATTAAAACGAAAACGGAAATCGAAAACTCGGCGGGACGTGCGCACGCGCGCTCTGTTAAATTTGTTGGCAGCGCAGAACACCCGA